CCTTCTGCATTAGTATATTTATGCAGAATAGAGATGTAATGGAAATTCATTATAGAGTAGGTGTTATTGCTAACCAAGAGCTCGATGTCCTTGAACTTCCTGCTGCACCAATCCCTGTAAATCTGGGTGCTCTGAATTGGCAGTTTGCTATTCATCCTGCGTTTTTGGTATCTGAAGTAGTATATTTCAACCAAAAATTAAAAGAGTTAACAAATTATTATGACCTATGCTACAGGGGAGTAGCTCTACCCATTAATAAGTCTTGTCAAATCATTGAAAACTCCCACTGTAGTAGTGGAAGAGAGGACTTGAAACTAAGACATCCCCCCCAACTCCATACAACAATAAGGAAAGTGCAAAGACTAACTATATGCATGATTGGTACTAAAGTTAATTTCTGCATTCATTATCTTGTTCATATGAAAATTTTTAAATATCTCTGCCACCAGGCACCAGCCAACAAATTTTAGGGTACTTGCTTTTTTTGACAGTTGCTGATGAATCATGAATGTTTTCCTTTTATGAAGTTCGTCAATAGGCTAGTTGGTTTTATTGTCAACATTATATTATATCTTTTAGTGCAGTTAGTCTTTACGTAAACTATTGCCTTGTTTTATCATTATAATGCTTTCACATTTTGCCAATATGTCCATAAGAGCTTTGTGAATTTAATATTCAGTGAAAATGCTATGTGTGTGTGTGTATTTTGTTTTTGTGTATGATTATACCTGAAATTTGACTGCAAGCTGGATTCATATGTTCCATTTGGCAGGCTGCTCTTGAAAAGGGTAAGAACTTGGAAGCATTAGCAGATGGTGATGTGACAAATGAAGAACTGCTACCGGCTGAAGATTTTGGTCATGCAGCAGAATCTGTCAAGTCATTGACATCTCAAATGAATGAGCTAGGTGTTTCTGCAAATTCTGCCGTGAGTACGCCTCCTGTAGACTCGGCGGAGACTTTAGATCTGAATGCTCCGTCTCAAGATATTGATAAAAAAATTCGGGCACTTAAAAAGAAGGTATATTTCATCATATTTTGGCCGTATTATAATGATGTTTATTTTTTGTTCTTCAGAGCATCATGCACTTTTAAGAAATTTCATGGCTCTCCCTGCTAGACATGCCAAGAAAAACTGATAAAATTCTCTAGTAGAGAAGTATAGAACACACGCAAGTTCACAGACACACGTAGCAAGGGAATCTTGTTGAGAACTCATGGTTTGTAGGTTTGAGGTTCTGTGAAATACAATTCTCCAAGTAAATATCAACTTCCTGTACATTGATGCACTTTCTTGACATATGTATATCATATTATTTTCATTCAGATTATTGGTAAAAATTTGTAATGCTTCTTTTTTTTTTTTTTTCTTTCAATTTCAACCAACATTATTTTGAGTGTACCCCTCTTTAAAAATCGGTTTACTGTTTTGAACGGGTGCATTTATATGTATAGTAAATATGGTAAGATTATCTGAAAAGACTCTTTTAAATTCTTCTTATTGTATGTAACCTCCACTTTCTACTTCCTATGAGTGAACTTTTTCTTCCATTTTCATCCTAACTTCCTCATATTAACTATGATATCTTGGTCATTTTAATCTCTTGTCATTTAACTATATTCTGCTGTTTCAATTGCTGTTAGTTATCAAAAATAAGGATTAGTTATCAAAAACAAGGATCGATTCACATCTTCTACATCCAATCTAATGACACCTTTTTATCTCTCCTAGTTTAAATGTACACATATCACTACAGTTCTTGCCATATCTAAAACCTTTGAATTGTAGGCTGTTCTTCAGCAGCTCTTGCTTTTAGTTTACTTCTTTCTTGTTTCATTTCTAAGAACTATGTTGTCACAAGTAGCTTTGTTGGTGAGTTATATGTTGGACATGCATGGTTAGTTCATCTACAATGAAAGCAAAAACATAAGGCTATAAAAGCGGAAGCCAACTGTAGCAGGTAATTCATCTATATGAAGTTCAACAGTCCTCAGGCATGTTACCATCTCTCTATAAATATCCATTCTATATAAACTACCTTCTCTTCAACCCACTGTTCAGAATACTGTACTGCATGCTGTCTCTGAATCAATCTATCTGCTCGTTTTGTTTCTCCATACCCTTTTTATTGAAGCTTTTTCTCCATATGATCATATGTGACTTGTGAGACAGCCTAGATTTATTAACTGCAAGAAAGTCAATTCTCCATCTGAGCAAGCTTGAAACCTTGGTCAAAGGTGTGGAAGTACTCAAATAAGCCAACTCCGCTCTTTATCATAGTTATCTTTAGGAATGGGTTGTACAAATAAATCTATTTTGTGGACCTTTTGAAGCTCTTCAAATATGGCATGAGTTGGTATTTCTGCATTGGCAGGAAGTGAACAAGAAAATTAGAGTAAATTTGAAAAATGGGTAAAATAAAAATACATGCAGCCAGGTCTAGTCTAGAGCCAAATTATCTCCTCTCTGTCTCTTGTTGATTATACATTTTTATCATTTGTGTGCATATCCTATAGACTTAAAAATTTGACGAAAGAGGCAACTTTTGCTAGTTTTATAAGCAGAGGTTTCTGTTCTTGGTTGGTTGACATTACTGTAGTTTCTCTCTTGGTTGCCACCACTGGCTATGTTTGGTGGTCCATTGGCTTTGGTTATTACTGCTCGCAGGTGGTGGCAAAGGAAGAGGAGCTAAATTTTTTGCCTTTATCGCTTTCTCTCTGAATTGAGATCTGTCAGATTCAAGCTTTAGGGACTATTAGTTAAGATAGCTTATTATCCTTCTTTCTACACCAATTCATATCAAAGAGACAAAATTGTTCAAAAGTCGGACCATTTGATTACCTTGTTTATATTTGTTTTAGTCATAATTTTATTGCAGGAGATTCAGTTTTCTATTAACTTGTATTGAGGATTTGATGATTAGGTTAAAGCATATGCCATTACTACCTTCTGTAGAAGGAAAGAGTTGTAGGCTCTGTTGATTTCTTAGAGAGATGCTGTTTTGCTACAGTTATAGGAAGTTGTCTTTGGGGCAGGAACTCGAGCCGGAAATTTATCCAATTATAGTGCAACTATAACTTGCCAATGATGTTATCATGACGACCTCAGTATGCTTTGTCCTTTCATGATACAACTTATACAGGCAATTCAGAATATAATTTTTAAAACTTGAGAAATTAAATTATTTTCAAAAAAAAAATTTATTTGATGTAGAAAAAAAATTAGAAATGCAAAATAGATTTTCTTTTAGATTTGCAAATTAAGGATGTGATCCTCTCATATGTAGCTACACATTTATACTGCATCTATTAGATTAATATGTTATTACATGTTTGTATCGAATATGTGAATGTAGACGTGCACTTGAAATGAATAGTAGCTCAGCTACATGAATTCTTGTTTTCAAATTTCCCCAATGTTTTCCATTTCTGGAAAATTTATTTTTCCCTATAACTTGGTTGCTTGCGTGGTTCTTATTAGCTGGGTATTTGACTCCACTGGTTTGTCATAACATTGGGAATGATGTCGATTACAATGTGATATGCTTATAGTCTGCAATAACTTGGACTGTTCGCAACACAATTTTATTATATATTCTGCACTTGAATTGCAAACTTCTTGGTAGTGGCTCCATAGATTTTATGGAAACTTTAGAATTTGCTGAGGTTTCTAATTTGATTCAAGCACTTAGGCTTCTTGTTCATGTTTTATGATTGGTTCATCAGAGTGAGTTCTTTATGCAGATTCGACTAGCAGAAGCTCAGCAGCAGAAAACTGCACCACAGGATATGAAGCCAGAGCAGTTGGAGAAGTTGGCGAAATTGGAGAGCTGGCGCCAGGAACTAGAGTTTTTGGAGGGTAAAAAAGCTGAAGAGTCGACATCATGAATTAGGGTTTGTTCTAACTTGAACAAACTGTGTAGTTTTCCATTTATTTTTTACTAAGGTGTAAACTCTGCATTGTTGGATCAAAATTCTTGTCCAGATTTTTCCAACTATGGTACATGATCATGAGTTTGCCTTTAAGCCCTGCACTTCTTTCTTGTTTTGCAGGTTCTCAAACATTAGTAATTTGGGGTTCATAGCCAAACCCCAACTTGCTAGTGTTTGTATATCATTTCGTCTAGGGCTATAAAAAAGCTGAGCCAAACTCTAATAAGCTCGAGCAAGGCTCGATATAGATATGCCAAAGTTCGAGCTCGTTTAAAAATTACTAAGTTCGAGCGTAGCCAAATAACTACAAATGAGTTAAGCTCAAAATCTATCAAACCAAAATGATGTCATGTAGGTTTAACTAATCTTGACTTATTGAGTTGACTTGTGAGCTAGCTAATGAGCTAGACATGATAAAGTTTGCTTGTGAGTCAGTTCATGAATTGAGTCAAGCTCGAGCTTGTCTCGTCTATTAAAAAAGCTCGATAGCTCGATTTGATAAGCTTATCGAATAGGCTTGAGTAAGCTTTTTATAGAGTTGAGTTTCAAGCAGCTCATGAGTGGCTTCCCTCATTTAGAAACTCCTGATATGTTCTAAGTTAAAAAGGAAGAAAAGCTGAGTCTATCTCCAAGGGATGAGCAAACATCGGTAAGGAACGTAGAACTGAATTGAACCGGTTCTGTTTGGTTTTAACTCTTGGAAAGAACAGAGGAATTGTTTTTCAATTTAATATGGTTTTTATTACACCGAAAAAAATAAGTTCAAAATTGGTTTAATTTGAATAGTTAAACATTTAACTATTAAAATTACTGCTAAAAAAAATTATTAAATTAGGTTTAACTATTTAAATTAAACCAATTTTGAACTTAATTGTTTTGGTATAATAAAAATTGAATCGAATTAAATTGATTTTATTTTATTTTATACATCATTTGTTTAGGCTCAGTATGATTTTTATATAAAAAGTTTCAGTCTATTCAGCCGGGGTGGTTCAGTATTTGAGGAAGGTAACTAAACACAAGATTAACCCCTGAGGGGTGAGGACAATGATCCCTGGAGTTTCTTTAAACACTCGGGAGGGAGCGCTGTCCCTCTTTGTAAGTGCTAATTTTTTTTTTGAAAACTTAATAATTCATTAATAATGAATATAAATCGAGTATATCATAATAATATTCCTATAAGAATAAGAAATGCAAATATAGAAAATTGAAATTTTCTGCTTGGAGATGTTCCTCATCTTGGCGGAATAGGTTAATCTTTTGGGTAAAAATTGATCCATTGTCAAACAGGACGTCAAAAGATACATTTCGCAATATTGTCCCGAATATTACTTTTTTAAAAACTTGTTACAGAAGAGTTTAATATAACAAACTTTAATGAAAGAACAGGCCGCACTGCTAGATTCCATTGGTAAAAGAAACTTACCTGAACTTGAAGATCTGAAGTCTCCAATCACAAGTAACCAACAATCCTCCAGAGAAATAAATCTAAATAAGAATTCTTTAATAACGAGAAAAAATTCCATGAAAGGAGAAAAATAAATAACCCTAATAAGGGGTACCAAAAACACTCAATCATAGATACTAAATCTAAATTTTATTTCAAATGATCATAGGTTTGAAAATTATTAGAAAGAAAACTAAAAAAAAAAAAAATGATAATGAGGGATGAAATGAAACCACCGCCGACCAAAGAAGACAGTTGGCGACGGTTTAGAAACAAAATTTAGAAAGACACGAGAAAATTTAGAAAGACACGAGAAAAGAGAAAGCCAAAGAGAGACGGCTAGGGTTTTATTAATTTACAAAAAAATTATTAATCTCGTTACATCACAAAAAAATTAGTGCCAATTATTAATCTTATATAAATAATTAATTATCTCTAAATACATGAAATGAACTAATTAATATTAAAACTTTGAAAGGACCAGAAAATCTGGAATCAAGTAGATATTTTTATACAAATATCTAATTTTTAAAAATGTTATGGAATTAATTTGAATGAAATAAATTAAAATTAAAATTAAAGCATAATCAAAAGGAAAAGACAATCATAATATAAAATTAAAGCATCAAATATTTATTTTTATCTCTTTATTCAACAAAATCAAATGAAATACAATAAAATATGATCCAAACGAAGAAAGAATGAACTTGAAAGAACAGAAAATAAGCCCTAGCTAATTTTCCAAGTATCCAAGCAGATGTTGGCTTAATCTTTATTAATGATTTTGTGTATATGTTATTCTCCTAATCCTTGCCTTATGTGGATCATCACTTGAATCCAGCCAAGAAAGGAACTTGAGCTCCTCCAACCCATTGGGCGGCGCCGGGAAGGAATGCTCCGACGGTGAATTTCTGAGCTTCAGCCTGATTCAATAAATGAAATGTCTTCCACTTAACCCTACGAGCAGTATTTGCACCTGGTCCACTATTTGCATATTCTGCATAATACAAAGTATCAAGAAACAGTGTCCCAGCCCATGGCATCCACCCTTCAGGTTGAATCAAATCTCCCAATTGTGTTTCCATGACAACAGTTGTTGAAAATTCTTTCCAGGGCCTGCCTAAATAAGTCCTGGTAGTAAGTCTTGTTGGCACCAGCTTCTCTTCAGGTACAATTCTGCAGTTGTGGATAACAAGTCCAGTGTTTTCTCCTTTCGTTTTCTTCCCATCAGCTGTAACTGTATTGAATTGATTCGGGTTCGGTTTCCTGACAATGATCAAGGAGTTCTGAATCACAGCTGCTCCGTATCCGAAAAGGAAATCAATAGTTCCTGAAATGACACAGTTTCTGTAGAATTGTCGTTTGGCTTGGTATAACAATGTATCTTGATATCCATCCATTCTACAGTTATAGAATATTGACATATCCGAATTTACTCGGATAGCAACAGCTTGGTGACCATCGGGTCCTGCAGTGTTCTGGAATCCCATTCCTTTTGCAATAAACCCATCAGATTCAACAACTGCAATTCACAAATCAAACCAAATTAAGACATTGCAGTATGTATTTTTAATTATGGTTCAACATTGGTTTGTATATGTATATATATATATATATATATACAATAAACCCAATCAGATTCAACAACTGGGGCAATTCACAAATACAAACCAATTAAGACATTGCAGTATGTTTTTTAATTCATGGTTCAACATTGGGTTTGTATTGTAATACTATATATTATATATTAGTGTAATATATATACTTACCGAATGAGCGGGTGTTCCAGGTGTTTACTCCCGCTAGCGAAGCGATATACTTACCGAATGAAGCGGTGTTCCAGGTGTTTACTCCGCTAGCGAAGCTCTTTTTTCCAGTGATAATGGACTTCCTAGGTCCATCACCGTACATCAAAATACTAGGACTGTTCTTTGGTATCACAACAGCCTCATTGTAAAGTCCTTCCTTGACATAAATAACAAATCTGCCCTTGAAGTCTTTTGGGCATGAGTTAATAGCTGCATTAATGGACTTGAATTTACCACTTCCATCTAAAGCTACAACTGCATTTGGTGTAACCCCCCCAGCATTTCGGATTTGCAGAAGCCGACGATCAGAACCAGATACCCAAGTAGGATAACCACCAGCACCAAGAAGCTTGCGCGAAGTACCACCCGGAAGGTCTAATTGGAGACCGAAAGATTTCAGGATATCTGAAATCCCAGCGAGAATGGTCAGGACATTGTCTGTAAGTTCATTGCCATAATTTGTACTGTTCCGTACTTGAGCCTTGAGGTCATTGTCATGGTCAAAACCATCAATGCACAATTCTTGGTAGGCAATGATAGAACTCAACCAAATCCGAAAATCATCAGACTGGGCAGTAATGTTTTTCACGTCACTGTCAGACATTTTTGTGATTATATCTTGAAGTTCCTGAGAAGCATTATTAAGCAGTATCTTACAATCTTCAAGTGCCAGCTTTGAACGAGGCTCATTCCCAGCCTCTTTCACAAGCCCCTCACTTAAGTTCATTGATTTCGACAAGGAATCTGAAATGGCTAAAATTCCTGCCTTGATCAATTCTTTCGGATCGGTGCTGTTAGCTGTACTTAGAGTTTTGGTGCAAACCTCCTTGTAATTAGTAGGTTGGCATATTTGGGTAACAGCCTTCATTTGTGGTGTTATTTCTTCGGAGTTCTTCGATTCACCACGGTGAACGGAGGCAACAACTCCGATGACAACACCTACAACAAGAATCAGGGAAATCCCTGAAACTACAACTTTCCCGATCATTTTCTGATTTTTTAAGGCTTTCTTTTCTTTTCTTTCTTTTTGTTTTTTCCTCTTCGCTTTTTTAAATTTCTCTTCCTCCGATGCCCGGTGATGTGACTAAGATCTAGATGATTGTAGCCCCAAAAGGGCGCAAAATCGGAGAGGAGAAGGAAAGAAGAGAGAGCTACCAAAGCTGATGAAGGAAAGCATGTATTTTAGGGTTTTATAGGGTTGTAATATTCTTAAATTAGTATATTTCCTTTTGCATGAAAATGTTACGTGTTCTACTGAATGATAGACCGTTTTTATAGTTAGTCAGTTTGGATATTACAGATCAGTAAACGCCTGTTTATAGCTAAACATGCTATTTTACACAAGAAAAGGCTGATTATTAGTATTAAACTATATTGAGCATCTTTTAATTAATTTTTAAATCTTGTTGAGACAGAAATTGGTAGTTTTCAAGTTAAAGTTGAAAATAATAAATTTATAAAATTTTTTTCTATTATAAAATAATAAAAGCATCCAACATATCTTTTCCCTAGTTAGTTTTCAAGTTGAATTGCATTTTTTTTATTGTTGATGTGACATAATACTAAAACATTATTTTAGTAAGTTAGGATTATTTTTTTATTTTAAGAAAATTATTTTTTAATGTAATTGATAGAGAGCTTGAATTAATATCATTAATAATATTCTTTATTTTTTAATAATTAGTAAAATCAATAATATTATTAATATTTTGAAAACCTGCCAATCAAGTGTAGTCCGATTAATATTCTGACTTACATAAAATATGTTAGACCTCTCCACCGTAAAAGTTTTTAATAATTTGATGAGTAAATGGAGAACTACTATTGATAATATTTTATTAATGTGAGTTTGATTAATGCGGCATTTGCAGTGCGATTACAATATAATTAAACTTTATACACATATATGTAAAAAAATTAATTTATATTAATTTATATTATATATATATATATATATTCTTATATGGCTAAAATAGTTCATCTCATTAATTTAGTTGCGTGTTTGTTTTTATAGAATAATATCAATTTGCCCTTTCGAATTTGTGTGCAACAATACAATTTTGCCCAAAAATAAATTTTTTATACAATTATCACTCCAATTTTACACCAAATAATTAAAAAGGCCCAACTTTTGGAAAACAAAAATAATAACTTTTAATATTTTTAACTAAAAAAATTTATTTAAAAAAAAAAAATCGGTCGATCTTTGTTACTAGCGATCCCTCCCTAAAGCCACGGGTAAGTCCATTATTTCCATTGCAAACTACTATCATTATAATATATATATATATGAATTTTTTGTTTTGAATATCCATTTTGATCAAATCAATAGCAATGAAAAGCAAAGTAAGTCGGAAAAAATTTTGAAATATTTTTTATAAAAAAAATTTGAAAAGGAAATTTTAAAATCTTTCGATATAATAATAAAGGAAAGACTTAACACATTAACTAGAGTATACTATATGAATATTTTCTCTCCATTCTACTATATTCATCGTATCCTCGCTAATATTCAAAGATAGTAGATTTTTCATGACAATTCCCTCTAAGCGGTTCTAGATCGGTCTCTTTGCACACTCCACCACCAAGTATTAATTTATGAACCAGAGAATCTACATAATACATTATTGTACTATTTCAGGTGTGCTGTTCTCATTTTATCTCTAACTTATGCTATATATAAGTGAAATTGACTATTTTAGCCATCTATAGGATAGAAGTAGAGTTGCGTACTTTGCATGTCCTCCCATCAACCCATAATTCGAACTAGAGATCTCATATTTCCTTCGAGAAGATTAATTAGACCATGGATGAAATATATAGATATTAATAGAAGTAAATGTTGCCTGTGTCGTTAATTTATTAAAACGTTGTACAAGTGCCCAATATGAGAAAGTTGATAAAAAGACTATTTTTAGTTTCACTGCTCCTTTGAGATTTTAGCTTCACTATTCATTCCCAAGCCACAAATTCCCATCTAATCACCTGAAAAACCGATCAACCATGAAATCAACATTTTTTTCACTCACAAAATCCTTTACCCTATAAAATGAAACCCTAACCATGCAAAGCTTCTATGATTCTCATTGAAACTAGAAAATAAAGAGATAAATACGTAAAACTTTCTCTTCCTCCTATCTTTCTCTCCGATTCCTATCATATTCTTGGGAATCGGGAACGCATCGACCATAAGTCGCAGACAAAAAGAGGAAGAGATCAAAGAAAAAAAATATATATATATTAAATACCAAACAAAAAAGGCAAAATGATGGGCAAAGTAGTTGTATCGTCTTTTTCTCTCATTCTTGTAGTGGGGGTGGTGATTGGGGTGGTAGCTGTGGTTCAGCGCGGCCACGAAGATGGTGCTCAAATATCTTCTTCAACAAAAAACGTAGCTCAAATATGTCAACCAACAGATTACAAAAAAGCATGTGAGCAAAGTCTTAGCAATGTAAATAATACTCAGGACCCTAAAGAATTTTTAAAAGCAGCCATTTTAGCTACGGAAGAAGCTGCAAAGAAATCTTTCAATTTGTCTTCAGATTTACTCGTAAAAGCCAGTTCATCTGATAATGACACAAGAATGTCCCTGGAAGATTGCAAAGAGTTACTAGACGACGCCGTTCAAGAGCTTCAGGCCTCTTTTTCGGAAGTGGGTGAAAATCAACAACATACAACGAAACGACGAGTAGCTGAGCTACAAAATTGGCTAAGTGCTGTCATTTCTTACCAACAGACTTGCTTGGATCAGTTTGGAGATCCAAATAGTCAATACAAAACCGAAATGGAAGAAGGTATGGTTGACGCAGGACAGCTCACAAGTAATGCATTAGCCATTGTTGATGCATTTTCTGACATTTTATCTACAATGGGTCTAAAGGTTAATTTTGGCGGTAGTAATGATACTTCTCGCAAGCTTCTTTCAGTCGACGAAGATGGGTATCCTAGCTGGTTAAGTGCGAGTCGCCGGAGACTTCTGGCAGTAGATCTTGCTACTCTTAAACCTAATGTGACTGTGGCTGCAGATGGCAGTGGTGATGTTAAAACTGTAACTGAAGGTATTGCCAAAATCCCTCCGAAGAATGTTGATCCCTTTTATATCTATGTTAAGGCTGGAACCTATAAGGAGTATCCTACTGTAGAAAAGAAAATGAACAATGTGTTTATGTATGGCGATGGCCCTCTCAAGACTATTATCACAGGAGACCATAGCAATAAAACTGGCTACAAAACCATGAGATCTGCCACATTTGGTAAGTTTTTCATTCAATTTGTTCACAGAGATAGTCAGGAATTAGAGTATTGGAATTCAACTTTGAGGCTCTACATTTATGTTCTTTGCTTATATAATTGCATGGTCGAGTGCTTATCTTATAATACAGAAATCCAAGATTTGACGATTAAACTGAAAACTTTTTTACTCATTTTCTTGATTCAAGATGCTTTAGCAATTTTGCACATGGTCGAGTGCTTATCTTTATAATACAGAAATCCAAGATTTGAAACGAATTAAACTGAAAATTATTTTACTCATTTTTCTATTGATTCAAAGAGTTTAGCAATTTGAATCTTGGGCTTATAAGATGTATTTTATTTAGACAATCAAATTTTATATAGGAAATCAAAGTGGTTATCTTATAAAACAGAAAATTCAAGATTTGACAATTAAACTGATAAAGTACTTATGCATTTCTATCGATTCAGATGGTTAGCAATTTGAAAATTGACTACTATCTTGTCTATCAAAATTTATATATGATAAGAATGATCGGAGGGGCTTATCTATAATAACAAAAAAATCACAAGATATGACATGAGAACTCATAAATTAATTAATGTCTTTATCTTGATCAAAATGGTTTTACAATTTGAAATTTTGGGCTAATAGATTATATTTTCTTTGTCGAATCAAAAATTATATGCGGAATGAACTTTGTCAGAATTAATGATAATGCTATGATGTTATGGCAGCGGAGCTCTTGGGGGAGGGAAATCACTGCAGAAGTCCATAGCAGTCAGAATTAATGATATGCTATGTTTTATGGCAGCGGCTCTTGGGGAGGGATTCACTGCAAAGTCCATAGCATTCGAAAACACTGCCGGTCCTGAAGGTCATCAAGCTGTGGCACTTCGAGTCCAGGCAGATATGGCAGCATTTTTCGACTGTAAGATGGATGGCTATCAAGACACATTGTACATCCAAACCCATCGCCAATTCTACAGCAAATGCAGCGTTTCAGGAACAATAGATTTCATATTCGGCGACGCCTCTTGTATAATTCAGCAATCAGACATTGTTGTCAGGAAGCCAATGCCTAATCAACTAAACACAGTCACTGCACATGGAAGAGCCGACAAGCACGAAACTACAGGATTAGTGTTTCAAGATTGTAGAATTATAGCAGAAGATAAGCTATTGCCTGAAGCTACCGTCGTTAAGTCGTATATGGGAAGGCCCTGGAGGGCATATTCTAGAACAGTAGTAATGGAATCAGAAATAACGAATGTGATTCAACCTGAAGGGTGGCTACCATGGACGGGGGATCAGTATCTTGATACTTTGGAGTACTTAGAGTATGCAAATAAAGGAGACGGAGCTAATACTGATAAAAGAGTAAATTGGAAGGGCTTTAGAATCATCACTGACAAAAAAGAAGCTCAACAATTTACGGTTGAGCCTTTCTTACAAGGAACTGATTGGCTTAATAAGATAGGAGAACCCTACATTGCTGGGTTGGTAAATTAATTAATTAATTAATTAATTTGTGTCTTTTTGTTGTTAGCTGTTAATATTTGAGACCTATAGAGTTCATATACTCGGAAAATTGAAAATGCCCAAACTCAATTTCTTTTTTGCTTTTATTTTATTTTTTGATCTTGATGTATTATAGCATGTATAAGGTGTAAAAGAAAGAAGTGACATTTGAATATGGTATTTATTAGAAAAATAACATTTTTACCAATAGCTAATGAGAAAATAAAGAAATTAATTAAGTAGTGCAATGAAAATAAAATGGATTGACTGTAAAATTAAATTCTAAAAATACAAGTCTTCTATAATGAAAAACTTTTTCATTTCATTTTGTGAAAAATTATTCCTTTTGAGAAACGCTTACAAAAAGATGGGAACTTTTTTTTTTTTTTCTAATTTTTAGTTAGTTACTGATAACTAACTGAAATTTGATTTACTTTTTGCAGTTCATGAGTATCTAGTTATATTATATTTTAACCTCTATGTTTGTTGAAAATTTCAACCGTGCTTTTTCCGTTATGCAATTAGTACATTTGCTTACGATTAGTTTATTTGCAGAGGTTTATATACCATGCATCGAAAGTTCATCATCAATCATATTAATTAGTGGACAGTTATGATTTATATATAACTAATACCCGTTTTACAACAACCAATGGGATGAGTGAGAATAGTAATAATGAATATGTTAAAAACATTAATTAATTGAAAAGGTCATAATTATATATGCTAATTATGAGAATTGTGATTGAACTTTCAACCATTAAACTACAGTTAAGTAATTCAAAACTTTTAACGGCATCTTGGTTTCATTGCCAAGGCAATAGGATTCAGAAACACTGCAGAGTAGATGAACGCTTCAAGTGGATTCTAACATGTACGTATTTTGCAATTGCAGAATAGATGGGCCAAACAAGCGCCGATTTTTCATAATCAAATGATAACAATTGCATCGAAATTACGCCCAAAGAATGGGTTGTTTAGATGAAAGATCAGAGAATCATATGGTGGCTATTTCTCCTTCAAAAAATAAAAAAAGAGAAAAAAAATACTCAAAAAATAAAACCCAAAATCAGGTGGCAGCAGCTTACAGACAAAACTTAAAGATTTAAACAACAGGTGCCTTTGATTGACAAAGGCAGAAAAACCTACTTCTGCTTCTGCATTACTTCGCAGTAACAACGCCTATTGCATTAGCTTGTTTTACACATGATTTGGATGGATCTCATAACTATTTTACACAGATTATGCAGACTCAACATCTGACTCATCTACTCCTTCTCTATAAAGCTCAAAATCTTCAGGACTCCATCTGGCAATTAAGTGAAGTTTGAAAGTAGCCATCTTGATCCCCAGTAATCGCTGAACACAAGAATGGATGAACCACAAATCATTTCCTCCAACTAAAATAAGAGATATAGACAAAGTGGATAGCTCCGTAGCAGCCAGTCACAATAACAGCATTTCTAATACGAGTGGCTCAGTAATATGGCAGGTGATAAAGTAGTCATTAGGAAAGCATTGAGGATGACCATGCAACCAAATGTACGCTAGCGATTACAAATATGCATAGCACTGTGTTGAGACTTTGATAAACATTCATAATCAGAGAGAAAAGAATGATTGTAATCCAAGGTGTGAAGACATATACCAAGCATATTAAACCACCAGGTTCCCCATGGAATAAATGGTTGAACATGGAAATTCAGAGCTCAAAGTCATAGATTCTAATCTCTGGAAAGAAATTTGGTCCAAGGCTTAAAGGTTAAAACATCAAAGAGTATGCATACCCAAGGTCTAATACCCCTTGATCACCTAAAAGAAGAATAACTGGCGAGAGAAGAAGAAGAAGAAGAAGAGGAAGAAAACTTAAAAGCTAGAACTAACCAGTATTCGAGCAGACTCAGGTGACAAATGCTTCCCCTCTTCACAAACAACAAAATCAGAAACTAGCTCCACAACACCTGCAGAACGTGATTAATTTGATTGCACATCAGTCGTACAAATTTTACGTGACTGACTCAAAAAAGGAGATCAAGCAACAGAGAGCAATTATCTACCCTTGTTCAACCGAACAGGCATGCCTTGCTTGCGCAAAAAGGGCTCCATCTCATGAGTAAACTGGTCCAAAGGACCTTCCTTAAGTTCTACCTGTGAAACTCAAATACAAGAGAGTATGTCAGGAGATATATCAAACGTGAAGTACAATTATGTAGATAGCTATTATATAATGCTCCTTGCATTATTACACAAAACTCAGCATGTATGCATAAGAATGTGAAATTGTAATAATTACTGGACAGTGAATTAATTATACTTGATATCATTTCTTCTAGGTCAACAAAAAAAAGCACATGCAGGCTTGAATATTCAGTTCTTTGATCAAAGCAAGTCATGCACTCAACATGGTTATACTTGTGTTTTGCCAAATACCAGTGCATAAGTTAATTAATGGAAGAATCTCCTATACCTTTTCTGATGCAATGCTTCCTGTCCTAGCAAAGTCATATTCTTCATATTCATTAAACAACCTGCAAAATTTCAATGAAATAATATAAGTACAAACTGTACTTTCCTCTCTGAGTATACCTAAAAAATGATTATGTCTCCATAAACTCACAAAATAACAAAATAGAAGTCATGAAAGTCATCACAATTCAATTCCCCAAAAAAATAAAAAGAAAAAGAAAACATAATATTAATTTAGAAAAAATTAAAGGAAGAATCATAGTGAGTGTAAGTTAGCAATTTCTCGGTACAACTATTTCTATTTATAAACAGCTAAGAAGCATGATGGAAGGTCACCTTTCAACTTCTTCTTTTGGCAAGTTGGTGAGAAAAAGTCCAGCATCTCCATGCAGAAGCTAAGAGAAATACAGTAAAAGACAATAACTTTCAATTAAGACCAAATAGAAATGACTAAAGAAAATTTTGTTGATTGCAAAAATTAAAAGAGGATACCTTAGAAACTTTGTGAATGCCTGGCCTGATCTCATCAGCAATAGACCGGCCTAACGATACCTGCATTACTTTGTTTGATCCAAGGAAGAATCTGAAGAATTAATCAGAAACAAACCGTGAGCCATTTATGCTCATTTAGTATCATCAGTGCTACCAATATCTAATAACCAATATTTAACACAATGTCTTGCACTGATTTTCTATCTCTCTTTCCTTTTGATCAATTGGATGGCAACAGACCCTCTCCACCTCATAAATCTCCAACCCCATGATGTATCAACGATTCAAAACAATGGCATACAAATTGGAACCTAGTTCTTAATGTTTAAGCAGTGATCAAGATAAAGTAAATAACTTTTAATCAACAAACAGAGAACAGAGATCAGCATAAACACCCACCTGCTGGACGATTTGAGCTGCTCTCTGAACTCCTTGAACTTGAGATTTCTCATGTTCTCAAAAGTAAACACATAAATCGAATTGAATTTTTCTGCCTCTTCTCTTATAGAATTCACAATCGATTCCTTATGCTCTCTTCCCTTTTTCTTAGTTTTTGTCAGTGAAACTGCAAATATCACACAACAAACCCAAAATAAGAAATAAGCAAAAACAGACAACTCGCCATGCTTGCACAGGCATATAGAAATGAAGAACTATAAGGAGAAGAACGTATACCTGCTTTGTTACGCTTAGATTTCGGCATGTTTGGTAATTAAATTAAACGGGAAGGGCAAAAATGGCGGCTACCCTGTCTCTCTTAGCTTCAGCTGGTGTAGAGAAAGTCCCCTGCGAGGTTTTTGAATTTAGGGTTTTATCGCTTGTATATACCTGTCCCGAGGTGAAGGAAGATGTTAAATGGGCCGGGATGGATCAAGCAGTAGTGCAAATGGGCCAATTCTAACTTGGAATTGGGCCGGATTTTCAAGTTCGGATTCAACTCGCCCCGATTCTTAATAATTCACTGCTTTTGAAAAAACAAACCTGTAGGCGGGCTCAATTCCCGCCTTCATAAAAGAAGAACGCTGAGCTTCAGTAACGCTGTTTTCGTTTCTTCTTCCTCCTTCCCTTCTCTGTCTCTCTTCCATGGCTTCTCTCTCAGAATCCAGTCTAATTTCCAAACTAGAATCCTCTACTTCTACTCCCATCTCCTCTTTCTTTTTCGATTACCTTAACCCTTTCTCTGATCTCAAAAATCCCAAAAAATGCAAACCCCAAAACAAAACCCAAGTCCAGACCCAGACCCGATCTCTAGCCAAGCAGTTCCTTCCATTTCTCAATCGCAGCCTTTCAGTTTTACCAAAACGCCTCTCCGATGCCTCAAAATTACCCTCCCAGGACAGTAAGGAAATCCCAAAATTTGTTAATGAACTATTCGATATCTACAGTTTGTGTTTAGATTGTTTGGAAGTTGTATCTTCACAGCTTTCAGGAAAACCTTACATGATGAGTGTACAGAGGTTAAGGTTAGTGTATTGCTTGGAGACTTGGGGATTGTATAAAGAAGCAGAAAATGAAGGGTTTAGAGTTTTGGGGAGACTTAGAGATTTGGGTTTCGAGGAAAAGAAGAAGAAGGAAAAAAAGTCAGGGAAGCTCCTGCCAAGCGCAGCGGAGAATGGAGATCTGGAGTTCGCGAAGTTGGTAGTTGAGTTGGTAGTGGTCATTGTTAAGTGTTTGGCATTGGGGCAGAGTATGGATGGAAGGGATTATATGAGAGTTATTGGGTTGGTGGAGGAGGTTACACCATGGTTCAGGTATGTTGAATTTTATCTCTTAAATGGAGTAGATGGACAATAAAAAACAAAATAACCAAAGGAGAATTAGGTTAATTTCAAGTTACTCGAATTTTGTTAGGTTTGAGATATTTTTTAGTGCATGCTTTGGCATTTGGGAACTGTGGGAAGAGAAATGTAATAAATTTTGCGATCTTATGAATTTTGTTGTTTTTTTTGAACCAAGAAAGGGGGGATGGCTAACTGCTGAAAAGCACAAAACAATAAATTGCTAGAAGATAATGTTGCATGTAGCTCTGCTGGTGGTTATGGTGTTTGGTTTAATGGATTTTGTGCATTTGGGCTGTTTGAATACTTAGGAACAGTTTGCGCTTTAATAGTTACATGGTAACGATATTTTTCTGGAAGATGTATTGAAGAAAGCTTTTGGTTCTATTGGAAATGGTAAATGTTTGAGGCATCACTTTAAGAAAAAAGTGGGAAAAAGCCAGAAAAAAAAATGTTTGCTTCCCATTGTTTGCTTCCAACAAACATAGAACTCTTAATTTCCTACTGCGCAGCTATTATTTTGTAAGAAATTTTCTGTTACTAAAGGCAACTATTGAATTGATTTTAGGTTTAGCATAGTTATGCTTTATGATGTCTTATGCAAAGCATAGCATAGATGGGTTCTCACTGAATGCTTGATGGACTGATGGGTGCATAATTTCATCATTAACTGTATGGGAATACGTTGAATGGTAGCTTGACTTGGATATTTAGATTACTGATTATATAATGATACATTTGAATGTTTTAGGGTGTTAGATGCCAATGCATGTGAGAAGTTGCATAGGGTGCTTGTAACATACCTTGGCAAATGCACTCTGTTTTTGGTTGGGGATTTAACAAATTTTGATGGAGATGTAGTCCATGCTTTCTGTGTGACAACATTGGATGAGTATGCCAAGTCATCCTTGAAAGATCAAATCTACAAGGTAATATTTGCTAGATTTTTGCCAATGAAATTTCAGAGGATCTTTTTTTGTCTCTGTAATTGGAGCTTTGCTTGCAGTATTCCCGCCGGATCTGTTCCTCTCTCTTCTTGCTTCAAGATGATAGGCCTTCAGTTGTCATTGACACGTTAAAATGTGTGTTGGACTCCCTTGCCTGTAAGTGCAAGGTAATGCAAGTAGATTTACCTTTCAAGACTGGGAAAATTCTAAACAGCTGTTTCCTAAATGCCAGTAAATGGATTCTGGGAATTATGTTGTTTACTAGTGAATCCAGAAGCAAAATACCTTCTTTGTCCTATTGATAAACCCTTTGATTTTGGCAGGTTGAAGGACAAAATTGGGGAATAGAATTTGTTGAACTTGTCTCTTATTGTGCCAATAAATGTCGAACTGCAAGTGCAATATTTGGTAGTACTGTTGCAGAACATCTGAATGACCTAGCTGATGATTTCTGTCCGGTATCATGTTTAGATCATTTGCTTATTTAGCTTCCATCTGTTGCATACATTTGCATCATTATCTGGATGAGGATAAATATGAAATATTTGTACGTTCACTACAAGTCAATTCTTTTGGCAGGTTTTGACACCACTGGATATGATTCTCAGGCTTTATGCTATTGGATTGACCTTAACTGATTGTGTTATTAAGTCCAAAATTGGTGACATCACATCCTCCAAAGGTGCAAAGAATGAATCCGCTGTTAGTATTTTAATTGCTGATGGAGTTAGGCTTTGCAATTTAACACCTCTGCTTGGTTCTTTGCGAAGTTACTTTGATGTTGGAATTAGTGAGAACTGTGTTCCAGGTGGTGTTGAATTCAAGGGTTCTGCTGGTCTATTGTGTTCACAGTTGGATTTTCATCATGGGACCTCTTTAGGTTGCATACAGAAGGATAGAAATGTTTATCTGCTGGGCTACTTAAATGCATTGAAGTTCTTATGCCAGCCACTTGCTGAACTAGTAAACTTGGATAAAAAACAAATTATTGCTGAAGACATTGTAGCATCTGTTTCTACTTTGTTGTTAAACATCCAAGAAGCATTTGATCAGTTTTTTGATGTTTTCCTATCTTTGCACAGGTAAAGCAACTATAATATATGATGCCTTCTGTGTTTTCCTGTAATCGATAGACATTAGGCTGCTTAGCTAGAAAGTGAAATCTAATATCGTGCATTTCATTTTAATTTTTGTGCTCTTGGATGTTCTCTTTCTTAATTGTAAGTACTGTTTCTTTTGCCTGTTCATGCATTAAGTCATGAAGCCTTGGGCATGACATGTGGTAAAGTTGAGTGAGATAAATAACATCTAGATCTGCATTTACTGCTGAGACATCTTTGGCCTCTTTTTTTGTTTTTTAAGGAAAAACAAAGGGCAATTATTCTTAGTTTTCAAATATTATAACTTTGATAGGTCAATCCTTGAAAATTAAATTTTGAACTATAATATGTTAGCTCAGTGCTGAATTCATTATCAAGCCTACTTATATTTCAAAATGGTGCTTTTTTTGATTATGTACAAATTGGTAGCCAAAGTGCTCACTGAGCATTTTCTGACATTTGCCTGTATAAGCATGCAGTACAGCATCTCAAAAAGAGGGAGATGATTTTAATGAGCACAAGATTATTCTTAGCATTTCTGTTGCTGCCTTTACTCTCTCCATCAGAACAAAGCATAAATTCCAGGTTGGTATTCATGTTCTATAATATTCAAAAACTCAAACTACAAGCTCTATTCACTTTTGGAATGCAATTTGCTCCAAATTTTATATGTTGCTAATTGCCTTGCCCTTTGTTGTTTCAGAGGAATGTTCAGCTGATTAAGCAAATCATTGCCGCAGAATGGATTCAAACCCAGGGGCTGAAATATATATTTGCCTCTCTTTACAATCTCGGTGTACATTTATACAGAAATAAGCAAGAAAATGAGGTATTTTCACTATATGTGTGTATGGATGTATGTATATTTGTGAATCGAAATTGGATAGCATGTGCAGTGAATATGGTTCCTTTCTGCATGATCCAGATTTCTCTTTCTTCATTTAATTGTATTTTGTAATGAGTTGTTTTGAACTTTTAACTATAATGAGTTTATTCAGTGTGAGGTTTAAATCTAATTTAAAGCTCCTTTTGTTAAGAAAAACATTTAGGATGGAAGATTTGATCATGTTACCTTTATACAATACTGCTGTACTTCTCAAGGTTGTTGTTGTTTCAAGTTTGAAGATGTTTGTGAAGTGTAGGGTACCATAAAATGGCTATTGTGCTTCTCTTACTGCAATTTCAAATTTTGGCTTCCTCTACTTTGCTTTGCAATTGCTCATATAGATGTAAAAATCAAGGATCGATTCACTTAGTCCTCCTTGTCATTGATCTATGTAATTGGAAAATTGCAGCTAAAGTCCTCTCTGGACATCTTTTTTAGTTCACATATTTGAAAAGGGAACAATGCCTCCCAATAAGATGTTCCATTTGTTTGAAAGTGGTTAACAGAAGTTAGGTTTAGAATGAGAGTGATTAAATAAATGCAGATGGATCATCAGGGAGTGCTGGATTTGAGGTATCAAATAAAGGATTGAAATTAGAGAGGTTAGACATTTATAATTTTTATTGATTGAGGGAAATGTATCATATAGATAATTCTATACAACAACATACATGCATGTAAATTTCCTATTCCCCTAAACTCACTTGAAAGTTTTGAATTCTTTTACTGTTTAATATTTTTTCTTTCAAAACCTTCTTTTTGTTGTTTTTACTTTTTCAGGCTTCAAAGGCATTAAAATTATCTTGCACAGCATCCTGGTCTTATGTCACGCGTCTATGTAAAATGTTTATGTCCAAGTCCAAAGGGTTAATTGGTGATCATTCTGAAGATGCTATTATAGATTTTGTTACAGAGACATGTACACGAACTGCTTTTCTTTTGGATATTCTTTATCAATGTGGCAGTCACAAAGTGAAAAAGATAATTGTCAATAGTCTTGAAAATTGGTCCGTTGCTGAAGATTTATTTAGAAGATTACCAGCTCCTATGACTTTGGTGAAACAATGGGTGAAGGTTGCTTCTGAACACATTTAAACCTCCAGTATATTTTGCTTGTTCTGGAAATCTGATTGTCATTTAATTTTCAGATAGTATGCAAAAAGAATAAGAACTTGGAAGTGGATGATAGTGCTCCAACATTATATTATTTGCTGTCATCTTCTGTGAAATTGTCAAAAGGGATTAGCAAAATTTTGCAGCAGGTTTGGCCTTTGTAATGCTTTTCTTTTGACTTATTCTATTATTTTGTTTTTTTCTGCATCTTTTTATCAGATTTTGCTGTTCGTATATACTTGTGACTGTTGCCTTTTACTATTCCCTTTCTCTTCCCCAACATTTCTTTTTTCAAATGTACATAGGAGCTTCTCGCATATGAAGAAATGGAAATCATGTATCCTGAACTGTGCCAGAGAATGCAAAATGAAATAATAGATATTATCTTGCAAAATGTATACGTCACACAAGATAGTTATTTAGAGAGAGCAAGAATTTTAATTAGAAAAGGACGAGCATTAAGGACCCACGGGTTTGAAGGTTCAGAGGACTGTGTTCAGTGTTTGTCGGAAGCCATATCTATAATCGTGAGTTATTTAGTCCTACCGTATGTTTCTTTACTCCATTTTTTTCTTGTTATTAATTTGATATACAGAGTTGAGCATGTGACTTACTTGAGATAGTCGTTGAAACAGAATGGTGAAAAACGTAGCCTAGGAGCTCCATCCTGCCATCAATTAGCTGTGGCATATTGCCTGCGAGCACTGTGCATCCAGGAGGCTGAACCAACCTCAAAGGTGTTTATATCTTACAAGGCTGGCTAGTCTCCAGAGTTTACTTTAATGATCTTAGGTGATTAGTTTATATGTTATGTAAAAATGAAGAGGAAGCTCCATATTTTTACTAAATGTTCTCTCTTTGTTTTTTCTTTTATTTTTTTTTCAAGCAGCAAGTATTTCAAGATATCAAAGCTGCCATAAACATATGGTTGGGCATTTCAATTTCAGATGGTAGCAGTATATTGACTGATAGCGTGCTGCCATTGCTGTATAACATAGTTGATTTATTCTCAGTGAAGGTACCTTTTGATCTTGGTTATCATTACAACAAATTTTTCAGCTTAAATTCTTAGTTAACTTTTCTATACAGGGCTCCACAGAGTTTCATCATGACATATATAAGCTGATTATCAGATTATTTGAACAAAAAGAATTGCCACTAGAGAAGTTCTTGCCAATATTGTGGGAGAGTAGAAGACTTAGTCATGCTCTTTGTGTTTCGCCTGTATCTGATGAATTGCTTTTGAACTTATCAAGAGATTATGGCGAACAATTCAAGTCTGCTGGATTTTGGATGGATTGTCTAAAGGGGTTCCCACATTCATTAGTTGGCTTTCAACAAAATTTTTCCTATTTATTTTCAAGTGTTCCCTGTGGCTCATGTAATCATGAAACTTCTTTTCAATTGGCTATCACAGTTGACGATGTTAAACAGGCTGTTCATGAACTCATTTCAAGGGTACGATCACCAAGTTCATTAATTTCTAAACTTCTTAGTTCATACAAAATAATCACTCATTCATTCATTTCTGTTTCTCTCTTTATAGGTACCCATGACCAGTTGTTCTGTTTTCTTCGCTGGGAACCTTTACTACGATTTATCTGAAAAGCTCACTGCAACTGGGCATTTATTTGAGGTAACCTGTTTCATTTTCTTATTTGGTAAAATCTCAACTTCTTAATTCCCTATGACGATTTGGTTCTATATTCACTGGATTTGGATAATGTATGTGACTGGAAATTTTTCTAGAATATGCTATAATGCGCCCTTTAGCTTGTTTGGTGTAGATTGATAGTAAAAATTTTGCTGTCAACTCTACATATTTTTATGAAATAAGTGTCAACGTTGTTTAGTATCCAAGAACATGAGCATAGTGCACATCCTTAAGTTCTTTAGCTTATTAATACTGGAAATGCTTGATAAGATTTTGGAAATCAAATCTGCTGAATGTTTTACCAATTTCATTGTCGGTTTGATCTTGGCCGCACATGCACTTTCTACTTGAATCAAATGGCTTTCGAATCTGATGGATCTCCGTGTCAATATGGCATGTGGCTAAGCCTTCAAATTGGATATTGTTTCTATATGAATGTATGTTCACTTTGTTATGGTTTGAGTTGTTGCATAGCTAGTTTCATTTGTACATATGGGTTTAGTACATAGAAGTAGAACACATGTTGAATTCCTATTACATCTTGATGTAGGTTTTTTTCTTCCTTCTGGTTATGGGTTTCTGAAATTCCACTTTGTTTTCTGTCTCCTACAGGCTCTTTATTATGCAAAAGAGGCTCATCGTTTGCGTACTAAACTCTTCCAAGAGAAATTCACATACTCTGTTGACCAGCAAAATGAGAAGCACATCGAATATAGGGATCATTCTCAAAAGCCTACATATGGTCTTTGCAATCTACGTCTGAACAAATCAATTGTTAGTGAAATGTGGTATTCTGATAGTAATTTGTCTGATTTGGATGCCTGTTATCTTAGTCCATGGAAAGTGCTCCAATGTTATCTTGAAAGCACCCTTCAGGTTGTGTTATCTTTGACTTGTAAGCTTCTGATCTGGGAATTTCATGCATACCCTCTCCGTTCTTTAAAAGCTTATGAATTGGTTTTGGATTGCTCATGCAAATGCAGGTTGGAAGTATCCATGAAAGGCTTGGAAATGGAAGTGAGGCTGAAGCCTTTTTACTTTGGGGGAAAGGCATTTCCTGCCAACAAAGTCTGTCACTGTTTATAGTCGCCTTCTCTTCTGTTTTAGGTATAAAGTCAAGCTTAAGTGCCGTTTTTAGTTGCCTATGGCCATAATTTTGTACTTGTTTAGAATTTGATTTGGTAACTCTTGTTGAAAATGTTAGGAAAACTATATCGTACAAAAAGATGTTGGGATCTGTCAGAAAAGGAAATTCAAAATGCCAAACAAATTTTGGCACATAGTTCCTCTGCTTTTTCTTGCTTAAAGTGCAGATTAATTCTGGAAGTCACTGTTGATCAGCAACTTGCTGATTTATTTCGAAATCGTATTTTTGATGCTACAAGGATTGTTTCAATGGAGATGTTATCTCTTGCTGAAAGTTTGTATAAGTCATCACTTGAAAAACTGAATCTTCCTGTGTGGAAAAACCCTGTTAGTTGTCCCAAAGAAGAGGACGGAATTAGAAATATATTTGCTTGTTCTGATGTGGCTCAGCCAAAAAAGTTGGATTTTGCTTCTACAAGGTCAGGACCAAATGCAAAGGGGAAAGGCAGAAAGTGTAGACAGACCAAGGATACTGCAAGATCCTTATTAAAGGAGCAAACTTCTGCAACTGAACATAATATGAGGCTAACTCGTTCTAGGTATCGTTCTTCTAAAAACCAAAATGCCAACAGTTTTGAGGTTCAACTTGGCCTTTCAAAACAATTCAATGAGAACAATGAGTGTGATTTATTCAATAATATCAACCAAAGGGAGACGTTCTCAGAAATGAATAGCGGCATGGCTGATTTTGGGTCTGAAGTTGCTTGCATTTGTAACAAAATGAAGTGCTGGTTTTGTCTTGCCAAGGATGTTAAAGACTCAGGATCACTGATCAATTTCATATATATGAAATGCGAGCTTGTCCGCAGACGACTCTTCCTGAGGTTACTCAGTGGCAGAGGTATGGTTGTAGCTATATATTAACACTCCATACGATCATTTCAAGTATTCTCTTTAACCAAGTCTGTTTGTGTTGAGTAATGGGGCAGTGGCACGATACTTCAATTTTGATTAAAAAATTTCCCATTTCACTCATGGGTCAGGTCATTATTTAAGAGTAGTTTATGCTAATCCCAAACAGTGAAAAATGGCTAGAGATAGGAGAAAGCAAAGAATAAATTCTCACTCTGGAATTGAAGGATATGAAGTTTTTGATATTTAACAATTGCTTTGTGTGAGCATTTGCAGCAGCGTCTCCTCCATTTGGATTTTCTTTTAACGATTTATGTTCTAATTTTCAGGAAAATGCCTTGATATTCATGGTCAAATCCATGAAGTCCATGAAATTATTCTGCAAAGTATCTCTGTTGCAGTAAGCCAAAATTCATTCACCCAAACTTATTCTACAGTTTCTCTCACTTTTTTGCTTGATTTGGTTGAGAGAGAGCTATGCGGCGATGTATTTGCTATTGAGCGTGCTGCTTTACTTTACAACTTATGCTGGTTCTTTTTGAAGAGTTACAGTTCAAAAGACAGCAGGTATTTGTTTGATCAGTACATTCATCCTTTACATCATTATGAAAGCATGTTTGTCAAAGACGAACACTAATTCAAGGATGCATTGATAGGTCCTTTTTTTGCTCTAAGCTTCTAATGTGAACTAATGTCTAGAAGTGAGCAATGGTCTTCATACATGCTAATATCAACTGTAGAACTTCTCTTTCTGGATAATTGATATGTTTCCTTTTTCTTGATTGATTTTGCACTAGGAGCATTTGCTGCGATCTGTCCCACATTCAGTTCCAGAAGATAGTTTCTTGCTTGAAGCTAGCCTTTGTGCTCTCCCGTGAAGTTCCTTTACTTTTTCAGAAGGTCATCCTTGTCTTGCTTTACTATGTTATAATTTACTTCTATTTTCACTTGTCTTAACGTTACCTTAGTTCATATCTTGCCCTTCCTTCTATGTTGTTATACATTATTGATATTTGAATAATCATATGAAATTGCAGGTTTCCAGATTGCTTTCTGTTATTTATGTTCTTTCTTCCTCAAGTGAGCTTTTTTCTTTGCCATCTTGTGGCAAAGTGCTCTCTGAAAGTCACTGGGCTTCCTATTTTCATCAAGCTTCACTTGGTACTCATCTTACTTATCAGTTCTTTACAAGCATCACAGGGAAACATAAAGCTGAAAGGCTCATAGCTAATCAGGTATATTTGCATGCTTATTGTTTCTTCCTTTCTTTAGTTTGAATTGCTCTATAGATTAAATATCTTCTTGAGAGATCCTGTTGAGTGATGAATAATTATTCTCCTAAGTTCCTTTGATATTTTTTTTTTTTTTTTTTTTTTTTTTTTTTTTTTTCTCATCGAATTAGCTTATGCGTTCTGTTACAAGGCATCACAGGGAAACTAAAGCTTGACAGAGGGCTCATAGCTAATCAGTATATTGTGCATGCTTATTTGCTTTTGCCTTCTTTAGTTTGAATTGCCTCGTTATAGATTAAATACTCTTCTTCGAGAGATTCCTGTTGAGTGATGGAATAATTATCTCCTAAGTTCCTTTGATATTTTTTTTTTTTTTTTTTTTTTTTGGTTTTTATTTTACTAATCAACTTTGATTTGGTCTCACTGTTGCTGTAGCAGGGACTGAAGGGAAGGATTAGTAGCTTGACTTCCTGATTATTGACGAATATTATGACAGTTTAATAACAGAATATGAGTGTATTTTGAGGGATTGGAGTGTTTATCTTATTTGATGTTATTTCCTTCTATCTGCACGGCTTTTACTAAATTCTGGACGCAACAAAACAAAAGAAGCGAAAAGTAAACTCGCCCAAGGTTTCAGGCTGTTACATTTGCATTAATGAGGCTTTCCATGGTTTAAAACAATTCTTGAGTTTTCTTACTTTTCTTTTTTTTTTTTTTTTTTTTTTTTTTTGGTTTTATTTTCTAATCAATTTGATTTGGTCTCACTGTGCTGTAGCAAGGACTGAAGGGAAGGATTAGTGCTTTGACTTCTATTATTGAAGAAATATTATGACAGTTAATAACAGAATATGAGTTATTTGAGGGATGGAGTGTTTATTTATTGATGTTTTTTCCTTCTATCTGCAGGCTTTACTAAATTCTGGCGCAACAAACAAAGAAGCAGAAACATGTAACTCGCCAAGGTTTCAGCTGTTACATTTGCATAATGAGGCTTTCCATGGTTTAAAACAAATTCTGAGTTTTCTTATTTTCTTTGTGCTGCAGGCTTGCACCCAAGTCTCTTCAATTTCTGGAACAATTTGTGACAGAATTTTTTTTGAACCTTCCTTGCACGACAGTCATTTGCATAAGTTTGATTGAAGGTCCTTGTGCAACTTTATTACAAGAACTTCTGAAGTATCCTTCATGCGTCCATACATGGATGCTGTTGTCACGTTTGAATTTTAAGAACCAACCTATTGTGATGCTTTTGCCATTGAATGCAATTTTAGAAGGTACTTTGCATAGATATAAACGGATAAATTGATTTGTGAAATTTATACACATCCATTTGTGTGCATAAGTTATCTCATACAGCATAGTTAATAATCGATGAAAATTTATCAGAAGCTTCAGATGATGATGAAGACTTTTCAGAGAGAAATGGCTTGGATAAACATTGGCATTGTCCCTGGGGTGTCACTGTCATTGATGAAGTTGCACCTGCATTTAAACTTATATTGGAGGAGAATTACTTATCCTCATCGATATTTCCTTTAGAGGACACCAAAGAAAATAGAACTTTATGGTGGATGACGAGAAAGAAGCTAGATTGTCAACTTGGTAAATTGTTGAGGTAGTTATCTCAAGTCAACACGACTCAAAAAATTCTCAGTATGAAATTAGTTTTCTATATGCCTTTACTTCGTATTGTATGTTCTGGTTTCTTTTGTATGGCTTAGATGGGTGTGGTAAGATGATATGGGATGGAACACTTTCCAACATCCAGTGATCCATCTTCATAGTTAAAACCTAAAATGAATCATTCTTGCCTAAGCCGGATTCATGAATACGGTATACCAGTTTCATACAAGAAATGTCACTGTATAAGTGGGCCTTATCCCATGTGGGAGTAGTCTCACGTATGGTGGGATCTATCCCATGTCATAGCGGTTCACATGGACCCGATCTAGGCAAGAAATTTCAAGTTAAAATACGTTTGTTTGGTTCTAATTGATTAAGTTTGTTGGAGGTGGAAATTTTTTTTTTATTCCTGACCTCTTATTAGACTTAAAGAAGTACGTTAAATATGGCACCTTAATCCATTCATGTATCTTTCTGCTGCTTTAGCATAATCCAGTTTTGCTCACTGATTTACTTGGTGCTTAAAGATTTCATGCATTTTATGGTCAGGAAATTAGAAGATATATGGTTCGGTTCTTTGAGGCATGTGCTTCTAGGAGAATTATCCAATCACAACCACCTAGACTCAGTGCTGAAGAAGCTGAAGTGCAATCTTAAATCCAAATGCAAAGTGGATATAAATGAAAGTTTTCTCAAAGTTACTCTTGGAGCTGGAAGATGTGCATTAGATGGAGAAGTATGTGTTTCTGACTTGTTATCGTTGAGAAAAGGTTGCTTCATTGGGAAAGCTCTATATTCTGATGGAAAAACTCATGAGGACAACAAATCTGAAGGAGTTCGGAAACTGCCTGACTTGGCCATCCAACTGCTCTCTGAGGCTGTGAATGAACTTGAAGAGGACTCTGTTAACAGAGAACCTGTAATTTTGGTGTTGGATAGTGAAGTGCAGGTGGGTGTGCCCTTCTGGGTTTTGTTTTCCACTCATCAAATTCTGAGATTAGTCTTACTTATTTGTATAAATGCTTTGTCTCTCATTTAGGCATAATAGAGGCTGAAATAGTATCTGTCTGGGTTGGTTTAGTTAAAAAGTAAAGGCTCAATTTTGAAATTTTTGCATTGGTAATTGTACAGTTGATTTGCTTACATCAACTGAGAAATATATCGCATAAACTAGCATATAGAGACCAAGATGGAGGACTTCGGAACTGATCCGACTGTGAACCTCTGGTTCTAATATACCCAAATTGCTTTCCAGCTTTTGCTAGGACTTTCAAATGATTGATTGTCTTATGAGGGCTTTTTCTATCACCAGAATGTTTACCTGAATAGTGCATATCTAAGTAATTCCAGGTGTTAGCATGAATGAGAAATGACATGCTCAGACTGATTATTTTATGTTTTCATTAATCATTACCCATGGTTTTTCACAGATTGAGAATACATTTCACTTTTTAAAGATGTTGTCTTTCCTTAGGTTAGCAAGGTGATTTACTAATTTCACATATTTCCACATCAAGCCAACATTTGACATCGACTCTATTCATTTGGATTGGATGAGATTTCACATTCTTCTTTTTTATTGTTATTGTTATTCATTTAAGCTGATTATGACTACATACAGATGCTTCCATGGGAGAATCTGCCAGTTCTTAGAAACCAGGAGGTCTATCGAATGCCTTCTGTTGGCAGCATCTGTCTGACACTTGATAGAAGCTGCAACCATCAAGAGCAAATAGGAAGGATAGTTTCTGCTTTCCCTGTCATAGATCCGTTGGATGCATTTTACTTATTGAATCCCAGCGGTGATCTAAGCAGCACCCAGGTTGAGTTTGAGAACTGGTTTAGAGATCAAAACTTTGAGGTAATTTCTGTTCTACACCATTTTAGTCACAGAAAAAAGAACAACAGGAAGTTTGTATTGTGAACTCAGTGCTAGTCGTCTCTAGCGCTGTTGTAGCAAACAAACAGGGACCTATTCACGCTTTCTTCTTTTTCTTTCTCTTCTTTCCTTTTTGCCCTTTTGAAATTTTGAAGGTGATTAATATTTAGGTATGTGTGATTCAAGATTACTGAAGTATTTCTTCTAATGATACCCATTAAATATTTGATTCAGGGGAAGGCTGGATGTGCTCCTACTGCTGAAGAATTGACTTTAGCCCTAAAAAGTCATGATCTGTTCTTGTATTTTGGCCATGGAAGCGGTATGCATAATCTCATGTGCTAATGCACTGAATCACATGATTTTTTTTTTTATTATTCTGCACTCATCTTGAATTACGTGTAATATACTTCTGGTGGTACAGGAGCTCAATACATTTCTCAGCAAGAGATTCAGAAGCTGAAAAATTGCGCTGCTACCCTTCTGATGGGATGCAGTAGCGGTGCGTTGTCATTAAATGGCTCTTACATTCCACAAGGTACTCCCCTGTCCTATCTTCTAGCTGGCTCTCCCATCATTGTTGCAAATCTCTGGGAAGTCACAGACAAAGATATTGATCGGTTCGGGAAGGCAATGCTTGATGCCTGGTTGAAGGAAAGATCTAGTGATTGTTCCCAATGCAATTTACTAACAAAAGAATTTGAGGCCATGAACTTGAAGGGACAGAAAGTTACTACTAGGAAGAAGGCACAAACAAGAAAAGAATCTGAAACTTGTGATAGTGAGTCCTTAAAGAATTGTTGTAATCATAGAGCCAGGATTGGATCATTTATGAGTCAAGCTCGGGAAGCTTGCACACTCCCTTTTCTGATTGGAGCATCTCCAGTTTGTTATGGTGTTCCTACAGGTATAAGGAGGAAGAAGGATTTGTAGCATTATTATTTGGCCATATTGACTTGGATTTATTTTTGAGGTCCTTTGACAACATTAACAGCACAACTGTACCAGAAAATTTAGCTGACATCCACTGATAGGTCTTTTTATGTGAGATTGCAATGTTCCTCAATCATTCCTTCTGTAATACGGATGTACATTTTCGACAAGTGTATGTCTTCTTTCTCTGTCGTGGCAAGCTGAAGAATGTACGCCTTGTATATACTATTGAATAATCTAAAATTCAATCTGAATTCTAGCAGAATCTTTCAATTTTAGTATTGAGGGTAGTTGTAAAACAAAATTTTGTTTAAAACCCCAATAGTTTTTGTCAAGAAATTTATTTGTTGAAACTTCTCTAGTTTACCCTTAATCTTAAAATTATACTTCTGCTGCATACGTCCAAGCAATTTCTCAAAAAAAGTGAATCCCGGCAACTTTCCACACTGAAGAGGGTAGATTTCATAATTTCATCACAATCTGCAGATGACAACAGAAAGAATATGAAAAAAAAATGCAATTTAATCAGGATGATTAAATACATGTTTACATACATGTTTACAGGTTATTTTGAAACAGATGAATGTTCATTGCGAACCATACAGGAGGATAGAAGGCAATTGAGAGACTACATCTAATATGATTATATAACAGGCAATGAAAAGGTCAGCCATTTTTTGCATATCTCCCAGCCAATATATCGCAGAAACCATGCAATATTAATTAAATACATGAAATTTTCAAGTCAATTCCTTTGTGTTTCTTTTTCTTATCCCAGAAATTTGCCCTTCCTAAAACTATGTACCTACTGAAAGCTGCTTATCTTCAAGTACCCATTTCAAATCATCTCTGACCTCCACCTGCCTCTCTATGCCTGCGCCTCCTACCCGAACGTCCCAAAAGCACTCTGCCATGGCGTCGAAGGCGACTTACAAGTGACAATCCACCATCACCATTGTCGTTATCAGTGTCATTATCATCTGAGGAATTTGAACCACCAGTGAGGAAGGCATGCTGGACACCATCAGCACTCTCATCCATGGCTCGGTGGTTGAGCCTGTCAGACTGCCTCAGTCGTCTACTAAGACCCTCTCCCGATGGCCCAAATGCATGCAACAGAAGGAAGACATTCACCAAATTTCGATCAAAACCCACCTCAAAACCTCCATTCCTCTCTGCTGCATCTGCATCAAAATTCCCATTTTCTTCATCTGTATCAAAACCGTAATTATTTCCCTCTATGACGTAATCACCAAAAACCATTGCCCCAGGCATCGTTGACCTTATTGTACTAAGTACATCGTCATGTTCACGCTCCCTCTCAAGCCTTCTCCATTTCTGCTCAAGAATTGGATCAACTTCACGTGGCCTTGCAGAGGGATGAGCTGTCCGCATGTGCTTCCTTAGCTCCTTGTAAGTTCCAACAAATGAGCAGTCTTCCTGCATGCAGCTTCTCTTTTTGGCATTAAGATATTCTCGAGCAGGTTCCACCACAGTGCATCCTTTCACCTGGCCCCTGCAAAGGGGGCAAGCAAGTTCTGTGACTTCACACTTGTCAACAGGCAAACCAGAGTCTGATAGCAGAATTGGATTATCAGCAGTACCACTGGAGGGGGTCACTTTAGTGTAAGCCTTTTTGTACTGGTCAAGGCAATTGGAATATCGAAAGCTAGTTGCACACATATAGGGACGACAACCCTTGTCATGGGAGGAACAGAGCAGAAGAACAGCATTATGTGGGCACTCCATGCACACAGAACATGTTACATCTTCCCAGTCTTTCTTATCCAACACTTTGGAGGACTTCTTAAGGTACAAATCCTCCAAGACATCCTGATTACAAGATGGCTGTGGGTATGGTGTTGGCCTGCACCTATGTCGTCCCCTGCTACCCTTTGCCATATCAAGCTAAACCTAACAATCCATATACAAGAATTCATGAGTTACTTCAAAATTCCATCAGAATCCGATCCTTGCTCAGCTCCAGCTTCACAGGTCGGATATGTAGGCAGGAGAAAACATTGATGGATTATAAGAAACTGACTTGCAAGCATGACAAAAATTGACTAAAATAATTTTAAACAGAACAGCCTCCATTATCGAAACTTTTAGCATATAGACAAAGGACTCCTCTAAAAATCTAAAAGATTCAATTTGTTTCTTTTCCACCAGTAAAAGAATAATGCATTGATAGAAGAGAAGAAAGAAGTAATTACAAGGACAAGGCATCCAATAAGAAAGCAGAACTTAATGGGATAACAGCAGGCAAGAGGACAAGATTAGCAGATCAATTCATATTAAACATACCACACTTAAGATGGGCAATGCTTTTAAATGAGATTTAAGTGTCAAATTTCAGCTTATCCTTGCGTTATGAAGACATTCTAATAGCACCGCTCAAAATCAAAACAAATAAATTCTAGTCACAGAATAAAGAGAAGGAGAGGGAGAGGATGGGCTACAAAAAGTTCAATAATGTACAGCATTCAAATTATGAATTAGTAAATCAACCTAATTCAGCTGCTTGGTTTTCTGTTTTTGGATTTTATAAATAAGCCACTTAAATGCAACCAAAATTTGTTATTTGATTCTTATGTTTCACATATAATCATTCAATGTATGGTTTGATTCAATTATGAGCAAAATTATACATGGCCACCGATGGATTACATCAAAAGTATGCGTTTATTTTTATTTTTTTATTTTTTTTGGAATGTCTAATGTTCCTTGATATGCAAAAATATAAGACAAAAGGGAGTGAGCAGTATCCATATCCTACAAGAGAGTTTTATAACAACTGCATTTTGAGCATTAAGCTTAAAACATGTAAAAACCACAACTACAACAGAAAAACAACTTAACATCACAAGAAAATAATAAAAGGTCAGCTATGATTATTTTCTCGCAAATGAAAATCTCAATCAATACAATGCATTAAAAAAATTAGCATCCTCACAATGAAAATAGCCGACCAATAAGCAATGGCATTGACACAGACTAATGTCCAAGTTGACTGCATATAAAACAAAATCACTAAAGTGCTAAATAAATAGGACAGCATTTCCACACCTCATGATCATTAGAATCTTCTCTGCCTGTATGCATGTAGCAATGTAACATTTCAGTGAAATAAGTCCTACGACAATATAATAAACATAAGCAAATTAAATAGAACTGGTCTATGTTGACTTAATTAATCTCAATCCATTATATTATTCAATCATTATGGAAGAGCAGTCAATCCCACAAGAAATCCATTCTATCATTTCACCAGGAAGTGTTGTCATTAATGACCCATATGTAACTCGCAAGTCAGAAGGTGAGATATAAAAAATTGCCTAACAGATTTTCACCGGCATTCCAAGCCAAAAATTCGTGAAACCTAGACATTCAATTATCCATGCGATTCCACATCAATGTTCAAGTTAATAGATGACTTTTGTATCAATTATTTGCACATCCTTAGAAAAGATAACAAGAACATAAACCACAGCATTAGCAAAGACGGGGCAAACACTAAAATTTCTACACAGATTGCATTGTCATGCATCTATGATTAGTTGGTTGAAATTAGGCCACATCGAGACTACTATTGAGGCATAACATCATAAGAAGCACAAAAAAACAGGATAAGCTTAGATGCATCACATAGGCGGATACAAAAGAGTTCTGTTTTTCTCTCTCCAATTCAATAAAGAAAATAAGAAAAGGGAAATGAGTAGCTGGAAAAATCATATAATTAAGTGGCAAGATTAGCTTTCATGCTAGCTACAATCTTATGAATGCAGAACATGAAGATTCAAATACCAAATCCAATCAATATGGATGCATGATTTAACCAATATAACGCAAAAACAGGTTCAATTCAGCAAAATTAAACTGAATTGCACAAATTAACTTTCTCCACCGCTCAAAAGATGCAGAGTAAATACATTCAAACCTGAAAGAGGCAAAATTAATCAAAAAATCCAATTGCACTACTGCGCTCTCAAAATTTAAACAATTACAGGGTATTAATCAAAAATTGTAATCAAAATCTTAACTTTATATAGAGACGAGTTGATACCTGTGTTCCAATTCACAAAATTCGAGCAAATCTAGATCGAATAGAGAGAATAAGTTGAGGCGAGAAAATTGTATCTGATTCTGATATATAAAAATATTCACCACCAAAACAAGCAATAACAAAGTCAGAGATTCATATATATTAATTAATTAATCAATTACCCAAATACTAAAGAACGTGCTTAGCTAAAGAATCACGCTAAACTGACAAATAATTCATCAATAAAATAATGAAAAGAACATGAAAGCTAACCCTATGGTCACATGGCCCCCCTACAACCCTGACCTCTTTATCCGTCTGAGATCCAAAATTTATTATTATAACCGATATTTTGCCAAAAAATAAAGCATGCAACCAAATGTTTTAACTTTAAGCTACTCCAAAATCATTGCTTCAAAAAATTACACAAATATTTTCCTTTCCACACTGTTTGATTGATTAGAGACAAATATATATAAACCCAAAAGGAAGAAAAAAAAAGAAATATCATAAATGAAAACCCACCTCAAAAACCTAGAATCCCATCAATTTTTTTTTTTCAAAATGGAAAATCTCGTACTGTATCTCATATTTGCTACAAGTAGTAGCAACAAGACACACATACATATACATATACAATTAAACGAAGGGAAGCATTATATATATACATACCTAAGAACTGAAGAGAGATTTCGACACAAAAAATATAAGAGGAGAAAAATTCAAGGAGAAATATAGAAAGATAAGGAAATTAGGGTTTGGTAGTTTGATTTTTGACAAGAAATCGAATCGAAAGCTAAGGCGAAGAGATCGAGACAAAGGGACGGAGGGACTTATGGGCGGGAGTGAAATTCCTTCTCAATTTATTTTCTCTCTGTGAAGCTTAAAAATGGAAAAAAAGAAAAAACAGAGAGAAAGAAACTGCGAGCTTTTATCGGATTCGTCGAGTCATTTCTACGCGATGCATTGTACTATAACTACTGAGACTGTAAATGATTCGAAGACGCGCGAGGAAGGAGTAATCTGAACCACGCGCTGCTTGAACTTCGAGAGAGATGGAGGCGATTCTCGGTGTTCCACGCTTCGGGTTTGTTTGAGACACCACGCGCTGTTTTGTTACAAGACAGGTGGATTATTTGTTAGGCCACGCCATTGTTTAATGGTTTTAGCGAGTTTGAGAAGGTTGGAGATGATGATGGCTGCGGTCCTGCGGAACGTTTGAGGGTTGGTGGCGGCTAACGCGATCTGATGGAGCGTGTAAGAGACGTGAGCTTTACTGGGCTTAAGACGTCACGTGCTGTTGACGATTGCCTAATGTTGGGCTGTTTGTTTAGTTTTGGACCTTTTCGTCCATCTAACTTACATAAGGGCTTATGTGGATAAAGATAAGGTAAGGTCGACCTCATATGTAGCGTATAAACCTTGATTTTTTTCTGCTTCTTTATGTTGGATAACTTGGATCGTTAGAAAGCGTGGAATAATCTTGTGGCATCCGCACTAACCTTGTTTGATGCCTTTTCCTTCTTTTCTTTTTTCTTTTTTTTATAAATATGTTCTTTCTTTTTACATTTTGCCATATTAAAAAATAAAAATAAAGTTCATTCGAACGAAATTTTTAAAAATTTTTTTTTTTGGAGAGATAAAAATTTATTTTTCATATTTAATGGGACAAAAATGATTTTTTGAAAGAATTTTTTTTTTTCAATGTAGAGCAGTGATTTCCTCAAATATATATATTTTATTCATTAAATTTTTAGTTGATAGACACATGCAGTAGCCTAATATTCAAGCTTGCACATTTTAAAACGTAACGTAGCTTGACATTCATTTACATATTAGATTATAAGAAATCATAATACATAAACATTTAAAGAAAAAAAAATAACGATGAATGAACTAAAATAAATATATTAATATTATATTATAATAGGAGATAATCAGAAATAACATTTATTTAGTGGTCTTTATAACTTGGATCAAGTGAAGTCCAGCCCAAAAAAGAAAACAAAAGGAAAACTTAAACTATAATCTGTACTTGAGATCCGCAAGCTAGCCGTAAAGGCCCACATAAATGGGCAAGCTTAAATTTTTTTTTTTTTTTTCTAAAATAAATATATTATAAAAAACACTAATGAAAAATTTGACAATCAAATCGAGTTAGTTCAGTTGAATTTAATTTTCAGTTTGGACTTAATCTTTAGGGTAAATTAGTTTGATTTTTAGTATTATTAGGTTTTTCTAATTTGATGTTATAAAAATAAAATTGAAGTTTTCTACAAAACCAAACTAAATTTCTTTAAAATCAAAACAAAACCAAATCGAATTGGTTCTATTCGAGGTGGTTCAGTTCTAAGAGAAGAATCAAACCATCTTTTTTGAAAAGACTAAAAGGGGTATTTAGTAATTGACTGTCCTTGACCAAAATGGGCAGAGAAAAGTTGAAGGAAGGAGGCAGCAAAAAAGTTAAATTAAAATATGAATTTTTATTGTTATCAAGTAAACATATTTTCCATTTTGTGTTTTCTAGTTTTCATTTTCTAAGAAAAATGTTTTCTTAGAAAACAAAAAATAGAAAACAGAAAACTGTTTTCAAACATCTTTTTTTGAAACTGTAACATTCTCATTTGTATTTAATTTTATTTGGGTAGATGTATTTGAGAGGTTCAAAGATGAGAAAGGTGAATTCAAGGCATCACTTTGTGAGGATGTGAAAGGATTGTTGAGTATGTACGAGGCTTCTTTCTTTGGGTTTGAAGGTGAAAGTAACATAGATGAGGCCAAGATCTTTAGTACCAAAAGTTTGATGGCTCTGAAAACATTATATTTGCTAAAACGCAATTCTCAATTTTTGATTTCTTGCATTACTATCCAATTCAACCTCAAACGTTTATTCTTCTCATTACGCAAATGGAAATTCAATTAAGTATACTTTGTCTTTCCAATTCACTTTTTTTTTATTAATTTCATTATTTTTAATATTCTGATAGGCCAATTGGATAGTTTTGAAATCATGTTATAAAGAAATTATAATTTTATTTCTTGTAAATTTCTTATTTTATTTTATTCCATTCACTTGCAATGTTACCAAATAAATGGGAAAAAGAAATGGCATAACAAAATATAAAAAGGGGTTAAAAACTTAAAGTAAACTAAAAAAAAAAAAAAGCATAATTTTCTAATTATGTATACCTTTCTTTTTAATTTTACGTATGTGTTGGATGCTTAAGCAAATGTGATATTTAAATAAAGTCGGTACAACCTTTTAATAGTAGCAATTTTAATTTTTCACTCATCCAACCGTCTGTTGATAATAATTATATATTAGTAACAATAATAATTAGTATACAATTGAATCAATGGAAGTGAACTGCATCTCTAGAAAAAATTTTACCTGTAAATATAGAATTTAAAATCACCAACTCTCACAATTGGAAGGAAGGAGATGCTTTATTTATTACTTAATTTATAATATAGATAATTGGAGTTGTAAAAAATAAAACACTGACTCCATCTAAATTACTTCACAAGCAAATTATTATCTTATTATAGCCGATGGAAGAATAAGAAATAGAAAGTAAAAAGACAATCAAGTGTGGTTTAGTTAGTTTTCTCAGTAGAGTGAAAAGTTAGAGATCTTGGGTTTGAATCTTCTCAGACATAAGAGCTTTTATCAATTTAGTAAGTGCATTGAAAAATTTAGAGTTCTCAATAAGAACTCGTTTCTAAAATTAGAGATTCAAAAATATGATAAATGGATTTATACACTTATATAATTTTAAATAACTGAAAATATTTTTTATTATAGATATTTAATAAAAGAAGTTTTTTTATTCATTATATTGATTTATCAAATTGGTAAAAATACTTATGGTCGGATGATATAAATTTGAGACCTCCTTTGAAAAGACTAACCACGTCTCATTCGATCAGCTCTAATTAAAGGATTATCATTGTTGTGTAGCGCATTGTGTTAAAAAAAAAAAACCATTGCTGTATACATTTTGCCACTGGCCTGCAGCTGCTGGTGTTTCAGAGGTAGTTTAGGTTGTCAGTTTGCATGGAGAAAGAGAACTACCCAATACTCATGCATTTAATCTGCAGTTAACCCCAACCTAAATCATTACCTTTGCACATTAATTACAAAACATTTACTTTTACTATTGTTGTGCTTTCTAACCTTTTTTTTCTACAGTTTTCCCTTCATGTAAATTATTAAAAAAAAAAAAAAAACCAAACATGCTGATATTTTTCAAAAATATATTTTCTTATTGCAAATTTTATTTTTCATTTGTTGAAAGTCCAATGAGCCGTAAGAACATTATGTATTACATAATAAAAAAATATTTTTTTCTACTCACCAAAATAGTGAAAACTCTTGTGGTGAAAAGTTTTCAAACCTACGGCTCCATAATGTACCAAAGGTTGAAAAGTAAAAAATGGTTTGTTTACAAGCATTGCTTTTAGCATGTTCATGTAGTTCTAGTTATACCAAGTTCATTACCACAAGAAGAAAAGAGCAACAAATCTTTATTATCAAACAGTCCAATTATCCAGTTGGGCTACTAATTTACCCTATTTAGCAGTGCAAAAGTGTTGATTTCCTTTCTCTAAGCAAAATGTCCAGCTTTATTCCAAATTTGTACTTCTTAAAAAGTAAAAATAGTCCAACTTGTTCCTGATTTGTACTTGAAGATTTATGTTGGCATCTTTCACAGTTCACAAGTAGTCCTTAGCCAAGACTATGTAACAGCATGGTACAAGATATAATGAATTATGATTCTTGCTTTATTTAAAAAATAATAACAAATTTTGGCAATTCCATGTATTTTCTTTTTCAGATTTCCTATAATTAAAAAAAAAAAAAGGAAATTCTCATCTAATTGCTGAAATTTTGCATGAATATTTTCTTTCAAATCATTTTCTTTTTCTTTTAGTATTAAGAAAATATTTGGCAAAATTAGATATTTTGGTAGTTATTAGTCGTTTTAATAGAGTTTAGCTATTCGAGTAAATTTTTCTTAATACGCTAAAAGCTAAACGTTATATGAGTTTACCTTTTACAGAATGCTATTTTAACTTCTAGTCTCATCTAAATGCTTGAATTTTGCATGAATATTTTCTTTCAAATCATTTTCTTTTTCTTTTAGTATTAAGAAAATATTTGGCAAAATTAGATATTTTGGTAGTTATTAGTCGTTTTAATAGAGTTTAGCTATTCGAGTAAATTTTTCTTAATACGCTAAAAGCTAAACGTTATATGAGTTTACCTTTTACAGAATGCTATTTTAACTTCTAGTCTCATCTAAATGCTTGAATTTTGCATGAATATTTTCTTTCAAATCATGAATTTTTGGCATGAAATTTCTTTCAAATCATTTTTCTTTTTCTAAATCATTTTCTTTTTCTTTTAGTATTAAGGAAATGTTTGGCAAAATTAAGTATTTTGCTAGATATTAGTTGTTTTAATAAAATTTAGCCGTTTGAGTAAGCTTTTCATAACATGCTAAAATTTAAATCTTATATGAGTTAACCTTTTACGAAATACTAATTCAAATATATGTTACGAAATGCTATAAACAGTTAAAAGTTACTTAAAAAGTTATTGCCGAATACAATTTAACTATAGATATCATTAACTCGGCTAGGATTAAATCTTGCTCGCGGATATCTATTTTCTATTTTTATACTGAGGTTGAAGAAAAGAAAGATAAAACTTCCAACCCCATGATCTTTTCAGGTAGGAATAAAGAACTGTGGCATTGCACTGACAAATGGAAACAATTGCTTAGAAATATTGGGAAAGGAAACAAATTTGTAATAAATGGAAGGAAGAAAGAAATAAAAAATAAAAAAGGCAAAACTGAAATTCATCTGGAAATTTAAATAAAAAAAAATATTAGAGATTGTGAGTGGGGCCCAATAACAAGAATCTGAGTAACAACCTCCCTTTCTGTGAACAAAAGGAAATCATCACATAAGGCATGCAGTATTTGCAGTTCCATCTTTCAATTCCTTCTCCTCCTCCTACCACCTTCCTTTCTCTCTTATTTCATTTTCATATATAATTTATGCTAAAATTTCCATTTCGTCTCTCTCTATCTCTAACAAACCTTCTCTTTTCATAACTGCAACTGAAAGAAATATATATTGGTTCCATATTCACACTTTTTTCTTTCAATTCTCTGTAAAACTAGCTAATTTCGCATCTGGGTTTTTGTTGTTGAAGCTTTTGATCTTACTGTAAGATTTTTATTGAAATCTTGTTTTATTTTTTGCGTTTTAAATTTCCTTTTCTTATTCTTTTTGGGCTTTGTTGATGGCTTTTGTATCTTATGTAGCTAGATCGGAAAAATGTATGAAGAGACGGATTGTTTTGATCCAAACTCCATAGTGGAAGGACCTGATGGTGAGCTTTGTCAAGTCTTGCAACCACCACCACCACCACCGCCACTTATGGCGGGTAGTAGTACTACAAACAGCCATAATAGCCTTGAAGAAAATCTTAAGCTATCTGCGGATGAAATTTGTCACCATAGCTTGAATAATCCACATCTAGAAGAGGATGCTTCTGCTGCTACTGCTGCTGTTATGGAAATCCAACTTCAAAACCAACAAATGGGTTTGAATACCCATTTAATTCATGAACCATCGAATCATTTGGCTTTTACATCATCATCTTCTCTACCAGATTCATCATATACTCCACCACCAGACCTGCTTAACCTTTTTCACTTACCCAGATCGTCCTTGCTTCCAAATTCTTCAATTTCTTTCACAAACCCTAACCATACAACTCCATTAGGCTTTGTTGGAGATCTTCCAATGACAGACACAGCTTCTGCTTCTTCTATTCTCTATGACCCACTTTTTCACCTTAATCTTCCTCCACAACCTCCTTTATTTAGGGATTTGTTTCAATCTTTGCCTCAACACGGCTATTCCTTGCCTGGGTCAAGAGGCAGTTCTTTGTTTGGTGGTGTAGGGGATGATCATGTAGAGGGAAGTGGAGGAGTGAATCTTTATCAAGAAGGAGATGGAGAGCAGCAGTTTGATAATGGGGTTTTGGATTTTACATGGGATATGGCTTGTATGGGTAAAGGTAGACAAGGTGGAAATATCAAACACTTTGCTACTGAGCGTCAAAGGAGACAAAACCTCAAAGATAAATATGATGACTTGAAAAATTTGGTCCCTAACTCTTCTAAGGTATTTAATTAGTTTCTCTTTCAATATCCCATAGATATATAGTTAAGCTCCTCCTTTAATTTCTAGTTGAACAAAATTAATTTAAGAAGATAAAAGAGAGCAAAATCTTTAGTTCTAATTGGTTTCATTTGAAAGGTGTTTGTTAAAATTACACAGACATATATTTTTCTTGATGTTACATTAGCTAATTCAGTTGTTATTTATGTTGTTTGATGAGAAAGAGTGATAGAGCCTCTGTGGTTGGAGATGCAATTAGTTACATCAAAGAACTTCTTAGAACTGTAAATGAACTGAAAATTCTGGTGGAGAAAAAGAGATTGGCCAGAGAGAGGAGAAAGAGACAAAAGATTGAAGAAGATTCCATTGGCAATGGTCCTGAGAGCAAGATTATTGACGATCCAGATCAGTCTTTCAATAATGGGGCATTAAGGAGCTCTTGGCTTCAAAGAAAATCCAAAGACACAGAGGTAGATGTTAGAATAATAGATGATGAAGTTACTATTAAACTTGTTCAAAGAAAGAAGATCAATTGCTTGCTGTTTGTATCCAAAGTTCTTGATGAACTTCAACTGGATCTTCATCATGTTGCTGGTGGACATGTTGGTGATTACTACAGCTTCTTGTTTAACTCCAAGGTTAGCGTTCATAATTTGGTTTTAACGCATTTTTTGATGTTCAATTAGGTTTTAATTTAACTAGGTTTTAACCCATTAAACTTGTAATGTTCAGATATATGAAGGATCTTCAGTTTATGCTAGTGCAATAGTGCATAATTTTGGTTTTAACGCATTTTTTGATGTTCAATTAGGTTTTAACTTTAACTAGGGTTTTAACGCCCATGTAAACTTGTAATGTTCGAGATATGCAATGAAGGTCTGTCAGTTTGTTGCTTAGTGCAATTAGCAAACAAGCTGATGAGGTGGTGGGACAGGCAGTATGGCGGATCAAAACTCCATCTACAAGGCTGGCTATTAGGCAGGCCAAGAAGTTGGTAGGGTGAAAGGAGATGAGGTAGGTAGGTTATGAAGTGGCTAATTAGAGTAGATGTAATTGATTGAGGTGGTGGACAGGCAGTATGCATCAACTCCATCTACAAGCTGCTATTAGCAGGCCAAGAAGTTGGGTAGGTGAAAAATGAGGTATAGGTTATGAAGTGGCTAATAAGAGTAGATGTAATGTTTGAGAATTTGAGACAAATCAGTAAAGTTATAAAAGATAATGTACTTTTTCTTAGCGAAACTAATTGCTTTCTAATACGTTTTAGCCAAATGGGTGTTGATTATGTGGATTGAAATATTTTTTTGGAGTTAAATCAACTTAATCTACAGTTACCAAGTTAAAATTCTTTGATGGTTACCTATATCCGAAAGCTTATTGGATTATAACTATGTCCGACTCGAGTACTCCAAGGCCTATATAGGATACGACATTCATAATAATGTTAAAATTCTAATAAATTCATAATAATTTTTTTAATATATATATACTACATAAAGCTTAGAGACATTCATCATGAAGTGAAAATTCAAATATTTTTAAAATGATTTTTTTGCAAAATAATATATTTTTGAACTGCTAATGAGAAAAATATTATAATAAGACAAATCAAGCCATCAAAAATTACTTTTAAGATAAATCAATCTGATATGTCATGGTTTATTTTTCTCATTATTCTAACTACATAACAAGCTTTTTCGGCTCGGCCCATTTTAGAACCGAGTTTGCATGGGCTAGGCCCGGCCCGGCCGAACAATCCATTTTGACAGAGCTAACATTGAATATTCTAAAACTAGAAAGGCAAGATTGAAAATCTTCTGAAAATATAGGATTATAATGAGATTACGAGTGGGGCCCAATAACAGGAATTAAGTACACAAATATCCCTTAGGAAAGGAAATCATCACATAAAGCTTGCATTTTCTGCAGTTCCTCTCTTCCTCCTACCACCTTCTTTTCCTACGTATTTCATTTTCTAATTTATGCAAAAATTTCCATCTTTCTCTTTCTTTCTTTATAACAAACACACACTCTCTCTCTCATAACTGCAACTAAAAGATTTTAATTCCATATTCACACTCTTTCCTTCAATTCTCTGTAAAACTCCATCTGGGTTCTCTTCTTGAAGCGTTTTAATTCTTACTGTAAGCTTTTTCTCCACGGTCTTTTTTTATTTTTTTGTGTTTTTAATTTCCTTTTTCTTGTTCTTTTTTGGTTTTTTTGATGGACTTTGCTTTTTATGTAGCTAAATCAAAAAAAATATATCAAGAGACAAGTTGTTTTGATCCAAACTCCATGGCAGAAGGACCAGAAGATGGCTTTCTCAAGTTCTGCAACTACCAACGCCACTTATGGCAGGTGGTACTGTAAACAGCCATAATAGCGTTGAAGAAAATCTTAAGCTTTCCACAGATGGAATCTCTTATCACCATAGCATGAATAATCCAAATCAAGAAGAGGATGTTTCTGCTGTTGCTACTGCTGTCATGAAAATCCCACTTCAAATTCAACAAAAGGATTTGACTACCCATTTAACTCAAGAATCATTAAATCAAGTTTTGGCTGTTAGATCAGATAAATCATCACCAGACCTTTTTCAGTTAATGAACCATGTGTAGCTTGCAGGACAGAAGGTGAGATATACAAAATTGCACAACAGGTTCAATTCAGCAAAATTAAACTGAATAGCACAAATTAACTCTCTCCACCACTCAAAAGATGCATAGTAAATTACATGCAAACCTGAGCTAAAGAACATGAAAGCTAACCCTATGGTCACATGGCCCCCCTGCAGCCCTCACCTCTTTATCCGTCTGAGATCCAAAATTTATTATTATAACCGATTTTTTGCCAAATAAAGCATGCAAGCAACTGTTTTAACTTTAAGCTACTCCAAAATCATTGCTTCAAAAAATTACATGAATAGTTTCCTTTCCACGCTGTTTAATTTCATTGATTAGAGACAAACAGCCTATTAAGGACACAGGACCAGACCTCTCATAGACATGAAAAAAAATAACAAAACAAAGTTTATTGATTTTATAAAAAAACGCTATTGAAACATTTGACAATGAGCAAATATATAGACTTTAAGATAGCCGACTGAATAAACTAAACTTCTTTAAAATCAAAACAAAACCAAATCGAATTGGTTCTATTGGATGTGGTTCAGTTCCTAAGAGTAATAGGCATGAAGAATCAAACCATCTTTTTTGAAAAGACTAAAAGGGGTATTTAGTAATTGATTGTCCTTGACCAAAATGGGCAGAGAAAAGCTGAAGGAAGGAAGCAGCAAAAAGCTGGGTTGCCTCTTGAAACTGTCCAATTTGATGCCTGCAAAACTCTAATTTGGAGATCATGATCCAGTTTTTCCGACAAAGATAAACGTATTCACGTACAATTAATTATTTATATTATCAAACGAACTAACCTGTACTCGTTCTCTCTCTTCTGCGACGTGTGTATATATATATATATATATTTGCTAAAACGCAATTCTCAATTTTTGATTTCTTGCATTACCATCCAATTCAACCTCAAATTTGTATTCTTCTTATTACGCAAATGGAAATTAAATTAAGTATACTTTGTCTTTCCAATTAACCTGCAGTTAATCCCAACCTAAATCATTACCTTTGCCACATTAATTACAAAACATTTACTTTTTCTATTGTTGTGTTTTGTACCCTTTTGTTTTTTTCTCTACAGTTTTCCCTTCTTGTAAATTTTTTTTTTAGGAAAACAAACATTGCACCTATTCTTCAAAAATATATTTTTAGAAGACCAACCTTCCCTTTACTCACTAATTCTCTATTCGGCAAAATTAACTATTATTAGCTGTTAGTTGTTTTAGTAGCATTTAGCAGTAAGCTATTTGAGTAACTTTTCATAAATTGCTAAAAGTTAAACGTTCATGGATTAAAACTTTTTATAAAATATTAACTTGAACTTTAAAAACTAATTCAAATGTTATATTACCGCATATTAAAAAAAATAGTTCCAAAACACTAAAAACTACTTAATAAGTTGTTACCGAACAAAGTCTAAATTGATGAAAATTTTTGTGACGGAGAGGTCTCAAACTTGATACCTCCTACTCTCCATAATCTAAGTCGAATCACTATAATTTTTTATAAAAAGGATTATTAATCAATAACAACTCCATAATCTACCAATGTTTTGAGAAGTAAAATATGGTTTGTTTGCAGCATTGCTTTTAGCATGTTTATGTAGTTTTAATTTTACCAAGTTCATTACCACAAGAAGAAAAAACAACAAATCTTCATTATCAAACAAATCTTCAAAGCAACTTGTTCCTGATTTGTACTTGAAAAATTTATGTTGGCATATTTCACAATTCACAAGTAGTCCTTAGCCAAGACTATGTAACAGCATGGCACAAGATTTAATAAATTATTATGATTTTTCCTTTATTTAAAAAATAATAAAAAAACCATTGGCAATTCCATATTTTTTTCTTTTTCAGATTTCCTATAATTAAGAAAAAGAAATTCTCATCTAAATGCTGAAATTTTGCAAGAATATTTTCTTTCAAATCATTTTCCTTTTCTTTTATTATTAAGGGAATATTCCGCAAAAATAGCTATTTCAGTAGTTGGTAGCTATTTTAATATTGAGTAGCTTTTCATAATAAGAGTTAACCTTTTATAAAACGTTATTTTAACCTCTAAAAACTAATTCAAATGCTATATTATGAAATAGTATAAAAAGTCAAAACACTAAAAGCTTGTTGCCGAAAACAACCTAATTATACATATCCTCAACCCGACTAGGATTAATCCCTATTCGCGCCAGATCCACCCACATAAATCTCTATTTTCCATTTTTGTATTAAGTTAAAAGAAAAGAAAGAAAAAATTCCAACTCATGATCTTTTCAGGCAGGAATAAAGAACTTTGGTATTGTAGTGACAAATGGACAGTTGCTTAGAAAAATTGGGAAAGGAAACAAATTTATAATAAATGGAGGGAAAAAAAAAAGTAAAAAGGCAAAACTGAAAATCATCTGGAAAATTCTATATATATAGAGAGAGATTGTGAGTGGGGCCCAGTAACAAGAATCTGAGTAACAACCTCCCTTTCTGTGAACAAAAGGAAATCATCACATAAGGCATGCAGTATTTGCAGTTCCATCTTTCAATTCCTTCTCCTTCTCCTCCTCCTCATATTTCATTTTCATATATAATTTAAGCTAAAATTTCCATTTCCTCTCTCTCTGTCTCTAACAAACCTTCTCTATTCATAACTGCAACTGAAAAAATATATTGGTTCCATATATATTCACACTTCTTTCTTTCAATTCTCTGTAAAACTAGCTAATTTCGCATCTGGGTTTTTGTTCTTGAAGCTTTTGATCTTACTATAAGCTTTTTATTGAAATGTTGTTTATTTTATGCGTTTTAAATTTATTTTTCTTGTTCTTTTTGGGCTTTGTTAATGGACTTTGTATCTTATGTAACTAGATCGGAAAAATGTATGAAGAGACGGATTGTTTTGATCCAAACTCCATGGTAGAAGGACCTGAAGGTGGGCTTTGTCAAGTTTTGCAACCACCACTACCACCGCCGCCGCTTATGGCGGGTAGTAGTACTACAAACAGCCATAATAGCCTTGAAGAAAATCTTAAGCTATCTGCTGATGAACTTTGTCACCATAGCTTCAACAATCCACATCTAGAAGAGGATGCTTCTGCTGCTGTAATGGAAATCCAACTTCAAATCCAACAAATGGATTTGAATGCCCATTTAATGCATGAATCATCAAATTATTTGGCTTTTACATCATCATCTTCTTTACCAGATTCAGCATATACTCCAACACCAGACCTGCGTAACCTTTTTCGCTTACCCAGATCTTCCTTGCTTCCAAATTCTTCAATTTCTTTCACAAACCCTAACCATACAACTCCATTAAGTTTTGTTGGAGATCTTCCAATGACAGACACAGCTTCTGCCTCTTCTATTCTCTATGACCCACTTTTTCACCTTAATCTTCCTCCACAACCTCCTTTATTTAGGGATTTGTTTCAATCCTTGCCTCCACACGGCTATTCCTTGCCTGGGTCAAGAGGCAGTTCTTTGTTTGGTGGTGTAGGGGATGATCATGTAGAGGGAAGTGGAGGAGTGAATCTTTATCAAGAAGGAGATGGAGAGCAGCAGTTTGATAATGGGGTTTTGGATTTTACATGGGATATGGCTTGTATGGGTAACGGTAGACAAGGTGGAAATATCAAACACTTTGCTACTGAGCGTCAAAGGAGACAACACATTAAAGATAAGTATGATGACTTGAGAAATTTGGTCCCTAACCCTTCTAAGGTATCTAATTAGTTTCTCTTTCAATATCCCATATATATACTTTGAGAAATTTGGTCCCCCTAACCCTTCTAAGGTATCTAATTAGTTTTCTTTTCAATATCCCATATATATATATATATATATATATATAATAATATATATATAATTTAAGCTCCTTCTTTAATTTATAAGTTGAACAATAATTAAATTAAGAAGATAAAAGGAGAACAAAATCTTTTAAGTTTTCTAAATTGGTTTAATTTTGCAAGGTGGTTTTGTTTAAATTACACAGCACATACATTTTTTCTTGATGTTACATCAGCTAATTTCAGTTTGTTATTGTTATGTGTTTGATGAGAAAGAATGATAGAGCCTCTGTGGTTTTGGGAGATGCAATTAATTACATCAAAATATATATATAATTTAAGCTCCTTCTTTAATTTATAGTTGAACATAATTAAATTAAGAAGATAAAAGAGAACAAAATCTTTAGTTCTAATTGGTTTATTTGCAAGGTGTTTGTTAAAATTACACAGACATACATTTTTCTTGATGTTACATCAGCTAATTCAGTTGTTATTTATGTTGTTTGATGAGAAAGAATGATAGAGCCTCTGTGGTTGGAGATGCAATTAATTACATCAAAGAACTTCTTAGAACTGTAAATGAGCTGAAAATTCTGGTGGAGAAAAAGAGATGTGCTAGAGAGAGGGGAAAGAGACAAAAGATTGAAGAAGATTCCATTGGCAATGTTCATGAGAGCAAGATTGTTGATGACCCAGATCAGTCTTTCAATAATGGGTCATTAAGGAGCTTTTGGCTTCAAAGAAAATCCAAAGACACAGAGGTAGATGTTAGAATAATAGATGATGAAGTTACTATTAAACTTGTTCAAAGAAAGAAGATCAATTGCTTGCTGTTTGTATCCAAAGTTCTTGATGAACTTCAACTGGATCTTCATCATGTTGCTGGTGGACATGTTGGTGATTACTACAGCTTCTTGTTTAACTCCAAGGTTAGCGTTCATAATTTGGTTTTAACGCATTTTTTGATGTTCAATTAGGTTTTAATTTAACTAGGTTTTAACCCATTAAACTTGTAATGTTCAGATATATGAAGGATCTTCAGTTTATGCTAGTGCAATAGCAAACAAGTTGATTGAGGTGGTGGACAGGCAGTATGCATCAACTCCATCTACAAGCTGCTATTAGCAGGTCAAGAAGTTGGGTAGGTGAAAAATGAGGTATAGGTTATGAAGTGGTTAATAAGAGTAGATGTAATGTTTGAGAATTGGAGACAATTAATCAGTAAGTTGTAAAAGATAATGTACTTCTTCTTAGAGAAACTAATTGCTTTTGATTACATTTTAGCCAAATGGGTGTTGATTGTGTGGATTGAAATATTTTTTTGGAGTTAAATCAAATTAGTTCATCAATCACTAAGTTAAAATTGTTTGATAATTACCTATATCCGAAAACTTATTGGATTTCAACTATATCCGGCTCGAGTACTATAACGCCAACATAGAAGATGACATTCGTAATAATGTTAAAATTCTAATAAATTCGTAATAAATATTTTTTATACATATACTATATAAAGCTTAGAGACATTCATCGTGAAGCGAAAATTCAAATATTTTTAAAATGATTTTTTTTTGCAAAATAATATATTTTTAAATTGCTAATAAGAAAAATATCATAGTAAGACAAATCAAGCCACCAAAAATTACTTTTAAGATAAACTAATTTAATATGTTATGGTTTATTTTTCTCTCATTATTTTAACTACATAATGAGCTTTTTCGGCTCGTCCCATTTTGGAACCGAGTCCGCATGGGCCAGGCCGGGCCGAACAACCTATTTTGACAGAGCTAACATTGAATATTCTAAAATTAGAAAGGCAAAATTGAAAATCTTCTGAAAATATAGGATTATAATGAGATTACGAGTGGGGCCCAATAAAAGGAATTAGTTACACAAATCTTCCTTAGGAAAGGAAATCATCACATAAAGCATGCATTATCTGCAGTTCCTTCTCCTCCTCCTACCACCTTCTTTCCCTACGTATTTCATTTTCTAATTTATGCAAAAATTTCCATCTCTCTCTTTCTTTCTTTATAACAAACACTCTCTCTCACTCTCTTTCATAACTGCAACTAAAAGATTTTAATTCCATATTCACACTTCTTTCCTTCAATTCTCTGTAAAACTCCATCTGGGTTCTCTTCTTGAAGCGTTTTAATTCTTACTGTAAGCTTTTTCTCCACTGTCATTTTTTATTTTTTGTGTTTTTAATTTCCTTTTTCTTGTTCTTTTTTGGTTTTTTTGATGGACTTTGCTTGTTATGTAGCTAAATAAAAAAAAAATGTATCAAGAGACAAGTTGTTTTGATCCAAACTCCATGGCAGAAGGACCAGAAGATGGGCTTTCTCAAGTTCTGCAACTACCAACGCACTCATGGCAGGTAGTACTGTAAACAGCCATAATAGCGTTGAAGAAAATCTTAAGCTTTCTACAGATGGAATCTCTTATCACCATAGCATGAATAATCCAAATCAAGAAGAGGATGCCTCTGCTGTTGCTACTGCTGTCATGAAAATCCCACTTCAAATTCAACTTAAGGATTTGAATACCTATTTGACTCAAGAATCATTAAATCAAGTTTTGGCTGTTAGATCAGATTCATCATCACCAGACCTTTTTCAGTTATCTAGGTCTTCTACGCTTCCAAATCCTTCAATTTCTTTCACAAACCCTAAAGACACAACTCCATTAAGCTCTGGAGATCTTCCAATTGCAGACACAAATTTCATCTTTTTATTTGTCTCTGAGTACCTGTCTCTCTATGATATTCTTCCTGCACAACCTTTTTTATTTTGGCAGGAGCGCAACAGCCGATGGAGACAATACATTAAAGATGAGTCTAAAGACTTGAACGGTACTAAGGTATTTAATTAGTTTTCACTTTCAATATCCCATAATCATATCATACTCCTTTTCTAGTTGAAGAGAGCTAAATTAAGAAAATAGAACAAAATATTTAACAGTAATAGTAATACTAATTACTATTGATTTATATTTTGTAAGGTGTTTGTTAAAATTAACATACATATATATTTTTCTTGATGTTATATTGCTTAGGATGATAGCATATCTGTGGTTGAAGATTCAGTTGAGCACATGAAAGAACTTGGTGAAACTTTAATTGAGTTGAAAATGTTAATGAAGAACAAGAAAAGTGCTGAACCTGAAGAAGATTTCCATAGACTCTGGTCATGATTCATATGAGTCGTCCAATAATCGGTCATTGATTAGGAGTTCTTGGCTTCAAAGAGAATCAAATGACACAGAGGTAGACGATCGATGAAATTAATATTGAATTGCCAAGATCGGAGAGAAGATCAATCACATGTTCTCTGTGTACGAAGTATATGGTGAACTTGAACTTGATCTCCGTTGTGTTGCTGGTAGCGATGATGGTGATTACAACAGCTTTTTGGTTAGTGTTAATTAATTATTTATACTCTGGACTTATTGATGGGATTAATGAATTAATACACTTGTAATGTAACAGATAAATGAAGGGTCTACAGATAATGCTAGTGCAATAGCAAACGAGCTGATTGAGGTGGTGGATACTAAATTAAAGAAAGCAGACTTTAAATGTTTAAATCGAAGAGGTAGATTTTAAACTGTTCTTTAAAAAAACAAAGAAGCAAAATTGTTCGTCTTCTCTTCAACGTGGCTTCGCCATTGAAGACACTAAGCATCAGCTCCATCTACAAGTTGGGCTTGGATATATATTCATGTTAGAAATAGCAATTGGAAAGGTGAAAAATGAGGTCTGGGTAGTGTGACCTGTATGGAAGTGGTTAAATAAGAGCAGATGTAACGTTTGAGAATTTGAGACAGACTAATCAGTAAAGAAGAAGATACAGCATTGTGTACAGTAAAGTCTCTTCCCGCTACCTCTTTAGGAATGTGTTTAGTGGAAATTAAACCCGAAAGCATTTTTCACATGCTGCAGCGCAACTTAAAAAAATTAGCTATATAAATTTTTCTAATTAAAATTATAATCTCGACTATATCCTACTATGTCCATCGTTATTCTCAGAAAACATTCAATGTTGAAATTAATTTAGTGAGTTATAATGAAATATAAAATAGTATTAGGAATGATATTTTTAGTGTATTATTTAAACATTCTTAGTATAATACTTAAATATTTTATTTGTATTACATTCTAATAGGAGGCACTAAAGGGAGTTGCCAAAATATGTAATATCTCGACAAATTATGCTTTCAATTATATTTTAGTAATATTTTAATATTTTAATATTTGTAGGGATGCATAATTTAGCACCGGTAGTCGACCTTTTAAGGCTTTTGTAAAAAATATGGGTCAAATAAATAGATGGGCCTTGGCCGGAAGTTCAAAACTGAAAAGCCCAAAAATTTTGGTCCTTACGACACCGTACTTTAAAAAGCCTTAAGTTTTCAAAATCGGTCTAATTTCCTCACCGAATTATTTGTCCCTAATTCCTCGTTCCTAAGCGGGAAAAAGCAAACGCCAAAAAAAGCTCAAAATCACAAACAGTAGGCAGAGGAAACCGATTCCTCGCCGGAGAAATGAGGGGCAACAGTCGCCGCCAACCCAAGGACTCCTTCATTCCACAACCGACACCTGACCGCCGCCAATATCCTTTCTCTGGAGCTGCCGGTAACACTTCCCGTGACTCTGATGCTAGCTTTGCCAGTAGCCGACCGTCCACCGTTGGCGTCGGTCGAACATCTGAACTATATACTGATCGGGGTCACCAAAACTCGGCTGTCCGATCAATTAATACCTTCCTCTCCTCCCACAACTCTCTTCTCTCTTTAAGAACGCATCCTATCTCCTCCGCTAAGGAGATGACCGAAGTTCTTCAGTTCCTTCTTCACCAACTAGACTATCCCAAGGCGAAGCTAGACGACGATCTGTTTGTAATTTTGAAGTCCTTGAATTGCCCATTCAAGGTCAACAAATCTGCTCTTCGTGCACCTAATACACCTCATAATTGGCCTTCATTTCTAGCACTAATCCACTGGCTAGTCCAGATTGCGATGTATGCGGAGCATTTGGCCGCTAATTCGAGGTCTTTAGTTGAAACTAATGGTATGCATGTTTATACTTTGGATAGTTATTTGAATTTTATTAATGGACATGATGAGGCGGTGGAAGAATTGGATAGAGAATTCATGGAGAAGCTGGAGAGAGAAAGAGATAGTGTACTTGAAAGTGTTAAGAATTTAGAGGCTAATTTTAATGAACTGAGTACCAAAGCGGAGGAGCTGAGGACTGGACCTACAGAGAGGGAAAAGCTGGAGAAGCAGAGGAGTGTGTTAGAGGAGGATGTGAACAAGTTTAATGTAATGATTGCAGACTTCAATCAGAGGATGAAGGCCATGGAGAATTTGGTGGAGGAGAAAAGGAAGGAGTTGGAAGCCAAAGTTGAGGAGAAGAAACGGATTGACGAGGAGAATGAGGAGTTGAAGAAGAGAGTGGACGATCAGAGTTTTAATGCGAGAGATGCAGAAAGGATGAAGAGGGAGTTGCAGGCAGTGGAGAATGGTATTGGAGAGGCAGAGGCTTCAAGGAATTCGTGGGAGGAGAAGATTTGGGATCTTGATGCTGCAATTGGACATGAGTTAAAGGAACTTGAGTCACTTGCAATGGAGTGTAACCAGGCCGTTAAGAGGTTTGCTTTCTTGCTTTCTTGGATCATACAGCCCGTGTTGTAGTTCTAATTTAGGCCCATGAATTTATCAAGCTAGTTGAATGATTTCATAACATTCATCTGCCATGTGAACTGGTTAATTCCTGTAAACTAAAATTTAAATCAGTTAATCGTAGATGCTTGGAAGAGTTTAATGTTGCAGCCACATGGAGGAGTGGCCATGACTAATTCCCTTTCTTTCTTTTATTAGATTGTGAGTGGATATTCGAATGAGAATTTACCCTAGCAAATTGTATTTCGTACACTTTTTTATTTTAGCTTACTTTTTGCTAGGAGATTTGGGCTTATTCTCTATGTTAGACCGATATACTCAATTTTTACAGCTTTGACTTAATTCTAGCTTCTGTTGCACAAGAAATTTCATTTTGTTTATCAACCTTCTTTTGATATTCAAAAATTTTTCACGGATACTTCTATTGTATCATGCTATTAGATGATTGTATCACATTGTTTTGGGGAGCTTAAAGTATTTTATTATCAAGTTAAACTGTGAGTTGTTCATGGTACATCATCAGGAGCTAAATGCAATTGCGAAATCAAGTTTGTACTTTGTAGCTTATTTCTATGTGCTTGCATGTTGCTTTTTGGCAACCTTTTGCCGTTTCAACCTGTTATGGTGCTTTTTCATAGAAGGAAAAAAAAAAAAAAAAACTCTAACGTAATGCATGCTCCCTCTCTCTGATGGTTATAGATTAAAGCTTGGAAATGGCTTTCAATATGTGTTGAATGCCAAGGGATCAACACCTGCTCAAGTCATGGGGGTTGACTACAAATCTACTGTTAAGCCTGGACTTGAATCCTTTGCTGATGACATAAAGAAAAGCTCTATGGAAAAACTAGAAGAGTTGATTTCACTTCAACAAGAGTTGTCAGAATTGACTGCTAAGACTGAAGGCAAAAAGAACCGTACTGCTGTACTTCAGTGTCATATTGATGAAGTATGTGCTATCGACCTTCTTCTTTTTCTATTTTTCATAAAAAATGCTTTTGCTATGCTTGTTTGGCATATTATGCTTGAATTGATGATAGCAGAATCATACTTTTTGTATCAACCAAAAACCTTTTTTTTTTTTCTTTTGCTTCTTTTCATAAAAACCATTGTAATCAATATGCCCATCAGCATCATTGACACAACGAAAGAGCGAGGACCTATGTTACTTTGTTCCTCATTCGTAGAATTTGAGTCATCAACTATGATTACAAGGTGAAGGATACTGAGTGTTCATATAAATGGACATTTTCTTGACGCATCTGATTTTCATACCAGACTCACCTGCTAACACGATCCTTTGAGGATGAATTTTAAAACTAACATTCTTTTTTTTTTTTTTTTTGGAACAAGGTGAAGGATACTGAGTGTTCTATAAATGGACATTTTCCCTTGAACATCTGAATTTTTCATACCAGACTGCACCTGCTAACACGATCCTTTGAAGGATGAATTTTAAAAAACTAACATTCTTTTTTTTTTTTTTTTTTTTTTTTTGGAAGAGGGGAGGGGGTGTGGTGTGTGTTTGAGTTCCACCCAAAAATACATGGTTGATTAATATTGATTAGTCTATTGAAATCCATAACGTATTAACTTTCTTGGTGTATTTGTTGGAAGGTATTAATCACTGGAATACGACTTGTTGAATTGGAGGAGCATTTTTTTCCATTTGTAATTTGAGAAGGGAAATGAAAAATGAACAAAATGGCAAAATTTCTCAAATGAAAGTAAACGAAAACGTTTTTGGAATGACACATTTCATCTCGATGGTTGTTCTTTAATATATATCTTAGGTGCTTGTACAACTAATCAGCTCTTAGATTATTTATACTGTTGTGTCCTACAAGTTCATCCATACTTTGAAAAATGTTTTAGTAATTGTGACAGATACTACATTGCTGGTGCTATAGTACTGGTTGGTATGGCAGCATTTGGAAGTCTGATATTTCATTTGGTATTTATTGATTTACTTCTGTAATTAATTTTCATGTTATTGTTTTATGAATTTTTTCCTTATACTTTTTCTCCTTTGTTGATCTTCAATTTCCTTTTCCCTATTATTCATTTGGTTCTGCAAAGTCAGAAGCTATAAACAGTTAAACACTCCGATCGTGTTTAATGGAAGCTAATAACAGGAGGCAAAATTTTGCCTTCAAACATTTCCAACCACATTCTTGCCTGTAATTGCACATTGCTTCTACTGCATTTAGCATATTCAGGTTTCTTCTTGCTTATCAACTGACCTTGTGGTTGCTAAGAATTCAGGAGAAATTTCCATCTGGCTCAAGGTTTTTATTCATCTTGGACTGCCTAGGACTAATAATGATATTATTTGCTATTTTAATGCACTGTTGTGCAACTTCCAAAATATATAGGTGTGTGTGCGTGTTTGTGTTTACTTTTATTCTTGTATCTCAGTTTAATTTTGATTCTGAAGCATCTGGCATTTAATGGGTAGCACTTCTTCTAGTCAGCATTCCTCGTTTGCTATTCTTCCTTAAACTCTTATTCTTTTTCTTTATTCTGATGGATGAACTGGGCGATTCCATCTTAACACCAAACAATTGTTCATCTCAGGTAGAAACTTTGTTGAACTTGTTAAGGAAAGAAACAGAGGAGTACACAAACAGATGTGCAATGGAAGCTAAAAAGCTGATAGAGGATGTCCAAATGGAGGCTCACAACTTGGATGTTTTGGAAAGAGAAGCAGCAGCGATTCTGAAAGTATGGCCTCCTGTGTATATATATATATATATATATATTAAAAGTTTACAATCTTGATGTTTCTGACTGTTCTGAAATTCAATGGAGAAATAATTGTTGCAACTTGCAAGTGCATGGCTAACTTTTGCAAATACTAAAATATTCATAAACTTCTCTTTTCACCAGCTTCCCTTGATTGTTAGAAAACCTCACATGGGACTAAAAAAATTCTGCTATTTTTTTTTTTTTGAAAATTTGTGTTCAGGCCAATGAGCTAAAGTTGCAGGAAGCAATCAAACAAAGTGAAGAAGAAATTCAGATGCACGCAATAGACCTCTTTGCAGTTATTGATACCGTCTCAGAATACAAAGAACATGTGGAGTCCAAAATTTCAGAGATGAGAAGCAAGCTGTCAGAAACTGTAGGTGCCATTTCTGATGCTTACAAGCATTCCTTGCCAGTAGAATTTTGTATCAGCTTGGATACTACCCATTAACCACAAATTCAAAAAACAGAAAAATTACACAGTGCTTCAGGATGCAGGCACTGTGAAGAAACTTTCTTCCTTTTGGCGAGCGCTGATGTTTTTATCAGCGCGGCTAAATGCCTTCAAGTCTATTATTCTGTCTTTTCATTTTAAGAACAGCGTTTTTACATTGTATTCTTTTCTGAGTTCTGTCTATGAAGTCGGAATAGAATACAAAGCTGTTGAACTAGCTTTTTGACCGAATTAAGTGACTTATTAACTGGAACTGCCCTTTCGGCTGCTGTAAACGTTCGGTTGCTCGATTTACAGGCAAAATGCAGGAGCTTTGTATAATGTATTTATGGTGGATTTGTAATTACTTTTTTTTTTTTTTTTTTTGAGCTTTGTATAATGTTATTATGGTGGTTTTTTTTTTTTTTTTTTTTGGTAAATGTGGATTTATATTTCATATAAAGCGAATGGCTGAATTTGGTCGCCTTAGGAATTGACTCAAATGATTTTTTTTTTTTTTTTTTTTAAATTTAATTGCTTTTGTGTTTTATTTATTTATTTTAATAATATTTTGTAATTGTTTTTATATTATTGCCAATAATTGTATGAAGCGAACAGAAATGCCTTATTTTATTTATTTTTTAGTAGTGTCAAGGGGTTCTATTTTTTTTTAATAATATTTTAGTGCTGTTCTATTTTATTTTGTTTAGGCAGAATAGTGTAAAGTGAAGGGTTACTACCAAAATTAACAAAAGTACTTTTCAGGACGCCTCTCTACTTATCAGAGTATTCGATCCAGGGACCTGTGGGTTATGGGCCCACCACGCTTCCGCTGCGCCACTCTTACGACTGTTAATTGTTCAACAATAATATCTAGTAAAATATTTCATCAAATCATATCTCAGTTGTCTATCTCACGCCGGGTTAAAGAAAACCTAAATTTGGCCACAGATTACTTCAAAAAATTTCCTATAAACTTCCGCTCATTATCAAATCATGTCCCATTATAAATTTTCATTATCAATAAAAAATAAAATAATGAAATAGAGAAATCTCGCTCTAAAGTGGAATTTCTTCTTTCAAAATGGAAAAATTGAAATCACGATGAAGTATAACTTATTTTTGGTAAATCAAACAAAAGAATATAGAGAATTTTAATCTGTATGCACTTGCAAAATATATACTAAATTTCACTGATAACAAATAAAAAAAAAAAAAAAAAAACCAAAATAAATGAACAAAGCTAAATAACAGAGAAATCATAGCTATTTTCTCTGTTATTGTCTCTTTTTTACAACTACAATATTTACCATTTTTTTTTTTCTTCAATATTTACAATTACTTCAAACACCTGACTGCTGCTATCCTCCCAAAAGGGAAAAAATGGGTAATGCAGACATCGCTAACCTTCGCTATTCTGTAAATGATAATTGATGCTACCTAAAATAAAAAAAAAAAAAAAAAAAAACCAAAATGACAAAGCTAAAAAAAGAGAAATCATAGCTATTTTTCTCTGTTATTTCTCTTTTTACAATACAATATTTACATTTTTTTTTTCTTATATTTACAATTACTCAACGACCTGACTGCTGCTATCCCAAAAAGGGAAAAATAGGTTAATGCAGAATCGCTAACCTTCTATTTGGTAAATGATAATTGATGCTACAAAATTACAACAATGAAAGATTTAACAAAAAAGAGAAACAATTTGCCAGGAGCTCAATTATGAAGCCAATGCGCCCATGTGTTCCCCTCCAGGAGTCTATTTTCACCCACAAGGTAGATGTGGAATGCATCTTTTGGCTTATATGACATCCAGCGATGTTCTGACGCATGTGTCATGTCTGCATGATCCTGTAAAACAAAAACAGTTGATGAACTCAACAGTAACTTTCCTTCAGATCCATGGTAATGGAACAAATTCAACGAAATCCAGCCAAAATGCTTATTGGTGATACTAAAACATGTTTTGTGCGAGCGAATGTTAAATGTTACGAATAGGGTTTTTCTGAATCTTCAATTGACATGAAATGTAAATCAGATATATAAGACCTTCGAGCAGAAAAGACACAAACTATTCTCAATAATAGGACAAAGGGTGCTAACTTACCTCAACACATTAGCTTCAGGTTGATCAAAATTTTTCATGAGTTTAAGCCGCTGAAATGAGGAGAAGAGGGGCTCGAGAAAGTATGAAGTGGTCTCTTCACAAACGGATGGTCCAACAGCTGAGTTGCTGTAGGCCGATTATTTGAATTGACATGTAAGCACTTAAGGATGAAATCTCGGGCCTCTCTTGATAAGGAATCTGGAACAGGAGGAGGTTCCCCCTTGCCAATCCTAAACAGTGCTTGCATCTGTCACCCACATCAGAAATTAATACTATCCAATTTGTTTTACATGAAACTTAAACATATCAAGACGCATGCAATGGATCATTTAGGAATTAAAAAGCAACTTTATGAAAAGGTTTGACACATCAATGCTCATTCTGTAGAAGACTTCGCTATCCCTAATTCTCTTGCTAACTTTCCCTTTATATTTCATTTGCTAATTTCTAGCAAGCTCTAGAAATAGCATTATCAATTCAGCACTCTTTATCTAGCTTAACATCCTTCTCACTAATTGTTTCTTTTGACCCTTTACCTGGAGGCATAAAGGGTAGATTCTTACCTCCAATCAACATCAAGTCATGCACATATGGGCACATATAACTTGTTCATATGCCAAATATTAGGCAAGGTTACAGCGTTCTCATCTTACAATTCAATCAGGTGAAACTTGATATGATTTAGGCTTTTGAGATAAACAATTTGACTCATAACTGTTTTTTAACTTGGATATGCAGGGTAAGACTTGGCAACTAAGAAAACAAGCCAACAAGTTGCCATCTCACTTCAATCATAAAAATGTCAAAATGTCTATCTTTGATCTCAAAATAAATATAAGAGGGTGGATAAAAACAATGATACTTGAAATAAGCACTTCAGGGAAAATAAAATACATACGCCTTCCAAGTGAGAATATGGGGGTTGACCAGTCAACATCTCCAACACGGTACATCCAAGGCTCCATATATCAGCTGCAAGTCCATAGCCACGATTCTTTAAATTAACAACCTACAATTGCATAATGAAATTGTCAAGTACATTGCCAAGAGCAGCTCATAAAAAATGCACACCTCCAAGCATATATAAGACATTGAAAATTTGATATTGCTATCATATACTGCTAGAAAATAAAAATTAAGCAACATTTCCGTTGTTTTCTCTGATTAGAGGAATGAATAATTCAGCTTTTCAATGTTTTCCCCCACATAGGTGGAACTATTTAACAAAGATGGGTTGTTGAAAACATCAATGCATTGTGGTCCTGCTTATGTTAGGTCAAAATCAGGATAGTGCATATCCTTTATTTGACAGTGAAAAGAAAACTAAAATTTAAATATATAAATATAAAAGGGATGCAAATGCAACCTTTTTTTTTCCTTGAAATATCAAAACACTTCCAAACATATAAGAAATACATAATAGAAGCTCCAAAAGCTATCAATTGGAAAGAGAAAAGAAAACAAAGGAAATGCCAAAAGCATGAGAAAATCTAGCTCGTAGACAAAGACCATCATCAACATCCATATTAGAACAATAATGAAAGAAAGCAAACCTCTGGGGCCATCCAATATGCAGTCCCTTTGCAAGATTTAACATCATTGAATTTAGTTGCCTACAAAAAGCAATCCAAATACAATAAATAAAAATATCCAAATACAAGAAAGGATTTAACCATAATTTATACTTTAGTACACTATCTGGAGAGAGATTCAGTGAAATAATGCACCTTTGCCAATCCAAAATCTGCAAGCTTTACAGATCCATTTGCATCCACCAATATATTGGCACATTTGATATCCCTTGAAAGTGAAAAATTAAAATGACAATTAGAAAACAGCAAATCAAAAAGCGACAATAAAAATGAGTTTTCAACAACCCTTTCCAACTTCTGACAGACAAATATCATCAGCAGTTTACAAACAAAAGCAACAAAATTTCAGACCAAAATTGATTGTACAAGAACAAGAAATGAGATTACATTGTTAAATTTCTCCTATAATATGAATTTTTCTTTCGTTTCAACTTTTCCTGTACATCTCAACAAGGAAAAATGTAAACTCCAGCTCTTAGCTGGTCATGCATCCACTTGGCTCAACAATCCATTCCACGCCACTTTAAATAATCCTCCTAGTCTATTTAGTGTTTCATTAATGGACTAGAGATGATGGCGCTAGAGGTTGTTAAAAGTGCATGGCTAACTTAAAGTGCAAACCATCTCACAGAGCCTGTGCAAGGGTAGCTTAACTGAAGTGCAATGCATGTCTCTATCACACAGAGCATAACTATTTCTGAATGAAGGATTCATATTTCATAGCATAATGAAGAAACAGTCAAACCCAGGATAGCTAACTTAAGAACACAACAGTGGTATTAATACTGAACAGACTATTAAATGAATATTAATTAAGGCTTACAACTTGCTAAATAATGCAAATAGCAATAAAAAACAAAAACATGCTTATTGGGGCATGAAAACCCACAAGAAAATGCAGAAGTTATGCTATCATGCAATGTTTCCTTGAGTTTCACCTGAAGAGCATAACACATTTTGCTTTTGGTATTTTGAGATTTAATAGCAACAACATGCATTGTTAATAGACCGCTAGCTTTAGTAAAGGATTGTAAAAGTTTTAGCTTTTTTCTTCCGCATATTTGGCCAATATCAATAATGAACAATTTTATTGATGTTATGCCATCTGGAATATGCAACATAGACATGCAGGCCTCACGTGAGAACAATAGAAAGCAACAGAAAGATCAGAGTCAGTTCATAAACGCCAAGATGAATTCCTCTTTAACATTTAGCGAAGAAGAAAATTATAATGCAGAAAGCATTTCCCAAGCAGAACAACAAAAGAATGTAGAAGCTTAGATCCAAAGAACTAAGTAATAAGATTATCTGTATTACCTATGAACCACATTCTGGTCATGGAGATATTTTAAACCACTCAAAATTTGTCTTGTGTATGCAGAGACTTGGGAATCCCTCAAACGGTACTTCTGATAAAGCTTTGCAAGTGAACCCTTTGTTGCTAGCTCAAGGAAGATGTAAAGCTTAGCTTCATCCTGCAAATTAACAATTTAGGATAGACTATGTAAAAACCATTTAAAACATATTTCCAAGATAGCAATAAAACAAGAATGACAGATGAAAAGATAATTTACAAATTCATAAACACTCCCACCTTGAACAATATAAAATAAATAGGAATGACATTCCTATTTATCAAGTAGATGATTCATGAACAATTTGGGAACCAGATATATGGTGTATGAGAATAACTAGATACTCTTGAAAAATAACATAGACCCAAAAATGGTGCATGAGAAAATAATTACTTGCTTCAATATAATTTTGGAATCATAATAAGAACTTCAACTTTCAAGCACTGCATAATTAAAAAAAAAAAAAAAAAATTCCCATTCTAGCTTATGCCACAGATAAGAAATGCAAGATAAGTACAGTATGTGCTCTCATTTCATGAATATTACTATTACATTGCAGAAACAAAATAACGGCCAACTCAAATATTATAAACATACCTTGTCTGTTCCAAGATATTGAACTATATTCTCGTGTTCAAACTCTCTTAATAGAGAAATCTCCTGGAACAATAAAAATGGTATTAGAAATAGGCATATCATGATGCAGGCATTTTTGCCAATCCAATAGCCTGTAAGAGGGATAATTTTTTGAACACTGATCTTCCCACCTGCTCAAGTTGTAAAATGCTTTGCTTCCCTTGGCTTCCTTGATCCAGCAAAGAAACCTCCTTTACAGCAAAAAAGAATCCATCGCTGTAGCAAACCAAAGAGAAATATGAGATATATCAGAAAAGTGAAATAAGTTGATGATAGCTAACTACAATTTGTGTTAGGGAAGGGGAGACTAAACACTATCTATTGTCAAGTAGCATATGCACTTATAACTACACTATGCCTAGGTGTGCATTAATAATCTTTTGTTGATCACCTCTCCCTTTAGCTTTTTTTTACTTTGCAAAAGTGACCAAAAACAGCAGACATTAAAAACAGCTCTCATTTTTTGCTTAGAGAATGCCTTATCACTGCATCAGGAAGTAGAAAAAATGAACAAAACAGGGGTTTCTTGGCTAAAGAAGCAAAAAGAACACTAAACAAAGAGCAGGCTAAGCAGCAGCACAAAAAAAAAGGGAGTTTGCGAGAGAACTAGGCCTTTTGAAAAGACCATTTTTACTATTTTTTTTTTCCCCTTCTGACATTGCAATAATGATCTTCAGGTGACCAAGAGACCTTCAATAACACAACTTTCACCCATATTAATTTTCTGATTTCCAGAAGAACATATCAAATTAGCAATGGCCATCGGAACATAGAAAACAGTCTCCAAAGTGCAGTCATCAGAGAGCTCGATTAACAGCCATCAATAAACTAATAAACTTAGTCTAGTTAACACTGTCTAGAGGTTGTTCTAAGTCAATTTGAGCTTTCTGACAACAAAGTTTACAGAGACTTTGTAATGACTACAGCAAATTATTTTTCCAGCAGCAAGGACCATATGCCGCATCCCCATTACCACCCACTTAGGTATAAATCCTTCACCTGCATCATGGTGCTCGGACAATCCGTTTCTTATATCTTTCAGATATGATTTAATTACTCAAATCTTAACTAAAATTATTAGAATATGCAGTCTAGGATATTCATTGCTTTCTACATTATGCAAATTAATGTAACCATAGTTCAAAAGCTAGTGCCTATTTCTCTTAATAAAAAGAAGGGACAAAAGCCCTAGCTCTGCTGTGTTATAGCTTGAATGTCCTACTAATTAATAATTAAATTTCAAGATATAGTTGCAAGCAGCAAGGCCATGAAATGCAGAATAAACCAAAATAAATTCATCCCCCAAATAACTTTACAAATTGCAGTTAGGCTTTAAAAAAATCATTTCCAATGAACACTACGATGAACCCATGTCGTAACATAATGACAGCATAAGGCATAAGGCATAAGGACAGTATATATAAAATATAAGTCAGAAAAGATTACTTACTCTGTGAACCCTTCATACACTGTTCCAAAAGATCCACTCCCCAATAGCTCACCCTTTTGCCAGGAATATATATTTCTTTTGAATTTCCCATTCGGAGAAATACAATGCACCGGCTCCATAATATTGACAGCGACAATTGTATTATCTTCATTATCATCCCCGCAGTTGCTACCACCGTCATCATTTGACAGAGACAAGCAAGGTTCATTGAGAAATCTATTCTCTGCTGCGCTCGCCTCATTCATTTGTGCTCTCCCTTCATATGCATCACTATCCTCCTCCACCTCGTTCTCGTCAATCACTCTATTACTTTCATTGGAAGAGCTTATACCCCTAGCTTTAATCAAAGAATCCGAATCTTCATCATCTTGAGGAGCAAAAGATTTCAATATATCCCAAGTAGAACTCACATTATCAACCACCGGCGGCAGTAACCTCGCCGGTGGCGGCGCTAAAACCGGCGGTCTCTCACCTTTAATCCCTCCACCACTTTCAAGGCCTCTAACAGACCTCACACTAACTCCTCGTCGCTCAAATCCAGCTCCCTTTACGAACTCAGCTAAATTCGACTCGTTCTTCAAATTAGAAAACTCGCCTTTTCTTTTACTAAAATCACTGGAACCATTTCCACTTAGCTGTAAAGAAACCGGATGATCTTTATCACAATGGAAACAATTATTCAACTTAGAACCCAAATTTTCTCGCTCAAAACCAGCATTAGCTTTACTAAGCATAAATTTAGTCTCAAATTGAGCCGATAAACCGTCGGGCAAAGCCGAATTATGCAAACGCAAGCCACTATCGAAGGAAGAACGACGAGCTTTTTGAGCTTCCCAAACTGCTGTAGGAATAGCAAAATCTTCAGGACCAGAAAAACCCAAAGTCTGGCAAATAAGGTCGAATTCACCATCGATTCCTTTTATCCGAAAGCTAGTCTTAGGATCTAAATTGAGGTAACGAGTTCCGTGAGTAGAGTCATCCATAGAGAAGGAATTAGACGAAGAAGAAGAAGAAGAATAAGAAGAATACGACGCGTCGTAGTCGATGTTCTTGACGGCGTTCCGGCGATCGAGTTTCGGTTTTAAACTTTTGTGCTTTGCGTCCATTACGGCAGCGTTTTCCGATACCACTTGTCTCATAAACTGGTAAGAAGTTGAAAGAGCAGGAGGGAAGAGAAGTAGAAAAGAAATAGAAAAACTCCACGCGGATATTGCAAATGGAAATGCTTTTGAAGAAGGAAAGAGAAGCAGTCAAATTCAAAATTGTCTGATTATTACTAATAATAATATTCAAATATCTGGTATATTCAATGGGGATCGTCTAAAATTTAAACGCGGTGAATCACAATACGTATATATATACAGGGCCGGAGGGAGGGGGACTGGGAGCCCGGGCCCCAGAACTCTATATTTTTTTTTTTTTTACTTTATAATTCAGTACAAAAAAAATTCTTCATTTTGATTTTTCTAATTTTTGAAAATTTTATTTTGATGTCTATAGGTTCTAAAGTCTAGCTCCGCCCACGTGTATACAGGAAAATCATAAAGTCTAAGTTGTTTGATGATCTGGAGTGAATAGCTAACTTAATCATTAATTAGAATAATCAATTTCAGTTATGCATATCATATTTACATCGTATTACTTACTTAGTCATTGTATTCACTTTAATTCATTATTATTTATATTTTTCATTTTTTTTGAAAGCAAATAAGAGCATATATTTATATTAATTCTTAGAAATAAGAGTTGCAATACAATGGGGAGTCAAGTCCCATAGACGGAAACAAGGATGTAAACATGCCACACGAGCAAGAGCATGTGCAGGCTTGTTACCTTGCCTCCTAACCCAAACCAATTCACTAAATGGTTCATTTTTTTTGAAAAGCAAATAAGAGCATATACTTATATTAATTCTTAGAAATAAGAAGTTGGCCAATACAATGGGGAGTCAGTCCCATAGACGGAAACAAAGATGTTAAACATGCGACTCGAGCAAGAGCATGTGCAGGCTTGTTACCGCTTTTGCTTCCTAACAAACAATTCACCTAAATGGTATTTTGAGTACGGCGCAATTGTTATCGTCTGCTAGCACTGGTGCCGTCGAATAATATCAAACCTGCGTAGTTACAGCTTGAAACATGGTGCAAAACAATCTGTTTCCACTAGACTCTAATAATCTCGTGAGCAACAAGATAACACCTCCCTAAGGTCGAGCTTCAAGGCCGATGTGGGTTTTTCAATACTCCCGGTAAAATGACCGTGCAACCACCAAGAAACTGTTCCCAGCTTCATTCGGACCAAGGCCAGCATACGATAACGACCGTCAGTCCATAATGGACAGCTGCATCACGTTCATTTGACAAATGCCTAGTCCGGAGGAGGAGCTCATGTCGGGCATACTGAAGGACGATACAGAGGGATGCTTAGTTAATCTGCGCGTTCTGCATTCTTCTCCCGGAGAAATGTCTGGTAGCAGCCGGACATGTTGTAAGGGCAGAATATTAGTTTGTTGCCATATTCGCCGATTTCTATCAAACCAGAGAAAGTAGCCAAGACACCGAATACAAGCTTGGTCGTTCTCCGTCTGCGGCCGCAATAAACCCCAGTAAGTATCATTAAACCTAGTGGTTGATGCAGTCCAACGGAAGACCCTGTTAACGTCCAAACAGTTCGAGGCTTTCTCAAGTGGATAGGCACGTGCATTGTTGTCTCGATTCAACCCGCAAAAAGGGTCATGGTCATCCTCTGTAATCCGAAATAGTATAGATTTCGTTGGTAGAATATTTCGGCACGCTCGCCACAGCCAGTGCTTAACCTTCGGTGGGGAATCTAATTGCCATAATTTAGCCCAAATTGGCGAAGTTGCAGTTGCTTCAGGTTCCACAAAATTAGGCAGGACAAGCTTGTAGCCTGATTTAACAAGATATTCCCCTGAAGTAGAGAAGTTCCATATTAGTGTATCTGCCTGGGTAGCCCGAGTAAACGGGATAGATAGAACCTGTGACACCTCCTCTAGAAGGAACAGTCTGGCAATTAAATCCTCATTCCAACCATTAAGAGTTAAAACAGCAACAAATGAGGAAAAACATGTTCAATGCTTGGACCACTCTCCACTCACTCACTGACCCAACTGGCAAATTTTTATGGATTCCAAACTTTAGTCTCATATTACTTTATCTGGAGCTTGCCTTTTTTTTGTATAGTCCACTGTCCACCAAAATAAAGCCCACCTGTCCAATCTTTCAAAATAGACTAATTTAATGGGCCTTGACCTTATTCCATTTGAGGCCCTATTAGAAGCCCAATTTTAGTGCTTCCCAAACACAAACGACGCCGCCTGATTACTACCTGCATCTTCCCACGCACTTCTGCTTGCGGCGGCATCATCACTTCACCCGGCCAGGAAGCTCGAAGAAAACCCCGTAATCCTCCGAAAATCCCAAAATGAGCTTAGTAAGAAACTCAATCAGATCCAACTTCAATGTCAGCGCTTTTAAGCCAAACCATGCAATTTCTTTCTGCCTCCGCCATTCGTCCAAGCATTTATCCACTGAAGCGGAGCAACCACCACTTCCACAGGATTCATCAGAACATCCTTTTCTCCGAACTACCGGCGCTGGTACTCTCACTTGCATTTTATTTTTCTTTTGAAATGCGATTCTATTTATGCTTTTCCCTTGTTTGTAATCTTTCAGATGTTTAGTTTCGTTTATTATGATTATTATGAGACAACAGATTTTTTTTAATTGGGAATTGAACTGTTTCTATTTATACTATTATTATACTGAAATTAATTTCCCCAATTCAATGGTTAGCCTTCCTTTTTATGACATAGTAATAACACGCAAGCACTCCCTGTATTTTTGTGTGGCTTAGGTACGGTTTATGCCAAGTTGTTTGGCATCACAAAAAACACATTGAAGACTGACATTATCAATATGCTTGATGGGAGTAATTTGACCCCTGATGATATTAAAGTCAGCTACAACCGCGACTTTATGCCTGTTGGAATGTAATTTTCTTCCTCCTCTTTTCTTTGCATTGGAATATCAAAGCTTTCTTACTTTGCACTTGATATGTCCATGTTTCTTTGTACGGAAGTGAAACAAGTAGAAACTCTGTAATTAAACAACCTGTTCGTAAGTTGCTTGCTTGTAACATCGAATGTGCCGTTTGTTTATGTTCTGTTTGGGAATAGGTTTAGTTCAGTTATCATTTCTGCTCTATTATCATTTCTGTCGCTGCTAATACGGTTACTTTTGTTGAGAAACTTCAAGGTTCGGTATTGAGCTGTTAGTTGTTTTGCCAGGATGCTACAATTCCCTTCTTATTCTGCATTTGATAATGCATATAAGGCGATGAGCTTACCTAATATCAATGCTTGAGGGCTGCTGTTTGTTCTTGACTCCTCCCCCACGGCGTTTCATTAGAATCGTTAAATTGTTTTCCAAAGGCAAGAAATTACACTTGTCTGTAATTAGGCCTCCGAGGTACAAAAGCAGACCTGAAGATGGGGAGACAGATTTATTCTGCAGGACAATGCCTTTCATCCGATTAGCTAAAAACCTTTGCCAGCAATCTTGTACAAGACATTACATAAGGAAAGTTGGCCGCAGCTCTTTGTCACAAATTCAAAGGTTTTAATCAGTTTTAGGAATTAGCACTATGGTGGGTCTCATTCAACGCAGATTAGGGAAAAGAGCCGTTTGCAATCACGCCAGCCGGTTTACAGCTAGTAAATAACATATGAACCCACAACTGACAAAAAATTTCTGAAAGAAAACACGGATTGAACCCATCAGGGGCCAGGAACTTTTGTCCGGGGTGCCAATTTGAAATACTCCGCGCCGATCCAAAACTTCCTCAACAGGAAAGGGGCCACAACTGAAGATTATCATTATCAGTTTCAGTGAACCCGAGAAAATGTAACATGCTCAAGAACAGGACTACACTGGATGGTGGGTGGCCGTAAATAGTGTAGTAAAGTAGTGCTAGGGCACAGTATGCATATCCCTCGGTTTCTTCCTTCGCAGTTCACCTCTCGAGTCTCGGAGTACCTGGAAGATAGTTGTTAATTTTTTACGGATGGAAAGCCAGAGGATGGAAGTACTCTTGGTATTATTTAATCCGCGATGAGTCAAGCCAGATATATTTTTGATCGCTGTTTCCAGTACTTTTGCTCCTTCTTTTTAAGAAGCCAAATCACCAAGCTTGCTTTTTAGTAGTTATGAAAAGTACTCAATCTGAGTTTAGTCATTCTAGTTGGTGGGATTCGAGTTAAGCCATTAAGTTGGGTTTTAAGCATTTTAATATCTTTTACAGGAACCTATCTTGATGCGTACGTGCACGTCCCAAATTCCGCAACCCAGCTCTTGCAAGCTTGGAGTTTTTTACCACAATCATCATCACCGTGGCTCCTAGGTCAGTTATGAATAAACAGTCTCGTCAAGGTTAGGCTCCCATCCATGCATTATTCAAACCTGAAGCTAATTTTTCTTAGTCCTTAGGGCAGTGCCCAATAAAAGCAATAATGGCAGACATGTCCGATGTGCCACTGAATGTCAAGTTTTGTTGAACCCGACGCATTTGGGAAAAAAACAAGACCCATGTATCTGAAGCCACCATAACGGTCGCAATCTTTCCTCCAATTTTGTTTACGTCCCCTAGCCAGAACCCGTCGCATGTAAACCGGATACCATCTAATCATAGACAGATCGGAACCTCGTCCGAACACACCTCCAGCGCTTCCTCGAAATCCTCAAAGATTTACGTAGCTCATAGAGGCGTGGCCCCCTTATCTTCTGCATCATCCGAGCAAGTAAGATATTAAAGTGACCCATAAGAAGCCAAGGGGGAAGGGTTGCTGTTGGTTAGCCCTAGAAGTAAGGGAGGGTCCGCAAGTGTCCCTGGGCTTCCTATGATGGTTTCAGGGAACTCCATATACCACATAGGTTCTATTACGCCAAAGTATGTGGCTCCATAAGTTATTTGCATATCAATGTGATTTGGGAGTAAGAATAAAAATCAAACAATTCAAATTAAATTATTCCAGAAGACAGCCTACCACCACCTTCGACCAAGGACAATCAACTGAAAAATGAAGAGGAAAAAACCACACTGCAAAACTTAATTTTTTACACATAAAGAGGGAAGCTACTTTTGTCTCATAGAGGAAGCAGAAATGGGCTTATTTGCAACGAAACCAAGAAATCCTTTAGAGCAACTCACTGCCCGAGGGTTGCCCATCCCTGGAGTTCCAAACATAGGAAGTCATGGCTCTGCCGGGCGGCCCTGAGTACTACGGGCTCGCCGCTTTAAAACATGTGTATCTTATAACTCAAATAAAAATATAAAAATGATCATATATCTGTGAGAAGCGCGGAAGATTCGTCAAATATATATGAATAAAATTCACTGTGTATTATTATATGTATTATTATGTGTTAAATGAGACGCCGTTCTAGAAAAGTTTGACACTCTCTAATATTTTAGTAATCTACTCTAACTTTTTTTTTCTTTTTTTTTTTGAATAAAATTAATAGATTTAAAACCTTAAGTGTCTCTCTCGTTAGAATTTGTCCTCTTGTAAATGTTCACTTTAAATGATAGAGCCTTTTTTTTTTTTTTTTTAGAAAAGAGACTTTTTGTTATTATTTGGCGGTTCTTTTCCATAAAAACAGTAAAAGTGACAAGTGGAAGCCCTAGCCGTCTCTCTAGCTCCTTTTTATTTTTTTTTTCTCTAAATTTAAGAGGAAGCTACTTTTGTCTCCATAAGGAAGCAGAACATGGGCTTATTTGCACGAACAAGATCCTTTAGAGCACTCACTGCCCGAGGGTTGCCCATCCCTCGGCAGTTCCAACATAGGAACGTCATGGCTCTCGGCGGCCCTGAGTACTAGGGCTCGCCGCTTTAACATGTGTATCTTATAACTCAAATAAAAATATAAATATCATATATCTGTGAGAAGCGCGGAAGATCGTCTAATATATATGAATAAAATTCACTGTGTATTATTATATTGTATTATTATGTGTTAATGAGACGCGTTCTAGAAAAGTTTGACTCTCTAATATTTTAGTATCTACTCCTAACTTTTTTTTTCTTTTTTTTTGATAAAATTATAGATAAACCTAAGTGTCTCTCTCGTTTAAATTTGTCTCTTTAATTTCACTTTAAATGATAGACTTTTTTTTTTTTTTTTGAAAAAGAGACTTTTGTTATTATTTGCGGTTCTTTCCATCAAAAACAGTAAAGTGACAAGTGAACCCTAGCCGTCTCTCTAGCTCTTTTTTTTTTTTTTTCTAAATTTTGTTTGGCAGTGATTTCTTTTCATTTTTTTTGTTATTTTTCTTTTTTTATTTTTTTAAATAATTTTCAAATTTATAATCGTTTCAAACGAAATTTAAATTTAATTTATCAAATCTGTAATAGTTGATAGACATTAAGTGTTTTGACATCCTATTAGTGGGGCTATTAACTTGTACCCTCTATTAAAGAGTTTTTATGTGAATCTTCTATTTTTCGAGCAGTACGAAAAACAAGATGAATTACCAATTGAGTCTAGTGATTTTTTTCTCAATTAAAGTTTGTTATATTAAACTCTTCTGTGTGTGTCAATTATAATAAGTTTCCAAAAAAATAATATTTGTGGAGACAATATTATGATTTTTTTTTGTCGTCTTATTTAAAAATGAATCAGTTTTTATACAGAATATTAACTTTTTTTTGTCAAAATCAAGAACATCTTCAAACATAAATTTTTTATTTTCTATGTTTGTATTTTTTATTCTTATAAAAATACTATAATGTACTCAATTTATATAGATTATTAATGAATTATTAAATTTTTAAGAAATAAAAAATATTTATCTCTCATCTTTACTCGTTGCTTTCTTCAAACAATTCCTGATTTACGAAAGCCAATGTCAACAAGATCAAATCCAAAGCTAAATGAGTTGCTAAATGAAGATCTATAACCAACAAACTTCAGTTTTGGCAATATAAAATTATTGAGTTTTTTTTTTATTTTCTAGTAATTTTATTATATCTCTTATATTTCAAAATTCACTTTTAAAACTATTTCTTTCATATGAGTTTTTTTTTTTTTTCTCTCCTTTTGTTACCAGAATTGATCTGTTTCTCGAAAGATAGATAACTCTCCATAAGATCAAATCCGGAGCTAAATAAGTTTTCGTCTCAATTACATTTATAATCTGATGTAATAAATTTCGAGTAAAAATATTGTGTAGAAGATTTAATCGTATATATTTATATTTCTTATAATATAATTATTTTATAAGAAAATTTCTTACTATCTCTTTATGAGGAGGAGGTAAAAATTAATCACTTCATCGTGGTTGTTTTAAAAATTAATCACTTCAACGAATATGTAATAGTAATTTTTTATATTATATATATATTTAAGGAAAATTATATTATATGTTGATAATGAATTGCTTTAAAAAAAAAAATCAATTTGAAAACGAGAATCAATTGGCCCATGTATCTTTGGAAACAGAAACCTGACCCACGGCCCAATTTCTAACGACCGATTAGTACGGTTTTGCGTCTTCGTGGCGGTTGTGCGCGCGCGTGTCCATTAAGATTTTCTTTTTTTTAAAGCAAAATAAAGGCCAAAAAATATATATAGAAGCAACAGTTTTTATTAGAAACAAAAAAAACATTTTGTTACACAACACACACAAGACACTTCCTCTCTAATCCCTTCCTCTTCTTCTTCTTCTTCTTCTTGGCCCAATCACGTAGCTTTCGCTTCTCCCTCTCTCGAAGTTTTCTCGTACAGTTCAGGCGCAGAGCCTCCTCTTTCTCTATATAGAAAACTTGCGTTTTTGGTTTCATCTCTCTCTACTTCTGCGGTTTGTTTTTCCGGCTTATTGATTCGGTGAATCGCCACTGTATGGGCGTTGATGGCTCCATGCGTTAATATCGGTACAAATTGAGGATCTCTTCTTGTTAATTAGTCTGTTCTAGTCTAATTCAACTGTTGAGGTTTAGTTGACTCCAAATTCTTTTGATATAATAGACTTGTTCTTAGTTGGAACCTCAGTTTTTTCTTTCTGTAGTTGTTTTGTTTTTTTGTATACAACTTTTTAGGGTTTGGTTTTCTGGGTTGGGTAGGGATTTTCCATGTTTACCTCGTTTTACTCGTCTTTATTCACGGGGTAGTCTTGTAATTTCATGGGACTGGGGCGGATTGTCTTGTTGGTATAGAGATGGGGCCTTCGTAATCGTAGCATAAGAAGCTCTTTTATCTCTTTAGGAAAACTGAAAAGAAGTTATAACTGCTTTCTATCAGAAGTAATTTTAAATAGAAATTGATTTTGTGGTGATAAGTTACATTTGAATTTATTGATTAATTGTTTGATTGGTGAAATTGTTTTTGAGTCAAAAGTTTGGATGACTTAAAGTACATAGTGCACAAAGGGAAACATACACAACTCTAATTGCAGTGTATATAGCAGTTTTGAAGAATTGGGTTTGGAAATTTTTGTTAATGGAAATAATAAAGTGATTATAGAAGTTCAGTGAGACAAAATTGAAGGTATATTGGTTTGACGATATTTTGGTTCTACATTTGTGGTTGGATACTTCACTTAAGACTGCTTTGAAGTGAGGATTTGGTGACGAAAGTGAATGGAAGTGATATTCAGTTGGTCATTTGATCCTTATTGTGGGTGGATTGAGTAGCTTAACACGATCAAGAAATTGGTTTTTTTTATTTTTTTTATATGATCATGTTTAGATACTGTTATGGATAGAAGTGAGCCTGCACTAGTACCAGAATGGTTGAAAAGCGGTGGAAATGTTCCTAACGGTGGTAACCCTAGTCATTTTTCTGCATCAGCATCACTGCCCTTTGGTAATCTTGTTTATTTGAGATTTGTGCTTTTTTCTTTTTTCTCGTTTCTAATATTTGATTGTAAAAAAAAACATGACTATAAATGAAGAATGGAAATTTTAAAATCCTAAACTCTTAAACTCTTATTTTAATCTGATTTGTATCTTTTCTGTCTGCAAGCATCTTTTAGGGATAGTGAGTTACTTATTAACACAATCTATTACAGGAAGCTTACCTAGGTCTCATATTGGAGGAATAGTTGAACAGATGCAATGGCCAATGCCAGTGACCTATTGGAATAATTGTAGGGCTTTATTTTTATAGCAATTTCATTAAGGCATAAACCCCTTATTACTGCAGGCTAAATATTCTTATACGTTTATTTGTCTTGGGTTTTTAGTTGAAATAATCTCTCTCTGAAGTGCTTCCAAAAATGCTAATCAATATTCAAAACTCTGATTGAACTGTTCCGAGTGATTGTAACTACTCTTATTAAGGAATGAGGTCTTTTCCCCTTTGAACTCTTTTACCTATTTTTTACCATTTTTTTGGCTCCTGAATACTTGAAAAATTTCCATTATTTATTTTTCCATTTCCATTTATTGCATATTCTAAGCAAATCAAATAAAGAAGCATGGGATTTTGGTTCAGAAAAGTATGCTTACTATATTCTGTTTCCTGTAGATTATCATCCTGTATCAAAGCACTCGCAGAATAAGTCATCTCTGAGTGGCATTGATCATGATACACGGCGTTTATCAATTTTGGAAAGAACGACATCTGCCTATTTTCGTCAGGGTTCTAGTAGCAATGGTTCTGTTCATTTGCGATCTACGAGTAGTTTAGGCAGAAGTCATCGTGATAGGGATTGGGAAGATGTAAGTGGTTACTGTGATAAGGAAAAATTGGTTTCAGATGACAATAGACACCATGAGCATTTGGATCCTTCAGGCAACATTTTCCCAAGTAAACTTGACAAAGATAAGTTACGCCTCTCACAGTCAATAATAACAGGGAAACAAGATGATACCTGGTCTAAGAAAGTAGCTGGTGACTTGATTAACCCCCAAAAAAATAAACACAGCAATAGCAATGGCAGTGGCATACTTGCTAGGGTTGGTGTTGGTGCTGTAAATGATACTGCATTTGAACAGGACTTCCCATCACTAGGAGCTGAAGAAAGACAAGTTGGTATAGGAAGGGTACCTTCTCCTGGCTTAAGTACAGCAATTCAAACTGGCACATCGGCTATTGGTGGTAGTGAGAACTGGAAGTCAGCACTAGCAGAGGTGCCAGTGGTTATGGGAAACAGCAATTTGGGTCTTGTATCAGCCCAGCAAGCTGTTCCTGCAACCACAGCTACTGTGGTTCCAAATGTTACTATGGGACTGAAGATGGCTGAAGCATTAGCTCAGGGCCCTCCTCGTGCTCGTACACCACCACAGGTAAGTTCATCATTATCCTGAATGTATAGGAGTTTATCAGGATGAATTTAAATGCTTATAGTTTGAAATGCATGTTTACTTGCAATTGTAGTCTACTGCCGGGATACAAAGGTCTGAAGAGCTGGCTATACGGCAGTCCAAATTGATTCCTATGACTCCTTCCACACCTAAAACACTGGTAAGAGCCTTGCTGTTCGTCTTTGTTGGTTTTATTTGCTTATGTTCATGGCATTCACATTTCCTGTTTGACTTTGTATTTAGCTCATTTTGGTAATGTTAGTGATTGATGGGCCTTTATAGATGATTTGTCAGCTTCAGCCTTTAAATGAACTTTGTGTTGTCTATATAGTTTGGATTATGCAGCAAAGAGAAACAATTTGATTATGGAATATTTCTGTTGCATCATCACATCTTAAATTCTGGTTGTTTCTTTTTGTTGGAATCAGTGGCTTGTATGAGCTACCTAAGAGGTTGATGACATGTTGATGTGCTTGAATATTCTACTTATCACTGCATTATTGCACGTAATGTGTTCATCAACTTGGTAAGGGTGAAGCGTGTGAAAGCTAAGATTGCCTATTCATGGATCTTGACAATTTTGTACATTCTTCAAGGGCATAAATGCTGATGCAAATAATTTTCAAAATGCTTGTGATGTCTGTGCTGATATCTTCACATGAGAGACATCAACACAAGTGAGCCTCAAGTCGTCTGTTTCTATGTGATGTACAAGTACAGTTTGATTGACAAGGTTTTATAATGATAATTTCTGATAGCGATAATTATTGACAAGGTTCATTATTTCTTTATTGAGAACAAGAAAGATATTTAATGTTTGTTTCTAGTTCGCTCTACTTGGAGTAACACCTTCTGATAGAATAGCGGCTTGTAAGTAGGCATATGGTATTTCAACAGCTGATCTTTGAACCTCTTATTATAGATTGAAATGTTGACCAATGTTATATTTATGCACTAGTGTGCTTTTCCATATTGATATAGGTACCTGCACACAATTTTTATATGTCCAGCTTTCTGAGTGCACAAGTTTCATATCTTCTATAAGTAGCTCTCTCTCGGACCCTTAGTTGGTCTCCCAAATTTCTTTCATAGTTTGAATTGAGAATCTACATGTTTCCTTCTTGTCTTCCTCTTTCAAGACATCGTATGTGGTTTCTTGTGTACTTAGTTGTGTTTCCGTTTGATTGAAAACTAATGATGGTTTCAAAGGCTAGCCAAGGTGAAACTGATAGTTTCCTTCATTGTTTGATCATCTTTGCTCTTTTGCCTCTTATGAGAAAATAATGTACAAATCTGGAGCTCAAAATTTGGTTGTTATCCTGTTGACCAGTCAAAATAGATTTGGATAATGTCATACCAATATGCAATTTATTATGATTGTAATGATTCATTTGGGATGGGAGGTCATCATTGGTTTCATGACTGATTCTCCAGATTTAAAATTGGTTATGCATCTATGAATTTAACTCTTGAACCCTCTAAATTTTATTAGTTACCTTTGGTCTCTCTCTCTCTCTCTCTCTGTTTTCTTATACATGTTTCAGGATCTTAGATTGATGAGCAAGAAATGTTCTAGATGTTGTGAACTGCACACATCCACACTTAATTATAAATAGGAAAGACAATTGCCCTAATGGATCTGATGTGCATACATGTAAACAATTAATGCCGTCTCTTTGTAGGTGGTCAGCCCTTCAGAGAAAACGAAATCCAAGATTGGCTCAGTCCAATTTGGCAATCATTCTCGTGGTGCTGCAAGATCTGATGCTGCAAAAGTATCCAATGAAAGCAGGCTTCAGGTCCTCAAACCATCACGAGAATTGAATGGCATCTCTTCAGCTGTGAAAGATATCTCAAATCCTAATGGAAGCAAGGGGCAGAATAATTCACTTGGAATCGCTCCATTGGCTATTGGATCTGTTCCCTTGAGGAGCTCAGGCAACAGTCCAAACCATGCCAGTGCTGAGTGCCATTCTTTTGCTTTCCGGCGGCCAACCATGGAGAAGAGACCAACATTGCAAGTTCAGAGCAGGAATGATTTTTTTAATCATCTAAAGAAGAAATCGTCTATACATTCTACTTCTGTGGCCTCAGAGTCCAGTCCTATTTTATCTTCATCCATCTCAGAGATGTCTGGGGAATCGGCCAAAGTTGTTACTGCTCCAGTTTCAGATCAAGGTGGAGATTCCTCTTCATCTGTGGCTAGCTTGTCCTGTGACGATAGTGGTAAAATGGTTTACAATGGAGATACTTGCTCTGGGCCTCTTCAGTTTGACAAAGGAGAGAAGGATTCATGTTCTGATGTGATTCCTAACCCAGACGAGGAAGAGGCTGCTTTCTTACGTTCACTTGGTTGGGATGAAAATGCTGGAGAAGATGAAGGCCTTACTGAGGAGGAGATCAGAGCTTTCTATGAGGAGGTATCCATATTTCTAGAATCTGTTTCTTTACTAACATATAATTGAATATATGCAGTTGCAAATACTCATTTGCTATTTACCATTTGCAGTACACGAAATTAAGGCCTTCATTGAAACTTCATGGAAACCGACCGGCAATGACACTTGACTCTCACAATAGTACTTGCAGTTTTGCTTCATCTGCACTTAGTTCATCTGATACAGATTCGGATTCTTGACTCCCCAGATGTCCCAACTGACTTGGAAGTTTGAATTGATTGCTGGTTGTGATTTCTTTTGTTCTCTTTGTTTGATAACAATTGGGTGTTAAAAGGGAGAAGGTAGGGAAATAGGATGATGCATTACAATATGGAATGAACTATTATTCGAGTAGGCTGAAGATAAATGATGTGGTCGCTCTGCGTTTTTTAGCTTAGATTTCCTTGAGGTGTAAAGGCTGAGAAGAGAAAGGTAAGGAATAGCGTTGTCTGCTGGAAAAATAGGGCATAAGAAATTTGGGTCTCTGTGGGGAATAATTCAACAATAGATTTGTTTTGTCAATTGAGAAAGAAAAGGAAGCAAGAAATTACTAGTTCTTATTGGTTTTCTCAGCTGTTTCAATTTTTATTTTATTTTTTTTTTGGATTTATATTTCATGGTTATATATGGAAAAATAGGCAATTATTACTAGATAAATGTGCCTTGCTCAAATGATTGTGATGATCAGCTCCATTACTTTAAATATTGAGCTCTTTTGAAGGGACTCATGAAATTAAGGTTATGATAGAATTTATTAATTTCATGTATTGTGATTTATTTGTTAACTTATCAACTCATCAAGACTCGAGTTGATCAGTTGAGTCAATCAAAGATGGCATAAACGACATCGTTGGAATAATTTACGACAATGAAAAGCCCATATGAGATATCCAAGCACAGTTTCCAATCAATTCAAGCCCAAAAGAAACGAGGCCCATTGATTCTAATCTAATTTAAAAATTCTTTTTTGTAAGAGCATTTAAATTCTTAAGTTAATGGCAAAAATTCCTAGGTTGGTGTTCAGTAGTACATCATTTTCATATCACACCAATTTATTCAAATCAGGACTAGCAAAGGAAATCTCTTTTTCTAATAAAATATGGATTTCAAATGCATTTATTTATGATGTAAAAATGAATTTACTTAAATATACATAAATAAATACGTATGAAGAAATTTGGATGGTGTTGAAAATAATCACCCAAAATTTCAAGGCAAAAAATTTTCTTTCCTTGACCATTTATATATAGCCATTAGCCACTCAAAATTCAAGAATGGGGACCATGATTTTTTCAAACTAGGTTTTGTTTTTTCATGGTTGAGGAAAGAAGATTACAGAAGGAGGAGATCACACTCACATGTCCATTTCTTTGGGCATGTGAAGTCCAAAGATACCCTTGGGTCAACTCCTTCGATTTTTCTTTACATTTTTTACCTTTTTTTTTTAACCGTCTCCAAAAGGAGATCGCTGTAGGAGATTGATTTGAAGAGTAGTTCTCAACTGAGGGTATTATTGTTATTTCACTAAGAAAAAAAAAATCATGTAAAATTATATAATTTTTTAAAATGATAATCAACCGTTGACTCGGGTGGTCTTGTATGCTAAGTGTAGCAGATATTTTCCGAAATGGTCTACTAAATTAATATAATGAGTTAAAATGATAATTTAATAAAAAATATATATATAAAAAGTGAGATTTGTAAATTAAAATTTAAAAATAGAGATCTCACTTTTAATAAATATTTTGTTTTTATTGAATTATTATTCGAACGCCATGTTGGATATCGTGATATCATAAATATTCAGGTTTTACAATTTTCTTTTAGAATTAAAAAAAAAAAAACTATAGTTAGAAATTAATCAAATATTTATAGTGTAGAAAGCAACACCCAAACAACAAAGCTTTGAGCATGCAGTGACGCCCAGATCCAAACAAACCCATTTACATTTTGAAAGAAAAACTAAAAATTGTTCCATTTTATTATTATTATTTGTAGGAGTCCATTTTATTTGTTGAGAAATATACAAAAATTGCAAAAGTCTTCAACTAGACATCGGTCTAAACATAGTATAAAAGGGTTGGGCAGGGCAGGGCAGGGCAGCAGGGCAGGGGGGCGGCAGCAGCAGCAGCAGCAGTCAGCTACCCATCAAAAGTTGAGAACTTGAGATAATGATGGTCTTAAATTCTTAATTAATATATTAATATTAAGCAAATTCTTCCATGACGTACATAATTTTATTTTATATATAAAAAGGATTCCCATGATATATAAAATATCTAGGTCAAATATTTTGAACATGCGTCTTGTAATTAAAAAAAAGAAAAAGAAATTAATTATATATTTACATATTTAATTGTTTGAAATTTGATAAGGCACTTAGGAATGAAGTATACAAAAACTAGTTGCTAACATGTGGTTATTTTCTAATCACAAAATAAGATATAGATATATATATAATATTATATATATTCTTTTCTTTTCTTTTCTTTTTCTTTTTTTTTTTTAAAGGTAACTTTAGAATGGCATATGGAAACTTCAAGGGAGCATCACTGCTTGGAATCTTTTTCTTACCTCATAAACATTTTGATTATTATTGTTTTTATTATTATTACTATCTCTTATTACAAGATTCTACATGTACCTATTATTAAATTATTAATTATGTCTCGGTGTACATTTTTTTTTTCTCGAATGAAGAAGAAATAGATGAATTCTATTTTTATTATCATCTGGAGAAAAAGATTTATTAGGTCATTGAATTATAAACTTTTTAAATGTAATCTGATTGTTTTTTTTTTTCGTATTCGAATAAATAATAGGGTCAATTGCTATTACCAATAATAATCACTGCAATTTGTCATTTTACACATTCTTTCTTGTATTTAACAGTATATTTTTAAATTATGAAATTTTTACAATTCAAAATATTTTGTGTTACTGCCAAATGATATTGGAAAAGTTATTATTTTGCAAATCAAACATTTTCTGATGGGAAATAAGTGGGAAGTACTATACAGATTTAAATCTCTTAACAATAAAAATATTCACTAATTTACTGAGAATTATAAAAGGAGAATATATTTTTTACGGATGAAGCAAATATTTGCTAGAAGTATTTTCTTTCTTAGTGGGTCAATCCGGTGCGAGCAGAATTTAGATTTAACCCAGTGAACTAAAGATACACTGCATTTTGAAATATAGAGTTTCCATAATTGAAATGATTTTACCTTAATATCATTTCAGTCTACACCTGAAAATACATGAAAATACTTTTATAGACCAGTTCCATACACTTTTATCCATTTTTTCTTAGTATATTGAGAAATATCATCGTTTAAAAAAAAATTTATTTTCTAGTACGGTCTATAGATGAGGCTATAAACCTGATCTATGTAAATAAATCCGAAAATACATATTAAAAAACCACACGTGTGAATCTATGGGGACACATGCATGGCATAAAAAAGATAGATCATTGCCGAAGATATGAGGGTAGGATTGAAGAGTGCCTCATTGCATGCACGAAACTTATGTAGAAAGTCAGGTACATAATTCTTATTTATTTTTTTTTTATTTTTCTTAATTTTATAAAATTATTATTATTATTATTATTATTTATAAATGTTTTATATATAGTCTGTCATTTTCTTTATTATATTGTTAGGTTTTATTTATAACGTGAGAAATGGCTGCGGCGTCGCTTCCTCCCAAGTCCACTCCTCCATTTATTTTTCTCTCCCTAATCCTCATGCATAATGCATCCAACAATATTTTTTATTAGATGCAAAAAGGAAAAGAAAAATAAAGAAACAATTAATGAGAGAAAATATATCATAATTTCAAAATTTCAAAGAACTTAATTAACAAAAAAAAAATTATATAAGGATCGAAGTTGGAAATATTTATGAAAATATGGAAACTGATTAAATTGAGAAATACAATAACGATTCTAGATTTCAAACTTTATATTTTATAGAAAAAATTCACCTGAGAATGCATTTCATTTCGATCGATATATAACTTAATAAATATACTCAATATTTATTAATAATAGTTAATTTGATTGTGAAATGAGAGATAATAGAACTTTTTTTCTCGTTATATTTAAATTCTAAAATAAAATTAATTAATAGTTTTGATTAATTAATTGAATCCAAGATTATAATATAAGAACACTAAATAATAAAATAAAAATTAAATAATGCATGTTATCTAGGGGAAAAATAAAATAGTTCTTCATCAGAAAAATGTGACAATTAAGTTCCTATATTCTTGCTAAAAAAGAAAGGTTTTAATCAATTAATATATATGCATGATCTTTCAATAATCTTTTGATTATGTTATTAATTTCTAAATTGGAGACTTGCTTTTTCTTCTTTGCTTTCAAAGTAATTAAGACTTGCTTTTTCTTTGTGTGCTACATTACAGCTAATGGGTACTAATGGTGATAATAATTTTTTTTAATATGATTATATCAAAACAAAGTGATGAAGAATTCAAAAATACATTCACACATATGTAAGTTATTAATTTTTATTATTATCTAAGAGGAAAAAAAAAATTCAAAGATAAATGTAATTTCGATAAATTACCATCCAATTTCAAATATCGTTCACTCTTCCTCACCAATTTATCTCATTAGCTCCTGCTTGATATAAATGGAGTGTCGTATGCAAAATTTTACTTGTTGTTTCTCAAGCTTTATTTTTTTTTTTCCTTTTACCCAAAAGAAAATATAATTAATTATGGATAAAGTTATTCAATTCAATATAATTTTTAACACACTAAGACATAGCTTATTGGTAAGTACATATACGACCTGACAATAGATCCAAATTCAAATCACCTCCCCCATTGGAAAAATATATTCAATATAATTTTTAGATCACAGATGTTCACAATTAATTAGATTGAGCGAAAATTTTCCATCCACAATTATAAAACACTCGTATCTGAGTATTTTCAATGAGAATGACTCGTTTAGACTGGATCTATATCCCATTCGTGAAAATATAAATTTTTATTCAAATAATGATAATTTTGATCATTGAAAAAAAAATAAAATATGAAAAAATTTAAATTTAAAAATTTTTATTTTCGTTAGTTTTATTTATAGATGAGCCAGGTGTATACAAGTATAATCCATTTTCTATTCTGATCAACCCTGTAAATTGCTATTTCAAGTTCACTGTGTGAGAGATGGGCACATTGACTTTGGTTTAATTTAGAAAGCCAATTAAGTTTAACATGGGAGATTATAATATGGAGTGTATGTTTTGAACATGGAGATTATAATACATATATATTCAATATAATTTTTAACACACTAAAGACATAAAGCTTATTTGGGTAAGTACATATACGACCTGACAATGATCCAAATTCAAATCACCTTCCCCCATTGGAAAAATATATTCAATATAATTTTTTAGATGCCAATGTTTCACAATTAATGTAGATTGAGCGACGAAAAATTTTCCATCCACAATTATAAACACTTCGTATCTTGAGTAATTTCAATGAGAAAATGACTCGTGTTAGAGACTGGAATCTATAATCCCAGTTCCGTGGAAATATAAATTCTTTTATTCAAATATGATAATTTTGAATCATTGAAAAAAATAAAATAATGGAAATTTTAAATTTAATAAAATTTTTGTTATTTTCGTTTAGTTTTATTTATAGATGAGCCAGGTGTATACAAGTATAATCCCCCTTTTCTAATTTCTGATAAGCCCTGTAAATTGCTATTTCAAGTTCACTGTGTGAGAGATGGGCCACATTGACTTTTGGTTTAATTAGAAAGCCATTAAGTTTTAAGCATGGGGAGATTAATAAATAATGGAGTGTATGTTTTTGAACATGCGGCACCCACTCACTCACCATATATATATATATAGTATACTATATATAATATATATGAATATATATACGTATTCGCTTGTCTGCATAGTAGGAAATTGAGGTCTTCGAGTTTGACAGATTTCAAGATCAGATACCAATGTATATTATCAATGTTTTATACGGATTTCGGTACGGGCTCAATATTCCCCCCTATATATTCTGTCTGCATATAGAAATTGAGGTCTTCGAGTTGACAATTTCAAGATCAGATCCCAATGTATAATTATCATGTTATAGGATTTCGTACGGGGCTCATATTCCAGGGATGAAGATGATGTCAGAACTTAATTTATTTTATCCTCAACTTTTTTTATTGTTATTACAACTTAATTTAATTAATATTTGTGCAAAATCACCAAAATGAATCTGGATTTTGATTGGCATATTTATAGCTATACATGTTCATCTAGGAAAGTCTTATACAAGAAAATTAAAATAATAATATAATTACATTAAAAATGTTTGAAAGAAAAATATAATTTTCATATTTGAACTCTTCAAATTTTCATAAATAAAATAAACATTGAACCACAAGATTAATAGCATGCCATGACTTCAGTGATTTTAAGAGGCCTAGCTACAGAATTATACACATGCAAGCTTGCTTTGCTAGGGCATTAACAGCCTGTTATTATACATATGTAGTGTATAATTTATCAAGTAGGGTATGTGATTCCAAGTCTCCTAAGCAACGGGGAACCAGAAAAAATAGTTAGAGGGGCGAATTTTTTTTTTTTCAACATTTAAGGAGAAGAGATATAAAAAAAAAAAATCATTATTTTATAAGTAAAGATAAAATTTTCTATATTTTATAAGGTAAATATAAAAAAAAATTAAAATTAGGGGCCACTGCCACCGCTAGCCATCCTTGGTTCCGCTGTTGCTGCTAAGGCTATTTTTTGGTTAATATCAAGTAAGATTTTGTGAATTTTTTTCTAGTCAATATATGTGTTTCTACGCTCGGATTGAGAGTGATATTCAGATAAACATTTTTAATAATAACGATTTCAGATTTTAGATCCTTTACATTATAAATAAATTCGCTTGGAGATACAGTCCATTTTCACTGATTCGATCTTTTGTTAGTTTTAGTGGCTGATTTTAGTTGTCCAAAGGGAAAATTAGTCTATATTATATAGTGCCTTCACCTATAAATTTGGTTTCCTTTTTCCTACGAAACAGAAAGGGGAAGAACTTCAAAGGTGTAACTTGTAGGGGTGCAATAGTCTTTCCAACAGAGAGAGACCTCAATTATTTAATATTGGGGATCCCTACTTGCCGAATTCACCAAAGTTTATTAAAACAATTAATTGATACTTGTAGTCTTTAATTAATTTAGGTTAATTAAGTACATAATTAAAGTCAAAGCTTAGATGCGTCCTAGTGTGTCTAATTATACTTCTTTGGGACGAGGGAATTGACTTTGGTGCCTCAAAAGCTGCATTTTACAGACACAGAGAAATTTAGAAAAGGTGAGTAAAGGAAAATAGAGAAGAAAAAACAGAAAGAAAGAGATAGTGCAATATCTTTTGTGTCTCTCAAATGGGTAGAGAAGAATTCAAGAAAATGGATATTGATCTTTCTTTGAAAATAGATACTGAAGATAAAGAACAAGAAAGAGAAGAAGAAGAAGAAGAAGAAGAAGAAGAAGAAGAAGCAAAGAAAGCTAAAGAAGTTCAGGAAATGCAAGAAAATAGTCGAGAAAAGAGACCAGATGTGCAAGAAATAAATGATAATGAAGCAACACCAACAATTACAGGAGGAGAGGTAGTAGATGATTCTTCTCTTGAATTATCTTTACAAGAAAACACCAAAACAGAAGAGGTATTTATGCATACTTATTAAAACCCTATTACTTTTATAGCTTCACCATCATCATCATCTCCTTTCTTGAACTATTTGAATTTTCTATATATATATATATATATATACATATAGTTGTTTTATGTGAGAGAACCATAACAACAAAGCTAACTGAGCTTTATCAATATATTTATGTATCAGTTATCTGCTCTGCAAATGGAGATGAATAGAATGAAAGAAGAAAACAAAGTTTTGAGGAAAGTAGTAGAACAAACCATGAAAGATTACTATGATCTTCAAATGAAATTTGCAGTTATCCAGCAAAATACCCAGAAGGTAATAATCTTAATTTTTTTTATGTGTTTCTTTTCCTTTCCATAAATCAAAGATCATTATGATATGAATCAGTATTTTAGTTTCTTTTAATTGTAGCTAGATATTTAATTATTTATTTGTTTCTTTTACATGAATTCATATAGGATCCTCCTATCTTTCTCCCACTTAGAGGTAATGAGAAAGCTTTTGAAGTACCAAAGTCAGTTCCAAAATTTTTTGATACTAATGATAATAGAAATCGAGCAACTTTATCAAAGGATGATAAGATTATTGAAGAAAGAGAACTAGGGCTTTCATTGAGGCTACAAAATGATGACTCAGATCGACAAGAAAGAGAGGAAGATTATAAAGAAGAGATCAATAAGGAAGAAAATGGAAATTATGCATCGGTACAGAATAATAAGCTTCAAAGAACTGATAATAACTTGCCTGGGATAACAAGCCATGGTGCTTCTCTTCCCAACAGAAAAGCTAGGGTTTCAGTTAGAGCTAGATGCCAAGCGGCAACAGTAAGTTAAAGTTAATTATATAATTAGTACACTAATTAATTACACTTTTGCAAATTTGATACATAATTGAGATAACTAGATAATAATTTGAGCTTTATTTCTGTATTATTGCAGATGAATGATGGCTGCCAATGGAGGAAATATGGGCAGAAAATTGCCAAAGGCAACCCTTGCCCTCGAGCCTATTATCGTTGCACAGTAGCTCCAGGATGCCCAGTTAGGAAGCAGGTAATTAGTTTATGCAAGAGAATTTTACATTTTGAGAGTAATTACAGTATATCTAAATAGAAGTCTGAGTGTTTTCTTACAATGTAAGAAGCCGAAAATTTAAATTCTGACAAATTTCTCCTCCTTTAATCAAGTACTTTTGATGCATCAAGAAAAGTTTAATTCTTCAATTGGATGACTAATTACAAATTCTTGCACTAATATCTATTTGAACCTGCTTGTTATAGGTGCAAAGATGTCTAGAGGATATGTCAATCCTTATAACAACCTACGAAGGAACACATAATCACCCACTTCCTGTTGGTGCAACAGCTATGGCATCAACTGCTTCAGCAGCAGCTTCCTTTATGTTATTGGATTCTAGTAACCCTTTATCTGATAACATTTCTAATTTCACTACACAAGCATCTAATTTCCCATTTCGCGGTGCTTCTCATATGTTTTATCCTAATTCGATGCCTTTCCGAAGCATAAACCCTAATGACCCTTCAAAAGGGATTGTTCTTGACCTTACAAATAATAGTACTCATCAAGATCATCCTCCTCCACAATTTGCACTAGCTACCTCATCATCATCACCATCACATTCTTTAGCTCAGCCGCCGCCACCCATGTTTTCTTGGATGCAAAACAAGTCAATTCACCAAAATAATGGTAACAGTACTATCGCTACTAATCACTTTCTTGCTAGCCCTAGAGTAGATGATCATCAAAGGAGATGGAAAAGTGAAGAAGACAAATCATCACTAGCTCAAAATGTAACTGCTATTGCTTCTGATCCAAAATTTAGGGTTGCTGTTGCGGCTGCTATTACATCTCTTATCAATAAAGAAAAGGGTAGTGTAGGACCATCTTTGGTTCCTAATGATAAGGAAAGTGAAGGTGGTAGCTCTAGTAGCAAGAATTGGGTTCTTGAATCTCTCTCTGCAAATGGAAAGCCAATCAGAAATTCATCACCTTGAAAAACAAAATTCTCTGTATAAGAATAATAATTTCTTTCTATAAGCACTAATTGGAAGGTTATACATAGATTATATATGTAATATTACCTTGTCTAGATTTGAATATGATATCTAATACCAAATTAATTTCCTTTTTCTTGTTTTCAAGCTTTTAGTAGTATTTTTTTTTTCTGTAAGTGCATGAATTTAATATGATTCAAGGAACTAGATAAGATAAAATATATATATTTTGTGCACATGTTCTTCTTCTTTGAAGGTTTGACTCTTTATTTTTATATGCACTTACACATGCATGAACATTTCTCATTAATGGGATCAAACCATCTTATTTTTTTCTTATTTTGTTTTCTAAATGAAGAGATACATAAAGTTAAATTTAAATAGAATAATGTTTTTTTTTTTTTTTTGAAATGAATATTCTCATTAATGGGATCAAACCATCTTATTTTTTTTCTTACTTTTGTTTGTTCTAAATGAAGAGATACTATAAAGTTTAAATTTAAATAGAATAATGTTTTTTTTTTTTTTTTTGACATGATAGAATAATGTTTATTTTATTTCCATCTCTTTTTTTTTTTTTCTCTCTATATTTTTTTTTTTTTTTTGACATGAATAGAATAATGTTATTTGATCCATCTCTTTTTTTTTTTTCTCTCTATACATAAGTGTATATATTTTGCTGTCAAGACTTAAGACCAACAATGTGCCTTAATTGCACCCAGGATATCAGGATCTTCAAGGAATAGTACTATATGTTAAATGTTAAAAAAGAAATTTAATTGCAAAATAAACCTTAACAATTATTAGAATAAGTAGTTGAATTCAATTTTGTGAGATTGAATCTGACATGACATGAAGTACAATTTTTTTAGAAGTAAATAAGATTTCATTATTCAAATTCAATTGATACAAATTAATAGCTGCACACCGAGACATACCATATTGGTAAGTGTATATACGAATTGACAGTATATCTATGTTTGAATTTCCCTTTCCCCGTTCCTCAATACTAAAAAAAAAAAAAAATACAAATTAATAGGTAATGGAGGACAATACTCTTATGTAAAAGACTTAAATATTTTGCTGATTTTATAATTAGGGGATGTACTAAGCAATTCTCTAATAAAATTCAGATAAAACTCTTCCAATAAAAAAGCCATAGAAAATCACATTAGCTAAAATAGAGAATAATTAATCTATAATAGTTATGAGAAAATCAAGATAATCTACCATTTAGAGAGTAAATTACTCTACAATCCTTATGAGAAAATCGAGATAATCTACCATTTGGAGGATCTTCTAACAAATGAAAATTCTGGAGGTAAGATCTGGTCAATTCGTTAAGTGTTTTTAGGTTGTATTCGGCAACTGTGTTTTACGTAGTTTTTAGTGTTTTGACTGGTCAAAACGTTAAGTGCTATTTTTTATAGTGTTCGGCAATATAATGTTTGAACTAGCTTTCAAAAGTTAAAGGAGCGTTTTATAGAAAGTTAATACATGTAACGTTCAGCTTTTAGTGTTTCATGAAAAGCTATTAAAACATCAAAAAGGTAAACGCTACTAAAACAATTAACAACTATCAAAATATCTAATTTGCTGAACAAATCTTTAATAGATAAAGACCCCATATTCAACAACTTTTTTTTATGTAACTTTTAGTGTTTTAACAAAGTCAAAATATTAATTTTATTATTTATTATGTTTCAACAGTATAGTATTTAGAGTTTAACTAGGGAGGCCAACTATAAAATTTTACTATCTTTAACATTTGATAAAATACTAATTAAATAGTTGACAATTATTAGAACGCCTAATATACATTAAAACAACTAATTTTAACTAATTAGAACTAATTTGATATATATCCAATATGAATTGAAGAAAAAAGAAACAAATGGATTTGAGCATGGGCAGTACTCGGGCTCATAATATATTGTTTGGACTTGAATAATTGTGTTATTTTATGAATTTGAGCCCATCTAATTCTAGTTCTGAACACATCCACATCTCAGTCCAATTTTGCAGTTGTATGCATTTCTCCATTTCTCAGCTCATTATTATATTATGTGGGATAATTATAAAATTAGTATATGAATTTTTTTTTTTTTTTTATCCCGGTCTTTTATTTTTTATCATGTCAAGTGTTTGAATTAGAAAAATTTTAAAAATTAAATATATTGACGATAATTTCTTACCAGAATATTCAAACTTTAATTATTTTACCCATTTTTTAACTTTATAGATTACCAACTCTCTTCATTTTGTTCTCTCTCATTTTTGTTAATTTGTTTTAGAATATGAAAAGAAATTATAAGAAATTCTTGAGATTTATTTTCAAAGAATAAGAAATTTAAAACAAATAATTTTTTTAAAAAAATGAAGCAAAAAAGATTAATAAAATAAATATTTATGTATGATATAATTTATAATAAAGTTGTCTATCCTAATTTTTTTTCTTAATTTTACAGAGATTGTCTGTTAAAATCAATTTCAAAAAAAAAAAAAACACATTTTAACCAAATATACTAAATTAAAAAAATGTCTCACATTAATCACATTAAAATATATGAGTATCCCTTATTATTATTCATTGTTTGGAAATTAAATTGAAAATCAGAAAATAAAAAAAAATGAAGGATTATATTATGTGACCTTTTTTGTTGTTTTTTTTTTTTTTTTTTTTTTTTTTTTATTATTATTCATTGTTTTGAAATTAAATTGAAAATCAAGAAAATAAAAAAAAAAATGAGGATTTATATTATGTTACCTTTTTTGTTTGTTTTTTTTTTTTTTTTTTTTTTTTTTTTTGAAAAAGAATGGGGAATTTTTTTTTTTTTTTTTTTTTTTTTTTTTGAAAAAGAATGGGAAAAGGTTCCCAATCAAAAATGTTGATGGGCTAGTTTATTGACCAGCTGTTAATGGAGATAATAGTTGGGCCTATCCAATCAAAAAACGCCATAGAGACATCACAAATTTCCCATTCCCAAACCCTTGCGAGGGTTTTCTTCTCTGCAACAACACCAATTACAAGCTCAAACGCACCCACAATCTGTCGAGCCAACGAATCAATCAACTGCCTCCAGTATGGGTAGCACCTCCGCTATTGAGAAAACCGAGGAAGAGCTTCAACGAGAGATCGATGAGCTTCATCGCCAGCAGCGCCAGGTTCATTATACAATATTTTTGTCTTTGTATTTAATACGTTTGATAATTTTGTAAGGATTTTTGATTCCTCTCTTTCTTTGTTTTTCTTTTGTAGATTACAGAGCGGCTTCGTGATCCTCGGGGACTCCGACGAGGAGGGTTGGCTGCTGGTGGTGGTGGTCCTAGAAATTTCGCCGGCAATGGAGTTCGTCAGCGAGGCTTCGTTCGACCAGTAATTTTCTGCTTATTTCCCTCTTTAATTTCTCTTTGAAGTTTGATTTATTATGTTCTTTTTGGATTTTGAATTGCTTTTTCTGGTTGGTTTTCAGGCTGATAGAGATCATACAGACGATCAACCACCTGCAAAACGGCGGCTTTTGTCTGCTGTTGTCAAGGTAAATTATTTATATGTGATATAATTTGATCATTAGCTAATTGTGCGTTAAAAAGAGTTATAATAGTTAAAATTCCATGTTAATTGTGGTTTTTGGTTTTGAAATGGGTAGTTGTTTTTGTTCTTATTTGGAATTGTCAAAGAATTATGTAATTGAGTTTTTAGTATTTTGGGAATGCAGGTGGAGGATGGAGAGATTGTTGAGGATACTGAAGTGGCAACGGACTTGAACAAGAAAAAGCAGTCAGCTGAGGAGGAAAATGTCGGGGCTGGGATAGATAATCAGAGTGCTGATGGAAAGCTGTCCAATTTACAGCAGATCGGTTGGTCCAGGAGGGATGGCAATCAGAGATTAGGGAAGAGGGTAAATGTTAAGTCTTTTGTTCTTACCGAGCGTTATTCTGTGGATGTAAATCATAGCTTTTTCATTGTGGTTTCTTTGACAGGAGACTGAACTTCCAGTTGTTGAGCCTCTGCCTAGGGTGTTGCCAAAGAATGAGGATCCAAGCTTGGTTAGCAGAAATAAAAGAATGTTAGGGCAACTTTTAGGTACTTTAGAGGTATGCACACATTGATTTCGTGATATTTTTTTTGCTTACGTTTGACATGTTATTTGACTGAAAAGGCTGGAACTTTGTACCCAATGACGTCATTCCACAAACCATCAAGCGTTTTTGTCTTGCTATTATTGTCAATCATGCTTACCAATAATTGGTTGCAATATTTTAGCTTTTGATGGTGGAGAAATGGTATGTGGCTTTTGTTAATGGTGTCTGTAAATTATCCATGACCTCCTAAAATTTGCTTGAAAACTTCTAATCATACTAAAGCATATTTGTACCAAATATCTTAGCTTTCAATATTCCAATTGTTATGTGAAATTGTGCTTTTTGCCTCTGGTTTTGCTATTTCTTATATTTCTACCATTTATTGAATGCATTGCAGAAATTCAGGAAAGAAGATATGAAACTTTCAGGTACAGAGGCATTCAAACAAAGGTCAAGTGCTTTGCAAAGAGTGAGTATATCATCTTGTATCAATGCAGCTGTTATGTAGCATGTTACAATTGAATTGTTCCTTGACTGCACAATGCATCAGTCATAAACTTTTGCTTTATGTAACTCTATCCAAGGTCATTATCCCTGTTGGAAATCAGAGTTTTACCCCTGCTTACTATAAGAATTACTATTTTGCTTGAGCATTTCCAGCTCCAAATAATTCAGCTAGGATTATCAATTTTGCAGAATGTCTCAGTAACTAGGATCTTTCACCAGTTGGTAGAGTGAATAATAGATCTGTTGTCTTGTTTCCAAATGGATATGCTGTTTAAAAACATATTGAGTATTATGATGTTCCTGCATTCTGGCTAATGCCTCAAACTCCCCTCAGGCTGAGCAACGAGCACGAGAAGAAAGTGAAAGGCTGAGGCAGCAAGAGCGTGAACAAATTGCAGAAAAGAGAAGGAGAGATCTGGTTCGTTCTCAAATTGTTATTTTGTTGGCAAAACCTCAAATGGTTCCTTTCACACCTGTGGTGAAGTGAATGATCTTTTCTTACTCTATTGTTTCCTCTCTCTTGCAACAGACACTCAGAGCACGTATTGCTGCCAAAACAGAAGAAAAGAAGTTGGAATTGCTGTTTCGTCGGTGGAGTGAGCACCATAAAAAACTTACAAATTTTATAAGGTATTTGTTACTTCCATTTAGCACAGAATTTTCTGTGCTTGATAAACTCTCTGGCAATTTATCAATGATTTTAATACCCATGTTCTGCTGCAGGTTATTTTTAACTTTGGTCCAAAAGTGTCCATATTCACAGTTTTATTGAGACAAAGATAAGTTTCTGTTCATGTGCATAGTAGGGTTGAAGGAACTTGAGTAGTGAATGTTCCTGCTTCTTTTACGGGATTTTAGGTAGAATTACTTGGTACTTTTTATCACTTTTTTTCACACATATTTAATTTCTTCTGGGACACCTTTTGCAGGACTAAGGCAGAGCCTCCAATTTATTATTTGCCTAACAAACCATTGGATGAAGATGCAACATTGCGTGAGCAGCAGAAAGAACAGGTGAGTTTCCTGCTATGATTATGCTACTGAGAGATGCACAATCATTTTGGATGACATACCAATACAATTTATTGTCTTCTTATATAAGGCTGAATGCATAGAGAATGTTGTATCTTTCCCATGTGCCTTTTCTGCAACTTTTTTTTTTCCAAAATACCAATTTTATGGAACCAGCAGGGATTGTGTGTATCGCCATTTGCTACAAATAAATGCACTCTGTTTCTGGAAGAGTTCTCTGCAAAAGCAAAAACCAGCTATGGAAGATGGGCAGTTTTTAAATCATCTTCCTCATATTAACATTTTTACATCTCTTGATTGATTAAGAGGGGATAATATTTCTCAATTTTAAGGGCCCTCACCAAAAACGTGGGCGAGGTGTGAGGGTTGGTGGTCTGGAAGGTTTTGGGTTACAAATCATGTGTAGAATATCTCATTCTGTTCATCGTGTTTCAGATATTTGCGGAATGGAAGACCACTAGGAGAGAGGAACTGTCTGAATATCAGAAGCAGATTGCAGAACAGTATCTTGGCAATGTTGAAAAGGAATTGGAAAGGTGGCAAAACGCACGGAAAGCAAGGAGACCAAACAATGATGCGAATTTACAAGAAACGATGGACAAAGAATTGGACACCCATAGGCTTGAGCATGGTCCGAAGACAAGAAAGATTCCTGGTGGAAACAATGAAGATGAGGATGATGTGGAGGATATCAATGTCGCGGAAGATGACATGATGGATGATGTGCTAGAGGTTGATGAAAATGGCAGAAGGGGCGACGAAGCAGCCAAGCCAGAAGCTGATAGCACCAGCCCGAATCCTGAGAACCTTGATCAGTAATTATCAAGGCATCTTCAGCTAGGTTTTGTTTTATATTCTGTTTTTGCTTGCCTTTTTAGCAGGTGGTTTTTTTCTGTTTGTTTTTTTGTTTTCCCATTTATGTTCTTTCTCCTTAAATGTTAGTGCTTTTAGGATTTTAACAGATTCAATATCTTTGTGGTTTGTATTCAGTTAGGATCATCTGTTTCTGTACTAGTTATTTCTTCTCTGCCTTTTATGACAAGTAATGCAAGTGATGATTTTTGTAGCATTTATATCCTAAATTGTCAATGCAGGAGAAAATTTGCAATGTTTGAACTGAAAATATTTAGAAATTTGAAGCTTCTAAAGTTGTAGTGTGAACTCTAGAAGTTATGGTTGAACTTGTGAACACTAATTGAGGTAAAGAAGAATAATTCCAGTTTGGAAATGTCATATGGCTCCAAGAGTCCATGTGAGATGCGGTAATTTGGACAGTAGCTCCACTTTCTTGTTCCTTCTTTTCTGCTTAGTACAATCTTTCTCAAGTTGCCTTTTTTTTCTGTGTCTATTAATGGACGAGTGGCAACAAGATGGTACAGCCTAATAAAATTGGTGAGGAAGGAAATGCCACTATGCCTGCCAGCCAGCCTCATTATCAGGCAGCTTTTTATACTGCTCTGTGCATTGTGCCTGCACAACTACTTCTCTCTTTTACATTTTCACTTTATTTTGACAAAAAGAAAAGAAAATTCCTAATATTTGGAAAAACCCATTATTCCTTTTCCTCTTCCCACAAATTCACAAAAAAAAAAAAAAAAAAAAATCCTTCTTCCCACAACATTACACAAAAAAAAAAAAAAAATAAAAAAAAAAAAAAAAAAAAAAAAGCAAATTTAAATATATCAAAATATTTAAATTTAAATTATTTAATTATTAAAATAATAATGTATGTCTATTTGAATAATGTTATATATTAAAATTTATTTATTTTTATGTATGTTACACCTAAGAAATGTGTCACATTCTTGTAAAATAAATTAGATAGTTAGAGAATTATTTAGTTAATGGATCATTAGGTGGTGTATAATTGAAAACCACTATTAGATTAGCATTTCATGGAAATTATTTTAATGATTAGTGGTTTTATAATAATAGTTGGCATGATCCTGCCAATGTGGCATTAGGAAAAGCCATAGAATGAATATACTTTTCTCTACAAAGAGGTTTCCAATGAATTAAGTAATCTCATAACTTCATTAGAATGGATTAGCCTTTCTTTTTTATCATGTTAAATTGCTCACCATTGTGAATTTCACAATCATAAAATAAAAAAAAATAACAAATTAGCACTATTTATGTGCAATTCAAAAGTATGACTTTTAAACCAATCATTTGATTATTACTTTTTATATTTATTTTGATGATAGAAAAATAAATAAAAATAGAAATATATGATTAGGAGACGTTCAGTTCAGCTTGTTCGTACAACTGATAGTTGATTTATACCAACTTAATCAATAAACAAATTAAATTAAATATGATTTAAATATTTTCCTGTAATTTTTGTAATATGTAATAAATTTCTATTTCATAAAAAATAATTTCATTGAAATAATTTCACAAATATCACAAAAATAAAAAAATAAAATAATATCTAGAGAAACAAAAGTTTTTTTTGCCAATTTACTAGACAAATACTTATATTACAAACTTTTGCTATGAAATTAGTTATTTTGTTTTTGCTAATTTAAAATATAAAAAAAACATTAATTTATATCAAATGCAAGTCATCAAAACTTCAAGATCCCGTTCAACAACCTAAAGAAAATTTTAAAATTGTCAATGTGAGAGTAAATATTAAAATTAAAGTTTGAATTAATGATATATTATGGAAATGGAAGTAGTCATTCATTATTAATTTGATTGAATATTTTGAAAATTATTTATATTTTCTATTTTTAAAATTAAAGTCTACATAACCGTATTTTCACAGTGTCTTTTCCTTTTTTAATTATTTATCTGTCAAGCAAAGTCAGTCTACTCTGTTCTCTCTTCCACTCTCCTTTTCTGTTCTCTCTCCACTCTTTTAAAAAGTAGAGGAAGAAGTACTGTACACAGAGAAACAGAGAGAGGATAAGGGAAGAGAAATTATCAAACGGTTGCGTTTTTTACTTCCATCGTAGACTAATCGCCGAAATGCCGCCACCACCACAGCCACAATCAAGCGCTAGCCTAAATGGTGACCACAGACCACCACGCCCACCGCCAGCTTCAAATACCCACCAAAATCACCACCACCACCACCATCCTTACTACCCAACTTCGTCTTCTTCCTCCTCAGCCTCTTTGAAAGGTTGCTGTTGTTGTCTCTTCCTTCTGTTCTCCTTTCTTGCCCTTTTAGTCCTTGCAATCTTCCTCATTATCATTCTTGCCGTCAAGCCTAAGAAACCCCAGTTCGATCTCCAACAAGTCGGTGTTCAATATATGGGAATCTCTGCTTCAAATCCCGCCTCATTCGACCCCAGCACCACCACCACCACCACCGTAGCCACTGGTCCCACCACCGCTTCACTCTCTTTAACTATTCACATGTTATTCACCGCCGTTAATCCAAACAAGGTTGGAATCAAGTACGGCGAGTCCAGGTTTACGGTTATGTACCACGGGATTCCTTTAGGGAAGGCTTCCGTTCCTGGATTTTACCAAGAAGCCCACAGCGAGCGACAGGTGGAAGCCACCATCTCCGTCGATCGGTATAGCTTGATGCAAGCCAATGCTGCCGAGTTGATCAGAGATGCTTCGTTGAATGATAGAGTCGAGCTTCGAGTTTTGGGTGAAGTTGGTGCTAAGATCCGTGTTCTAGACTTCGACTCTCCTGGAGTTCAGGTCAGCCATTTTCTCTTTCCTCTGTCTCTCTGCATCAAAATTCTGTTTTCTTGTTCATAATTTTTGAGGTCTCGTTTCTAATCTGGGTTCAGATTATAATAAATAACCAACATTTTCCGTCTCTAATTTTGGCTCAATTTATTTTCCTAGCTAATTTGCGCTTGGTTTCTGGACTTTATTGGATGTAAGTTATTTTCTAGGCATAAAATTTTCAGTTGATAACTAATTTTTGGCTTATGGGTTCTTTCCATGGCTTAAGATTTTAAGCATTGCAGTATTGACTCTTATTTTCTAGTTCACAACTAAATTTTTGGGTCTGGATTTTTCCCATTTCTTTTTCTGCATTAGATTCTAAGTTTTGCGTCTTCTTGGTTTTATACTTCTACATCCTAATTTCAGTTTCAAGTTCTCATTACCCGTACTTCTTAAGTTCTTAGTATCATTTTTCTTTTTGGCTAAGCTTTTCCTCTAGAAATGGGATTTGGTCTCTGTTTAGTTTTTCCAGTTAGCGCAGTCGTGGAGGGTCTCGGCCACCTCTGTTGTCGGTATCAGTGAAACCCACCACCTTCTGTCCCACTACTGCCTGAGCATTTTTGTGCTAACCTGCGCTGCCCAATTAATTACTGTCAGCTAAAGTGCGCCGGATTTAGGTTGTGTTATTGTTCTTCGGGAGCGCATGTTTTTTGTTGGATACTTTCTTTCTTGGAAGGGATATTCTTGCTCATTTGCCCTCTTAGTTTAGCTTATTTGTATATATGTCCTCTTTTTGGGTGCATCCTTTTCTTGGTATAGTGCCCTTTGCTTTGGTGACCCTTATGCGATTTCTTTTTGGCCCCTCCTCCTTTAAGAAATTAGTGAATCTTGGATTCTTTATGCCTTAATCCTGTCTTTTCAGTGTTTTAAAAGCATCAAAAAGTTGCTTAAGGCAAAATTCTTTAACTTTAATTTTGTGGTCGATGGCCGCTAATTACTACCACAATTGCTTTCTTTTGAAGCGCTTTCTTCAGACGCACCAATATTGTCAAGGCAATATGCAATCCCATTTTCTTTCAACTTTCACTCTCTTAAGAAACCTTTCCGCCAACTTGAGATTTCTTTTTCCTGGAGTTTTGACTTTTTTTGTTACATTTGAGAAATTTTATGGAATCAAAATTGAAAGTTTGAGTCGTCGGCCTAAAATTAACCATTTGAACTATAAGCTTCAACTGCGAGCAAGAGTCTTTTTTTGGAGGAATATGAAATTGAAAAATGACTAAATGAGCGTGCATATTATTTGTTATATGGTAAAAAAGAATGTGAAATTGCGTTCCTCACATCTAGCTAGCCTTTAGGGCTAAGAAAAGGTTTTTGCCTTACCATGTGAATTGGTGACTTTTGGGGCCCTTGTGGCCCCTAGCTAGGAGGGACATGTAATGGGATCCAATGTTTTTCTTATCCTTAGTAGGGATCTTATAATAGGCCAATTAGGGGATTCAGGATCATCCATTTGAATCCATTTCTTGGATTCTTACTATCCCTGCATTCTAAGAAGAATGAATCCATTGCTTGGATTCCTACTATCCGGCGTTCTAAGAAGAACAATAATTTTGCCCTTTCATACTTCACTGTTAGAATTCGGAAATTTCGAAGGTATACGCTTAAATTTTGCTTATACTGAAGTTAAGATTTAATTTACATTTCTAATTTTTTGCCTATGTTAGGGGGTTTAGTCTGCATTTAGCATTGTGTGAATGTACCTTCTACCATAGTGTCTTTTGGGAGTAAAAAAATTGCAGGATGGAAGTCTATATCTTGTGTAGCTTTAGGACTATAGGAAGGCAGGTGGTGCCAATCATTTCTAGTAATATAATGTGCACAGTAAAAATAAAATCTTGTTTCTGTAATGTGACATGTCTTGGAGTTCTGCAAGCAATTATTAGCGTGTGACAATCAACCGCTTGAAAAGTTTGGCTTGTTTACTACAGTATTATTTCTGCTTTGTCTTCGAAATTCCAACTTGCTTTTGACAAATCAAATAAATAAAAATAAAAGTTATTGGGTTAATCAACAGCCCTCTGTCTTTGAACATTTGTGTTCTAATGTATTAGTTCTGTACCTCTCTTCAATATGCTGAAAAAAAAAAAATACACAAAACAAGAAGCTCTAACATATTTCTGCGTTAGCATTAGTGCACTGCCATTTCCACTTCTAGAATTCAGTAAAAAAGAAAAAAAGGGAAAAGAAATGTTCCCACAACTGTTTGTAGGTTGTGGCTAATTGGTGAACGGAAGAAAATCATCTCTTTCCTTTGCTGGTTATATACTTCTAATTAATCAATGTTTGAATGGGCAGGTTTCAGTGAACTGTGCTATAGTGATAAGTCCAAGAAAGCAATCTCTTACTTACAAGCAGTGTGGATTTGATGGATTGTCTGTCTGACTCATGGCTAAAAACAAACAAAGAAAAATGAAAAAAGAAGAAGAGGAAGAACAAAGAAGAATTATTTCTTTTTTTCCATCTCTTATTTTATTTATTTCTCTCAAGAGATGGAGATGTGCAAGAGAGAGAGTGGAGAAAAGCAAAAGGAAAGAAGCTTAGAAAGTAGAAAGCGAAGGGGGAAAAAAAACCCATATCCTCACATGGATGGAGATGGAGGTGGAGTTGGATCAAAGTCAAAGATAGGTGAAAACAAGAAAAAAAAAAATTTTGAGGATCATTTTCTAAATGGGAAATCAAAAGGTTTTCCCAAGATTTTGCAGATTTTATTATATTGTGTTTTACTTACCTTCACTTGGAAGAAAAAATTATTGCTGATTGCGTGTAAAGTTGTAAGACTCATGTAATGTTCACTAATTGGCTTATTCTTCTTTCTTTGTGAAGTGTGGTGTGTTGGTCTTTCAATGTCAGGCACTTACCCTCTGCAATTTTTCAGGATTCTAATGACTGTAAACGTGGCACAATTAGTAAAAGTCTTTCATTTGAGGGAGAATCTTAGGAAAAAATAATTATTTAAGTATATAAATTTACAAATTTTGTAAATATTTTGGGCATAAAAAAATAATAAGTTAAAGATGATAAGCAAATATGCTAATATTCTAATGTGCAAGAAAACTCACAAAACCATGACATGTAAGAGATCAGAGTAATTCGGATGGGTAGCTCGATAGCGAAAAAAATATTTGCGTGCGGGATTGATTATTATAGTTCAAGTGATGTTTGATTCTCCGGTAATGCAAGTTTTCGAGTCGGTCTCTTTATTTTTAAAGATCAGTGGAAATTAATTTGGAGGGTTGATTATTATAGTTTAAGTGATGTGTTTGATTCTCTTGCAGTGCAAACTCCCGAGTCAGCCTCTTTATCTTTAAAGATCAGCGGAAATTAATCCGGTATATCATGATAATCTTAAAAAAAAAAAAAGCAGAATAAAATTTTTTAAAATAAATATTCGACCAAATCTATTAGTGCATAAATTCAAATTAAACTAAATTGTTTAGTTTAATTCATTTTTATTTTTTAGTTTTGATTATTTTTATACTATTTTAGTTTTCGACTTTATATAAGAAAAATCAAATTAGACTGAAAAAATTTAATTTTGTAATAAAATCCAAATCAAACCGAATATTTCAAAAATTATATCAAACTAAATTAATTAATTCAATTCATTCAATTTGACTGATTTCTGCTCAACCTAATTTTTGGCACTATAAGACACAATAATATGATGACAAAATAAACAATGTTGGACCTAAAGATCAACCCAAGCCTATGATATAATACAAGTCCTTTTCCAATTTTTATATGGGCCTAGCCCAATACGGTTACATTATTATAAGCACCCACTGTTACCGTACCAAATCTTGTAAGTTCAAGTTCAATCAGAAGATCATGATATAAAAAAATAAAAATCTAAAAGATGCCCACAGAATCGGCCACGTAAAACCCTAAACATGTAATCCTTGCTCTCACTATAAATACCCAAATTAAAAACCCGCCACTCGTGTGCCTTTTTTTTCACTGCAAAAATCTCAAAAACAAAATCCAGCCAAAACCGAAAAGCTCTACAGATAAGACCGCCACCGCTGGTATTCAACTCTTTTCAAAAAAAAAAAAAAACACACCTTGATCTCTGTTATTTTCCTTTTATTTTTGTTTGGTTAGCGAGAAAATGTAAAGAAATTGAATGTTTTTGCCTGTTTTTTTATGTTGTTTTCACGGTAACTAAGCAGGAAGAGCTAATGTGATTTTGTTTGGATTTTTTTGAAAAACAGAAAAAATGGATCGGTACCAGAAGGTGGAGAAGCCAAAGGCAGAGACAGCTATTAATGAGAACGAATTGAGGATTACTGCGCAAGGAAGGATGAGGAATTACATTTCTTATGCTCTTTCTCTTCTTCAGGTTAATCTTTTGTTTCCTGTTTTAATCAGTTTTTGGAAACTAGTAATTCTATCTTGTTATGGTTTATTGTTACATTGGTAGTTTGAATTTAGTTTAAAGTTCTATTTTCAGTGATTTATAGTTAAATGAAGTGGGAAAAATAAATAGGGCATGCTTTTTGCGGGATCTTCTTAGCTTATATGTGACCTTGATAGTTATCAGTTCATAATTTCCTTTTTGTTTCTTTCTTTAAATATGATCTCATGTGATGCCCACCATAACTTTGTAAAGGTATTAGTTCATGCGATTTTGTATATTCTTGTGGATTTGTGGCTACATGTATATGCACTTATGAATATTTTTTTATAAATAAATCGTGCCTCATTCTGCCTGATAGACGTGCTTGTCAATGACATTCTTTTACTCGCCCTTTTTTTTTTTTAAATTATTATGTTTTTGCTAGTGCATTGCATCAAATTAATCTGTTTTCTATTACTGAGTTGTTCTTGAAGGCATCTTTTATACTCCTGTAGGAAAAAGGCACAGATGAAGTTGTATTGAAGGCCACTGGTAGAGCTATCAACAAGACTGTGATGATTGCCGAGTTGCTAAAGGTGCCTATTTGATCTCGTAATATATGTACTCTTGAGAATTTTTGCATTATTTTATTTTTTTTGCTGGTTGCATTATTTTATTGCTGTACAGTAGTTATTGGCTTTATGTATTTGCTGTTGGAGTATTTATGTAGAAACACTCCTTTTAAAATCGTGCAGTAGCTTGTTTTATGATATTTTGCCTACCTTGGATTTAGCTAATTTAGACGACAGAAAATACTTAGTCATACAGTTCCGTAATACGGCATATCTGGGAGTATTACTTTTTCTCTTCATTTTTCACAACTTATGTTAGAAATACTTCCACTTGTAGAGACGGATTGTTGGCCTTCATCAGAACACATCAATTGGGTCTATTGATATAACCGACACATGGGAGCCCTTAGAAGAAGGCCTACTTCCGTAAGAACCAAAAGTTTTTTACCTATTTATCTATTTGAGCTATAATAATGTTATTGTGATAATTCTTGTGATTGGTTCATGGTCTACTTTTGCAGCCTAGAAACAACCCGTCATGTTTCAGTAATCACAATTACCCTGTCTAAGAAGGAGCTTGATCCATCTTCCATCGGGTAAATAGCAAAACTAATTAAGCATTGAATTTATGGATACATATGTTGAATGAATGGTGGATTATAATGCATCATTTTATATTCTAGACTAGAGGTACATGGAGCTCAAATTTTATCCTAGAAATGAATCATATACTATGCCATAAGTGAATCTCAGATGCGTGTGTACTCAACTAAATTACAATGCTTTTATTGTGTCTATATCTTGTTCTTAATGCTTGAAAGGAGGCAGAGGGCGGGAAAGTAATAAGAGTAGGTTTTTTAAATTTATTTAAACTGAACTTTAAGAAAGAATATATGCTTGAAAGTATCAATGCGTGCCTAATGCTTATTGGAATTTTAGAATCTGGCTTAATATCTGGTTATCAAGAAAGGAATCTTGTTAAACCTGAGGATCCGAGGTAATTGCTGTGTTGGAATTTGGATTCTCTGTGGGATCAGTAACAGGTCTTTTAGATTAATTGATTGTTATGCTTCTTGATTATTAGAAATTGTGACCAAATCTTGTGTGCTTGTGCATGTATTATACATATATTCAAAATATATTTGGGCATATCTGAGAAAGTGAAAAATGAAAGAAGAGTGCCTTTAAATACAAGGTGGAAAAGTTAGAAAAATAGTTAAAGGTGAAATTAGTGGTCTGGATTTAATACTTGATAAATTGAAGGAGTCAAGTAAAAAAAAAAGAGAGTAATCTAGTCGTATATAGCATGAAAAATCAATATGATCTACTAACACACATGTAGATTTAAAAAACATATGTTTCATGTAATTTCCTTACATTACTACTCCTGCTAGAAGTTTGGTAAGGTAACTCCAATACTTTTTTTCCGCATGTGAGAAGTTAATACGTCCCTCCCTTGAAGTTTTTCTTGCTGCATGTATGTAAATATTTGCGGTTGCAGTTATGCAGCTTCGGCTTAGTTTGTCATTCTAGATTTTGTTACTTGTATCAATAAGATGAGATAGCTTATCGTCCATTGTATGTCTTCTTTCTTAGCACTAAGGTTGATTCCTTGTTGACAAAAAGATGAGTATTTTTTAATTGGCATATGTTTGCAAGTTTTATTTCCACAAGCATGAGTTCATGCATGTGATTAGGATCCAGGAATTATTTTGACCTTGTTATGCTCCTTTTCCATTTATTTGGGTGGGGTCATTAAACTTTGTTGTTTGACCTTATCTTTCTTGCATTCCCATTCCTGTTATCTCTCATATCTCTCTTGTTTGTTGAATTCTGACTATTAAAATGCTTAAAATTCACTATTTCTGGAAGTTGTCACTTCAGAAGGGGATTATAGATGTTGCTTTGGTATCACATGCTTTATTGCACCCTTAGTATATAATGATCACAGGACGTGCTTTTTGAACTTTTCTTTCTTTTCAAATGACAGATATCAGCTCCCAATCCCTGCTGATCAAGTGAAGCCATTAGCTGAATATGATGATGAACGAGGTAAGCTGACATTTCTCTTTTTGTACTTGCTCATTCCTTTTCCTCTCTTCGTGGAGCTTATGTATTTTGTTTCCACTATCTTAACTTCAGTGTTTATACTATATTGCCTTCCTAAAAGCCTCACTTAACATGCAAAGCAAAGGTCATAGTGATTGAAGAAGAAATAGAGACGATGTTATTAATCATCCAATATTTTTAAAGAAATATAGCTTTTTGTGAAGCCACAACATATTTTCTAATGAAGGCTCGGTTTGAGCCGAACTTTTATTTTTAGGGGGCTGGGAAAATTGTTAGTGCAAGTGATGTATAGATAAAAAAATTATAATAGTAATTAAAAAAATGAGTCAAATCTTTTGATGTTAAAGAAATCACACTAGGTGGGGAGTGACTCACTATTCTGCATGAAGTTAAACTGGACACTAGAAGCATATAGTGTGGTGAGACTGTGGAAGTTTGCTACAATGGGATAACAAGTTGGTGAACTCACATGTGTGTTATCCTTAATTATCTATGATTGTCTGGTGCTTGGAATAAGTTGGTTGTAGCTGCATCAATGTCACTTATTAACCTACTCTATTATGTTGAGTAATGCAACATCCAGGATTTGTTCATTTATTTATCTTTTTTTTTCTTATCAGGTAATAGTAATGGTGTAGCAGAACATAGCAATGGGGGTTGGGATGGCGGCCGAGGATATGGTGGTAGAGGTAGAGGTCGCGGAAGAGGTCGTGGCTACCGTGGACGTGGAAGAGGGTATGGTGGGGGAAATAAGCAGGATTCAGGTTATTACAACGGATATGGTGGACCGGCTGGAATGCCTGCTCAAACCCGTGGTAAGTTCCTATTTTGTTGTAAATTTCAGGCATTTCATTTCCATGTTATTCTCTTGATTTATGGTTGTCTACTGCATTCCAAAGGTATTTTAAAAACAGTGTCTTGTTGAAGCTTTTCTCCTTGATCGCAGTATCAAATTTGAGTTAGTTGCCTCTCCATTACATGTAACTAATGCCATTGTTTTGGTTATCATCATTTTTATTAGTGCTTACCAGTTAAATAATCTAGTGATGTCATGAAGATTCAGTTCATATCTCCGATTGCAAATGTTTCAAAAGTTTGAGTCAGATAGGCAAAGTTATTGCAGTAATATTTTGAATGATTAAAGCATGCAAGTCTGACCCACATGGTTAGTGCAGGATAGAATAAAACAAGTAATCACCATTTGCTTTATAACTCTGTTTCTTTTGTGATTCTCATTTTCCTCGTGTGGGACTAGTAACTACTAACTAGTGCTTTAAGTTTACAACTTACTTTTTCTTTTATCATTTCTCTAGAAAATTAATTAATTAAATTTATTTCGGAGTTGGTGTGAGAGGAGAAGACTGGAGTTCATTGTGGCGCAAAATTAAAAAGATAAAGGATTTAATTTGCATTTTGACAACAAGGTAAACAAGTTATGACGAATGGGATATAGGAACATTTAATTCAAATTTGATGATTGCTGAAGAGACTTCCCAATGTATAAGCTAATCAATTTTATTTTGGGCATGGCACAGCTCCATTTCCTTGTGATGTTCATGCATATGTTGATTTTCCTAGTTATTTGTGTAGCAGCTGATGTCATACAACAGAATTTCTTTCTGAATCTCTAGTTACTCAATTGTTTTGCCCGTGCATTGCATGTCTATAACCACTTTCACCCTTTAGCAGTCAGTTGAGAGTTGCAAAAACAATGCCAGTTTATAGTGGTTCATTAAAATTGTCATTGCATTGGGTCTTTCAGGTCGCGGTCAAGGACGGGGAAGGCCTCGTGGTCGTGGTCAAGGTTTTAGGTCCAGTGGGCCAGTCCAAGCAGCTGCATGACTGGCAGTGAGGTAAAACACAAGTTTCCAGTGTGAAAAGATGGATTTGGATGCCTGATCTGCGCTGTATCTTTTCATGACAATGGAGTTAAAAAAAAATTTTATGGGTTTTGAGACTGGAAATTGTTTTCGTAAGCTGCATTTTTGTAGGTAGGTACAGTTATTTGCAGTAACATTAGTCACTAGCTGTTAACAGGAGTGTTATTTCGCTGTGTTAGTGTTGTACAATTCTTGAGTTCTAATTTTTTTTCCCTATAAATAACAGAGCAGTGCATTCATTTGTTTTGTATTAGCATTATCGATCGTGTACCGCTCCAATTTTTAAATCTGCTGCTATTGTCAATTGCATAGAACCCTAGTTTTGATTTTACCATGGCTTAAACAGTATGAAATTCTGTTTTTTACTCATTGGATGTAAAAAGAAAAACAAAAGGTTATTTTTCCAGGGGAAATCAGTTCTTGCATTTGAATGATGTTATAAAATTAAGTTAAACTGCTACATGAGAGTAATTGTAATTTTTAAGATGAGCAAAGTAAATTGGATTAGAGATTTTCTTCTTAATCAGAGATTTTGAATTTGAGTTTTGGGTATGAATTCTCTTTAAATATTTGAAAGGAAGTATATATTTCTTCCATAGGTCTGTCTGGTGTGAATTTAGATGAATCGAGCCGGTTGATTTCAAAATAAAATATAGTTTTTGTTTTATTAAAGTAATGGTTAATCAAATTGAAGTTATAAAAACGTACATTCCTGAAGATGAACAATACTGAAGAATATCATGTTTATAAATTTCTACTACAGGCTTTTCCTCACTAGTAAATGCAGCAAATCAGGTACGTAAAGGTTAGAACTTTCAAAAGCTTGGTAAACACCATGGGTCTTTATTTAGGCCCTTAAAACGTTATATGTACCTAAAACATTTTGCCTTTGTATCTGAAAATAGAACAATTTAATTCATTTTGAAAAATTTACAAAACCAGTATTTACGATTTGGTTTCAAATTTATTTTTAACCTGACTAAATCGGACAATATTTATATATTTTTTGTTTATACCACATGTATCTCCAGCCATTAGTAAATAGAACAATATATTGATATTAAAACAAAATGAAATTAATAAATTAAAATGTAATATTTCTTGAAAAGTAAAATTAAATTGTAAAAAAAAAGGTGTAATTGTAGAATATTACTATGGAGAATAAAAAAAAAAAAGTGATACAATTATATTAATTTGCCAAAATAATATAATTTTTTTTTTAAGTTTTTGCTCTTTCTATCCTGCCAAAATAGACTGTTTCTTATTTATTTCAAATCATATATGTTTTATTTAATAATATGTCTTATTATTAACAATTATTGTATTTAATTTTTTTTATTGAAGGTTATATTATAAAATATTTATGAAAATATAGGTAAAATTTATTATTGGTTTTAAAATAATATTAAAATTATTAATATTAAGATTTCGCTAAAAAAAATAAAAATGAATTTAATTGATTAATAAATAAAGATTTTCTCCAATTATATATTCATAATCTTCAATTCCTTGTCATCGTTTCTCTGTGCAGAAACTAGCTGTAGCAAAAGCAGGTAGCCATGGACTTCACTCCGCTTACCGACGCATTAGCCTCCAAATTGTACGATAAGATTTCTGATATCTGCGATGAACTCATGCTCAAGGTAATTTCTCCTTTCAATTTATTTTTTTCACTTTTCATTCGTCAATCTTTTTTTCTTCTCCCAATGCTCAAGTTTTCAGTGCCCTGCCTTTAGGTAATTAACTTTAGCGTTAATCAAAACCCTAAATTCCCATTTTTTTAATCTCAGTTCGCAGCCGAGGGAGTTCATTTTCAGGACGAGTGGCCTTATGCGATTCATCTTCTTGGCCACATTTATGTTAATGATATGTAAGTTATATCTGTTTTTGAGTTAGTGATTCGAAATTTGGTTTTGGGCTGAAATTCCATGTTTTAGAAGAGTTTTTTCTTTTAATTTTTGGGTTTTGGGTGAATTCTATAGCTGAATTGTTAGGTTTTAGAGTTTTATTTATTTAATTATATATTTTTGAAGATTCAGGTTTTTGGATATTTGATATCTGTTTGCTTTGGATTGGAGTTTCTCGTCTGCTCTTATATGGCTTTAGTGTGGTCTAGGAGTTTTCATTCATCTGTGGTGTGATGATCATGCAGTAACAGTGCTCGATTCCTTTGGAAATCAATACCTTCTGCTATCAAAGAAAACCAAACGGAAGTCGTAGCGGTCTGGAAACTTGGTCAGAGATTATGGACACGTGACTATGCCGGTGTACATGAGGCCATTGGTGGTTTCGAATGGAGTCAAGAAACCCGGGTTCTTGTGGCTGCATTCTCAGGCTAGTTTTTACATAACTTTTGTTTTAACTTTTAACACAGTTTAATATAGTTTCATTTAGTAATTTATAAATGTTGCTTTACTTTTATTATCACAATTTTAATAAAGCAAATTGATGTCCATATAGAATTACAAAGTTGCAATTGAGAACCTAAGTTTTTATCTTTGTTTTTCAGCATTCCTCTTCTTCCACACCCACCCCTTTTGTGTCTCTCCTTTTATTTGTTGTCCTTCTGTGTGTTGCTGAGATTATGATCATGGGAGCTTGAGTGAAGTGATCTATCGTTGCTGGTTCAGAAAACTTAATGGTTGCTCCACTAGTTTCCCATAAAAAATTTTGTAATCATGGTTTTAGTGGGTGAACCTTGTTAATGCAATGGCAAGGCATGATTGAAATTAGAATTCTTCAGGCAATACAATGTTCCCTTATAATTTGAACCACTAGAACATTCTCCTTGGAATGCGTGGGAATGGCTGTGTAGATTCATCCCTCTGCAGATCATGGTGCAGGAAATATTGTCACTCATTGTATCATTTGTTGATGTTTGTGTTCTTATAAATTTACAGTAAGAGATCCTTTCTTCCTTGATCTGGAGAAAGTGAGACTATTTTGGTGCCAGTTAGATACTAGTGCAAAAAAATGGATCTAAAGAGCTCATAGGTACCTTTATCTAGAGAGATTATTTACATTACAGAACAAATGAAAGAAAAAGTGGAGCTTAAGTAGAAAGTAGAAACTACTAATATTGTGTTGGGTTGAAGAAGCTCTTGGATGTCCGGAAGCAATCATATCTGCAATCGAATGCCTTGGTGGAAGTGGCAAGCAGCAAAACATGGAAATTGGTCTAACTGAGAATTGAAAATCTGTTTATTTTTGTGTGTGTGTGTGTGTGGTTTCAAATTTCAATATGATGAAAAGGCTCCACACGTTCTATCTTCCCCTCATACTAAAAATATGAAATCATCAGTGATTTTGCAATTACATGGTCAGATTGGTGCAACCTTACACTTTAATTTTTTTTTATGCAGAACTTTACACCAAGAGGATGTTTCAGTTGTTGCTGTCTGCTTATTCAACAATAAGCATCCAAGACACAGCTTGCTTTCTGGGAATGAACGAGGATGATGCTGCAAATTGTAAGATTTTGTTCTCCTTTGCGCCCTATTTGTTCCAATAAGCATCCAAGATTCTAGCAGCAGTTCAGTTCTTTCAAAATTAATTGAGAGATAGCTCTTTGTTCTCCCCATACTTTTTGGGTTGAGCATCTCATGTTTATGGCCATTGGGCTTTAGGTTAGATGGTTGTTAGGTTAAAATCTTAGCCACAACATGCACATATGTATTTTCTTACATACTACCAAAAGAGGAAGGTGGGGGATGCAAACCAGACATACGAATATAATAAAGTATGCTAAAGACGCTTAAAGCAGCTGTCGAATTTAGACTTATTTTTGTCCCAGTTGGAGTCTTTGGTGGCACAAATCTGATTCTTTCTCAAGCTCATTTGGGTGGATCCAACCACTGTAGATGTTGACATTTTCACCCGAATGGGAATTGCATCAGGTTGATTTATGTGTAGAGAGGAGACAGACCCTGGTTGTGAACCCAATAAATATTTCACCTAGTTGGCATTATGAAAGCCTGAGCAATACTTCTCTATACCACTCAGTATCAATTACTTTTTGTCAGGAAAAAAGAATCATTAGAAAACTGTTTTTATTTCTGAAATTCTAAGCATTATGATGAAGTGAAACTTATGTGGCAAATTCTTTCGTTTTTGAGACCTAATGAAGAGGATTTTGCATAAAAGTCTATGATTTATGCGCATTGATGATTGTTTGATACAAATGACCTCCTGCAATTATGAATATTGATGGATTGTTTGCTTAATCTTCTATTGCAAGCAAATTAGGATTTAAGTAGTTCTACATGTTCCAATTTCTTCTTCTTCTCTCTCTGTCCTGTTTGCTAGACTGCACAGAGCATTAATTGCTAATTATAATCTGTTGTTATATGCAGACGTATTACAGCAAGGTTGGATTGTTGATCCAGCATCTCGAATGCTAACTGTGAAGAAGCAGCCAATTGTGACAGAACAAAAACTGGATTCCAGCAAGCTACAGCGTTTGACAGAATATGTATTCCAACTTGAGCATTAATCATACTTTAAAAGAGTCTGAACTTTTTTTTTAACACTTTGTGCCACTTAGATCGTTCGATTGAACCAGTAAATGCTTTGAAGATTTTCAGGACGTGTAAACTTGATCTGCTCTCTCTCTCTCTCTCTCTCTCTCTCTCTCTCTCTCTCTGCTACCAGCGGTTGACAGAATATTGTATCTCCAACTTGAGCATTTAATCATCTTTAAAAGAGTTCTGAACTTTTTTTTTTAACACTTTGTGCCAACTTAGATCGTTCGATCTGAACCAGTAAATGCTGAAATTTTCAAGGACGTGATTAACTTGATCTCTCTCTCTCTCTCTCTCTCTCTCTCTCTCTCTCTCCTCTCTCTCTCTCTCTCTCTCTCGTCTCTCTCTCTCTCTTCTCTCGATTTCTTCTAGTTTAGCACTTTCTTTGGATTGCTTTCGCTTTGAGTTTTCCACTGTTATAAACCTTTTCCACCAGTGAAAAACTCTGCTTAAAGCAATTTTTTAATTTTATAGATTAAAATTTTTTGTTTGATGATACTTGAACTTTCCGTTTTTCACCCATTCTGTCTTAATTATCTATTATTCGCCATACATGTGATAGGCTCCGGATACAGTTTGCTTTGGACCTAACTTGTGTTTTCGACCAAATGAAATAACAATCTGATTTCTCCTCTCTCTTCTTTGGATCCCTCTCATTCTTCCCTTTTCTTTCATTTTCTTTCTTCCCAAACACCAAACTGAATCTCAGATCTAACCCCAATTTAGGATCAAATGTATGTCTGATCCTAACAGCTTGGCTTTCATGAGCAAGCTTTTTTTAATGAACCCAAACCAGTGTTGAGGTAGGTGCATTTCCCGTCTGCAATTTGTGACAACAGTTGAAAATCCTTTTTCTTTTAGTTTGCGTTTATTCAACTATTATACTTAAGCTTGTTGGATGTAACCAGCGGTTTCTATTAGTCTCTATGGTTGTGGACGTGGAAGCTTGCTTCAAGGGAAGCTTGCCACAAGGATACAAAGGTGAAATTGACAAATAAAAAATTAAAAAAAAATCTTTTCGTCATTTGTTAATTTTATAATAATATATATATATATGTATTTGCTCAACTAACTTGTCAACTAATGGTTATGTTGTATTGAATAGTTTCCTCCTATATGTGTACACGTTTCTACTCTCTATCCCTCTTTCCATACGGAAAAACAAACCACCAGGTGATAGAGCTATGGAGGAGGCCAATAGTTGTACCCAACACCTTGCAATTGGCCACTTCATATCACACATGGTTTGAGCTTAGGCAAGCTCATTACTAAAACCCACCAACCTTCTCTTTCCATTTCACATACTCCTTGGCTTCTTCACCTTACAGTACAGGGATCCATTTCTCTTACATTTCTATGGTTTCTGCCACCATTTCCCTCTGTTTTACTTCCACCATCTTCCACCATTACACTTCCTTGCCACAACACGAGTAATAACCATTGAAAAACTCTCACCTTTGAGGTTATTTCGTTCTTCAAAACAAGCCTCATCTCCATCAAACCCTACTTTTCTATCTCCAAAAAACCCACACCATTTAAAGCTTTAATTGTCGACTTCTTCTGCTGCTGCCTTCTCTTTCTGTTGCCTCCCAACTCAAGCATCCCTGCTTATTTTTTTCTTTACTTCAGGTGCTGGCTGGTTCTTGCCCTTTTTCTGCATCTTCCCACCATTTCATCAGAAAACTACCAAAAGTTTCAAAGGCCTCGACCAACCTTTGTTGATGTACCAGGTCTGCCACCATACTCTTACTCTGATATGCCAAAAACCAGGTACTTGATCGCACTTGATAAGGCGTACGAATACTTTATAGAATCAGCTTGCTTGTTTGCCAAGTTCAGTTGGGGATTATCACAAACACCTTTGAATCTCTTGAGACCAGAGCACTCAAAAGCAATATCAGATGGGTATTATGCATACCCAATAAGGACCACGCCACCTAACTTTACTGTATTGGACCATTAATAAGTCCAGCAAAAAATGAAAAAATGGCGGTGTGCCTGAGGTTTAGTTTGGCTTGATTCACAACCGAGTCGAAGAGTATTTTTTCTGTGTTTGGTAGCTAGGATTGTTTTTCAAAAGGAACAATGAGGAAAATAGCAATTGGGTTAGAACGAAGTGGGCAAAGGTTTTGTGGGTTTGTCCGTAATCCACCTTCTGATAACCAACCTTAGCCACTTCCCCGCGGTCAGACCCAGATTTAGATTCCTTGGGCTTCCTGATGGTTTTCTTAGATCGAACCAAGGATAGGGGATTTATGTGGTTGAAGACATGGGCTCCTCAAGTAGGGCAGCATTGAATCACAACTCGCTGGGGTTGGGTTTGTTACTCAGGTGGTGGGGAACTCGCGTACTTGAATTCTGTGTCTGCAGGGAGTTCCTATTGCGTGGTATGGCGCTTTATTGCAGAGCAAAAGGCATTAAACCAAATTGTTGCTGCGTCGAAGAGATGGAAAAATTGCTTTTGCAAATTCCAACGAGTCTAAAAAAATGGGTTTGTAGCTGCTTCGGAAGTGGAGAAGCGGGTTACTAAGTTGATGGACTCAGCAGTCAGGTAATCAAGTATAGAGAGCGGACTATTGCTGATGAAAATTGCCGCTGAGGAAGCATTTGAGTTGAGGGTGGTTCTTCTCGAGTTGCATTGACCGACTTCCCCACCGAGTTTGTGGGAAGCATTAATAATTGGTTTATTATCTCTATAATTTGATGCTCCCCCTATTAAGAAAGTTGATTTTGAAATCTGCAGTTGTTACCTAGAATAATTCTTTTTTTTCTGTCGAAATAAATCATCACATATAATCTTTTAATTCTTATTCTTATAATGCCATGTTGAGCTTAAACTAGAATTTTTTTATTTGTTCTATTTATTTAATTATAGATTAATTAGAGAAAAACATAATTTGGTCTAAAACCTAACCCAACCAACTTTACCTAATCCAGCCATGCTTATGTTCTCTCTACGTTAGTTAGTGCTTCCCTAAAGATAAAGTTATAAAACCATGTACAAATCATTCCCGGTTAGCCATCTTGCTTTCCGAGGCTGAGTATGAATTAATCGGATTTATAAGACTGTTAAAGTGGACCATGGCTTTGATACTTCGTGTAATTATAAAAAAAAACTTCCAATTTTTAATATTTTTATAACTTTAGTTAATTTTTGTATTTTACATTTTGTTTTTTTTATAATAAATTTATGATTTTATGTTGGTTTCCATTCAATTTTACATGGGTTGTCAAAAAAGAATAGCGTTACAACTCTGTTATATATCACCTTTTAATTGAAAATTTCACTAATAATTTAGTAAAAAAAAAAAAAAAAAAATTTTCTTGTGATTGATTAGGTTGGCTATGTGACTCTTAATTTTTAAAGTTTAATTATACAAAAATTAAATTTTTATTGAAACACGTAATGGTATTTCGATTATATTGAAGCCTTCGCAATTAATTTAAAAAATTTGTTCTATATAATATTGCATGTTAATTATAAATGGGAAAATCTATCACTTTAAAGGGGCTACGAGGTTGTTATTAAAAAAAAAAAAAAAAGAAGGATATCAAAATTTGTGGAAATTGAATGTTCGAGGATTTTTTTTTCTTTCCTTTTTTCCATTTGGCAAAAACCATAAATTTTCGGAAAATTATCAATGCAGGCTTGAAAAGATTTCATCAAAATTCAATACCACTTTCTTTTGATAAATCCTTTCACAACCAGTTCTAACTTTGAATTTGTGGTTGGGAGCTGTGTTCTTCCATGCATTGATTCTGAAACACCCCACTTGTCTTCAAAGCTTTTTCTTTGCCTTTAAGACAACTTCATTAGTTCAAAATGTTTCATCCTCATGGCAAGACTTCCGTTTCATCTTGCATGGCTTCAATCCAGTTCCTCTGTGTTCATTTCCATTAGCTTCTTCAAAGCTTTCACTTTCTCCCCGTCAGTGTCCAGTACATTACTCTTTGACTGGATATTCTAGTTAGTATGGTTGTAACTCTACTGGATCTTCTTAACTCGTTTTGAAACCTTCCGGTGCTGGTGGCCTGAACATGAAACACCATAATCTTCATCTGGTTCATTTTCATGAGGGAACTTTGGATTTTCTAACTCTGGCACTTAGTTCTTGTGGAACATTTTTCTTCATCTTTCAATTCGTCTGCGTTCTATTGGAGGAACTCTCTGTATGTTCTGTTGAGTTCTTCATTCAAAATCTAATTGGCACTCTGCTTTCGGCATATCTTCATTAAGTCTTGATCTTCCAACAAATACAGCTCACGATTTCTTAATAAATCGTCTTTTGGATTGGGTCATAAAACTTATGGCCATAGCCAATGATACCACACGTTCTACAGTCTTGACCATAAGATTAGGACCGTTCATCCTTCGGGACATATACGAAGGCTTGCAACCAAAACACTCGCAAAATGATCAAAGGAAACATGCTTTCCTAAACACCATAACTCTCTCTAGAGTATCATATTCTAGAGGGAAACAGAGTGAACGACCAAACCGCTGTGAGTTAACGCTTCACCCAAATCTTTTAGACAACTATTGCATGTGAGAGTAGGACATCGGACTCTCTCCATTCAAAGTTTTCTGTTCATCCTCTCAAGCCAAAACTGTTCAGTTGCGGCGTTTAGGAAAGGTTCGTTATGATGTCGAATGCCATGCTCTTTGCAAGAAAGGGGCTCAAATGGGCCCAGTGTATTCTTCCCACCCATATTTGTTTCTGATACACTTCAAGCTTTCTTGCCTTGTTCTTATCCTAACCAGGTTATAAGACTTCAATGGTTTGTATACACATGGTCTTCCTTAGGAAATGACCATCGATAAATATCAAACAAAAAAATATCGATTCCACCATATGAACATTTGGTCAATGGTTCCCCCCACCAAAAATTGGGGGAATGAATCAGATTTTTTTAATACATTCTTTCATTCTAGAAGGAAGGGGCGGTAAATCTTGAAAAGGGGGCTTAAAAAAGCTTAACCCATGTTTTAGGCCTTTTCCCGCATTTTTTTACAAATTCAGGGGACACTTGGTTAAGGGTGAACTCATCCAATCAAAAGGTAGTATGTTCTTTCTTTGCCAGAGTTGTCATTCCTTTAGCTTTTCACAAATAAATCTTTTTGTGAAGCTTCTATTGACCATTTCTTGAATGGTTGCTCAGAAACATTTCATCATCCAACCTTACAACCGAGATTATCTCTCTCTTTTT